ACAGTTGTTTAATAGTACAGTTTAGTTCCAAACAAGTGGATAAAATAATGAAATGGCTGTGTATATGATTGTTTATAACGGACATGTTGATAAAAAAAAAATCAAAAATCATGTTTTATATTCATATATTGGGATATTCGACTCAGTTTTTTTTGTAATTTGCTATCGTGTCGAGATATATGAAAGGGAAAAAATTCAAATTTTCTGCAGGTGTTTAGCACCCTGAAATCAAAAGAGTTGGCTTTAACCTCGATTAAGAATAAAACGAATATCCTATTCCGAAATAATCACACAGAGATTCCATACATTAAAAGAAATGTTTGTGCATGACAATGTTCTATGTCAAAGGTTTAAAAAGATGTGTTTCTAGACATTTCACCGTGTTTTCTAACGAAGGAGTAGGGAGTGAATCAACAAAAACGTTGGCCTCTGAAAAAAAAATTATAGCGAGTTTTCATGTTTGTTTCAAAATCGTTTCTTAAGCAAATTATTTTAAAATCAAGTAAAATGTTTTATTCGTTCTTTCGATATTTTTACTCCTTTCATTCTCGTGTCCAAGCTTAATTTTAGTAAAATACATCGTTCTCTCTTTCGATTATTTTGGTGATTTCATTTGTATTTTTCAAAGACTTCCCCTGAGAGCCAAGTGGAGTGGATTTTGTTATGGATCTCACTGCTGTTTCATTAAGCTCCCTGTTTGAATTGGATTTATGATCGACTGTTGAAGTTAACGATAAAACTGTGTATTTATTTTTGCACGATGGTATCATATTCTAACTTAGAGTATTTTACCTGCGAAAATGTTCAGTGGCTTCTCAATTTGATTCAACTAATGAATATCTTTACTTGCGAAATTATTCTGTAAGGAGAAAAAAAGAAAACTTACTTACAAAGAAACACAATTTTAAATTTCCCATTGAATTAGCCCTCTCACCTTTCTCGGAAACACATTTATTACAGATTATATAAAATCACTCTATGAACAGCTATCTCCTTTTAAAAAAATATATCACACATCCTTCCGGCAGCTCAATCGATCAAAAAGTTACAGATGATATCTCTTCCAACAGTGAGGAACTACTCTGGCGAACCGTCTTTCTCACAACGAACACGTTCTATGTGAATTACGCAAATAAATCAGCGTTCTTTAAAAAATTCTTAATTCTATTCCACGGCACACATCTGGAACACTGATACATCTTCCTTTTATCAAAGCGCCCCGTGTGCCTTATGTAATTCTTCATGTCTTGTAATAAACGCTCTGCAGTCATTTAGCTGAAATTTCGCATATGACCTCCGACCGATTTTTCAAAAAACGTTTCTGACGTGTTTAAACAAAAGTTAGTTGATGGATGAACGCTGCCCCTCATTTTTTATCTCTTCCTTGGTAATTGAACAAATGTCTCATATTCCTTAACCATTTTCCAGCGTTAAAAGTTACTATCACAAACCCAGCAGCGGAAACATACTCAAAGATTATTTTTTCCCTCTTTGCGGTTAAAAAATATTAAGGGAGCCACATAAACCCGAGAGCAAATAATAAGAGATACATGAACAAACTAAAAAAAGAAGCCGGCCGAAGGCAAAACATTTTATCCTTGAATCACAAGGTAGATTACTCTACAATGATGCTTCCAAACGGTTAGTATCAGCGGAATACAGTGGTGTGATATCATTTCGTCAAAAAGAAAAATTAAGTCCTTTTCAGTTCAGGAGTAATTGAGACATTCGTCGCAAAATTTTGAAACGATCATAGAGCCATGTCTGCCAAATGAATTCCCAGGCGCGAAAGAGGAGCTCCATGCCCAATCATGCCTAAACATTCCAACATCAATACATTTAATTTTTAATTCTTGACTGTTAAATGTACGAATAGTAAGCTCAACTGTCATGTAACCATGAAAGCTGTCTAAATTCTCTAAGTGCTCTCCCTTCTTACAATCTACGGAGGATTCGGAGGACAACGATTCCGGCGTCGACAAAATCTGGATCGGACCGGATCACGGATCGGATCACGGATCGAAAAAAAAAAAGCTTTTAAAAAATCCAAAAAAATCAAATCATTTAAAAAATGATAGTAAATAAAAGAGAAAATAAGAGTGAAAAAAAAAAAAACAAAAAAAACTGAAATATGTTAATCGAAATTAGATGTTGCTTGACAAGCTAAAATAAAGTATCCCTGACATAATGGAGCGTAGGTCCCATTGGAAGTTTTATTTTGCTCAAAAACCCCATTCAGTCACTTTCACTTTTATGTAGTGCCACCATGGACGAAGGCAAGCGAGAGATAAATATCATTTCATCAGTCGGTTATTTCTTATGCATTTATGAATTTTTTTTCTATTATCAGCTCACGTGCTACTTTTCTTTATCTATTCAATATCGTTAAGCATATACGAGAGAAGAGGCGGAGTAAGATTGTTTTATATATGACCACTGAAGTACAAGGAAGCGATTTATGAAGTTCATATGGTACAAATTAATACTTTTAGTTTTTTTAATGAATTCTTTAATTTTTCTACTTACCTGGATTGCATTTTTTAACACGCTAGCGATTTTAATTTCACGAGCATATTGAACTAATGATCAAAGAAACAACACAAGATTTTTGCCGATTAGTACAGTTCTGAAATCATCACGTATCCGGACGCACCTGGGAAAAGTTTTAAACTTTTCTAAGGAAAAAGACTACAGAAATGCAAAACTGCAACCGGAAAAGAAATCATTTTAGTCTAACGATTAGAGTCGAACAGTTTTTTAAAAACTAAACCTACAGACTATACCAGGCATAACTTTGAAATTTTTTTTACATTCGCTTTTGTGAATTGACTTTGAATATATATATATATATATATATATATATATATATATATATTGTGGAAGGAAAAAGACAAATAAACTACCAGTTCATCCCTACAGACCTGTTTCGCGATTGCTCACTCATCATGAACTGGTAGTTTATTTGTCTTTTTCCTCCCACAATATATACATCGCTCTACTACTATGTATTGAGCACTGTCTTACGTAAGTCAAAATTACTCTATATACATATATATATTTATATATCCAAAGTCAATTCACAAAAGCGAAAATGAGAATTCACCTGATCGGGACATTTTACATGACGACTTTTGCAAATTACAGTATTCATTTCTCCTGCAATGAAACTTTTCTTAGAAAAAAAAGTGTTATGTCATATTTAATATGCAGCCAGGGAACGCTTTGTTCTTGGTAAAATTAACCAGTTATAAACTCCTGCGTCTATAGAAAGGTTTTGGTATCAAAGTCTTCCAATAATATTTAGATAAAAAACATACAAGGTTGCTAGAAATGTGTTTTCGAAATACCCATGGAAATTGATCTGATCAAAATCATTAAACCTGGCGAGAGACCAAAACGTCAGCGATGAAGCTTTTGCCTGAAACTTCTAGGACGAAACTGAGCTTTCCCAAAATCACTATGCCATTCATTTTTATCAAAGTTTATATTTTAAATATTCCAACTATCAAATGTTTGTGAAAATAATTAAGAGAGATGGAAAGTTTTGAGCTCGGTAAAGAAATAGAGAAAGGTGTTTTTATTTTTTTTCGTATTGTCACGAGCGTGGGACAAAGAAAAAATTTTGAGTCCCCATGAGGAATCGAACCTCAGACCTTCGGATTCCGCGCTCCAATGCTCTACCACTTTTTTTGTTTAAACAAATAATATATAAATATATATCCTAAGACAATTGAAAAAAGGTTAAATGAGAATTCATTGGTAGAATTGTTCAGTGGTAGAGCATCAATTTTTTCTTTGTCCCACGGTCGTGACGGCCGTGCTCAATACATACCATATCTCTTATTTCTATCGACAAACATTACGCTATCGACATTTCTGATCCTAGCAGTATGCAGGACGCGTGTGGTAGAGCATCGGAGCGCGGAATCCGAAGGTCTGAGGTTCGATTCCTCATAGGGACTCAGAATTTTTTCTTTGTCCCACGCTCGCGACAAGACGAAAAAAAAAACATCTTTCTCTATCAAATGTTTATTTAAAAATAAATGAATCATTGAATAGAGACACTGGTACAAGCTTTGTATGCTCTTATCATTGAAAGAAAAACATTCTCCATAAAAGGAGTGCATGCTAGTAAAGTTTTCAAACAATCTAGAAGTCATCGAAGTGAGATAAGATTTAATCAGGACAAGGGAGCCGAGAAAGCCAAGTGTTCTTGCCAAAAGGTAAGTCCTTATAAAAGCTTTTAGCCCGAATTTATTTGTATATCGTCCAACCATACAACACTTCAAATCTAAGAGACCCTCGCGAATTTCGTGACTCCAAGGTTACGTGATTAGACACCTACATAACCTTGATTAGACATTAAAATCATTAGCCATCATCGTAGACAAGGAATCAATATAACATTTTAAAAACAGCTAAATAACGGCACTGACAGAAAAAGGAATCGGGGTAACTTTTAGGACACGGCATATCATGGTGCGGTAAGTTAACATTGACACAACGGAAGTATAAGAGCGATCTTCGTGGGTGTTTTCTTTGGGCTCTTTCAAGCGGAAATTTGTCGGCAACCCATGATTGTTGCAACTCTAGACGAATGTATTTAAAAAATGTTTTTCAGAATTAATTTATCTCGGCTGTGTTAGAAGATGCAATTTTATACTAATTTATTATAATTAGGTCTCTTCATCTGAAAGTACAATTTTTTAAGGCGATGCGGCCTGGCCATGTGGAACGGACGTGTCTTGTTATTCAGACGCCTGAGTTCCGGCTTCACTCACTTCATACCTCACGCTGATTTATCTTTCAACACTTCAGTCTGCGAAGTGATTATTCGAACAGTCTTTTTTTCAGTTTCCTTTTTGAAATAAAATTACTTTTGTATTACCTCCACACATGATAGAGGCAGGCGAATACGCAACAGAGTTATGTAGACTTTACCTCTAAGCCATGTAGTTAGATAATTGCTGTTAAAATAAATCTATTTCTTTTTTACACAGGACATTTTGGACTGCAAAAATGAGCCATTTACCGACATGCATATTAGCTGTCACGGTGGTCCTTTTGATGGGTAGGCTTTTTTAATTTTTTAATTTTTTTATATTAAATCTTCAGTTTTCATGTGCCGTGTTTATCAAAGATTTTCATAAAATAAATACAGCAAAAATTTCAACCTGACCGTTTGTTTTTGTTATTTTTATGATCGTTCCTTGACAGGAGTGGATTTTATAAACGGTATGTATAATCAGAACCTCTTTTTAAATTGCAAATTCCTTTGGAGAAAATATGAAATTTGTTGGTCGCAGAAGAAGCGCAAAGCCTTTTAGAACATAGTTAAAAAATTTGTGTTTTTACAAATCTGGCTCCTTTGAATATTTGCTTGCTTGCTTGTTTGTTTGTTTGTTTGTTTCGGTATATTTTATGCTGGTCGAGGTTACTTGCTAAAATTTTTAGGTTTAAGTAAAACCTTGTTACATGCAGTTTTGAAATGAATTTTGAAGACTCTTACGAAAGACAGTGATGGAACAGATCAGGTCGGCAATAATTCGCTTTTAAGTTATTGAGGTGAATGTATAAACGGCAAATATGTTGTTATAACGTATTAGCTGATAAGGTCAGATAGATATGGTCATTGGATGAGATGTTTTATCTTTCTCTCATGCTAAAGTGAATTCACTTTATTTACACGTTAACTATCTTAGGAGTACGACCAGATTTTTAACATTTTTTCTGCTCTTTTACCTCAACATTTAGGGCAATATTCTGCAGTCAGTAAGTAAACCAAGACATTGTGATATTCAGAACATGTGGAATGTGGTATAGGTTACAAACAGAACTTAATCATCCTTGCAGAAAAAAAACTAGTAACTTCTCTGCGGTTATTTTCATAACTAACATGTATGACGTTTAATCGAAAATTAATCGATCAAGAAAACAGAAATCGATAAATTATCTTTTTTCGATGTAGTGGTTAGTTAAGCAAACTTCACTTGTATTTAATGATCAAGTTCGAGTTTTGAATTTTTCTTTGGTTTAATAATTAAGGGTGTTTCAGGACCACTTAGTTATTTCAAAATTAAAATTCTTTGATGGGCCGATACACTGACACTCTCTCGCTAGTTAGCTTGAAATAAGTACTTCATATTCCAAATTGTTTCTAAGAGTCGAGTTCTGTTTTTTCAACAAAAGAGGGTATTATCATGAATAAGTGTAACAATATAGCTTTTTGTTTATAACTCTAGATCTACGTGTATGTAACTCAAAATAGAGTCGTGATCCACGTCGTGCACTACAATTAGCGTGACATTTTTGCGACGTTTAACAAAAATTGAATCGTTTTTTTCTTCTATCTAATTTCAGCCATCCCAGGTCATAAAATCAAAATAGTAGGTTGTTATGTAGAGAACCCAGCCAAAAGGAATATCCCTGTTACACTATTCAGTGACTCAAGTGCAAATTCAAAAACAAAGATTGATTACAAGAATTTCAAGGCGTACATTCTTAAAGCTATTCAGAGATGTGCAGCAGCGGCTAAACTAAAGAAATACGGATTTTTCGCCATGAACAACGTAGGTAAGTATAAGAAGTTACTTTTCCAATATGGTATGATCATTAATTGACTCAGTGTGATCAGATCACTGTAAATCACTTCGGCGGAACTGTACCATACCGGTCGTCAATAGTCTGTTATTACCCTCTACACTGAATGTGTTAACTTAGTAACCATGGCCACGACTCTACAATATAGATGATTAATTTGAAAGAAGGTGATTGCAGGTTGCTAACATGACATATACGTATCATCATAAGTGTATAGAATGAAAACAGCTAATGAAGTAGAAGAATAAATAATTAGACGAATAAGGTTAAGAGGGATATTTGCTGTAATGCAACGAGAAAAGCAAAAATCACTGATTTTAATAAATGTTGATCTATTCATTAATTTACTCTCACTTTTCTTTCCCGTTGCTCTTTTGCAGGAGATTGTGTTTCCGGCAAAGTCTCCGCCACTTATGCCAGGAGCGGGTCTTCAGCGAATTGCAAAAATGCGGCGGGCGCAAAGTGCAACAACAAGGAAGACTGTGTGGGTGGTGATACTAAGGCTAATTATGTTTACAAGGTGGAAAGTAAGTTTGCAAGAAATCATAAGGTATCTAGGTATTTCTATTTACCTCCTCTTTTAATTTTGTTCGGTCGATGGGCTTCTTAAGTTGAATCTTGTTCATCTACAGGGCAAAGTGTAATAGTTAGGGATAAAAGAAATGCAATGGCCAATCATAATCACGATTAAAAAAAAAAGCATCTTGAAGATAGTGGGATGGATAAGTTAAGGAACATTTAACTAAAGTCCAGTATGCTCTCGTTTATATGGCAATAGATGCGTATGACGCTAGAATTAGTGTAATGTATGAGCATAGAATGAATTAATTCAACATACCAAAATGTAACCAAATGAAGCCATAATTTATTCAAGGATTATCGTAAACTTACTTTCAGTGCTCCCAACCACGCCGACTACAAAACCGACAACAAAGAAGACGACGAAAGCAGGAACAGGTGCAACTGCACAACCTAAGGCTGGATCCGCCGCCCAACTAAGCGCTTTGATTTGTAAGTAGAATCAAGGTCTAGAGGCGAAGCATTTGATTAGATCATGGGGAATATTGGGTGCCACTGAGATTCTCAATAGTCCCTCATTCTACTGCTCCCCTCGATCACGCGAACCTTTTTCCTTCAACTGCATTCCTCAATTTTCAGTATTGTTAATTTAGCTAGCTAGAGCTATAGACTGTAAGAGAAATATATGGAATTCAAATGGAGATAATGTAAAAGTTATTACAGACGATATGTATGACGTTACCTTCTCAATGTTCAGGTCAGAATTACGTGGTTGCCATCAAAGCTTCTGCTGCAGGTAGCCCAAGCAAACCAGCTATCCCCACCCCCTCTAAGAAACCCACTGTGGCGGGAAAATCTACAGGTCCAACGGTGGCAACACCTACTACATCTGCAAAGGCATCAGGTCAATCAGCCATTGAGGCCAAAGTAAGTACTTAAAATTAATTATGTTTAGACATCGGCAAAGAAGGGTTAATCGACTCAAAAATCGCGAGATTATAGCAAACTTACCAATGCTGATTGAACGAACGCGGTTTCGGAACATTTTTGGCGTGGATTTAAGGAGCTAAATAAAAATATTTTGAAACCCATTTTTGCAGGGACGAAATTTAAACAGAGCTTACATGGACAAAACTTTGAAAAAATAGTTTTTTCAGGAAAGAACAGAGTGAAAACGCCGAAGATGAGAGTGCTGGAATAGTTATCAAGGAACGAAACAAGAATTGTTACTGACATGGGACGAAAATTACATACCACGTTGAAATTTAAACATAGGTGATTGGCATAACTCTACTCGCCGTATTTCTCTTTTCAGGTAAAAAACCTTTACCGTGGATATACTTGCCTTGTTTGCTTAAGGACGCTAAATACAAGGTATTCCGGCCTTACTTGATACATACAAGTCAATGAAAACTACGTTTTCCTGAAGGCTTTTGTTCTTTATATTAATCTTTTTCTTTGTATTCACAACCAATTGTCACACTAGTTTTGTTCGTTCACTTTTCAGTTCATCAACAGTGTATCTTATGCTGCAATTCAGTTGCCAAGGACAACATTTGCAGAAACTTGTGGCAGGAATTGGTGCCAGTAACATCGTCAAAGCAGGTTAGAGTAAAATTTTACTACAATAACATTGAATCATTTGAATGTTCTTTTTTTAATACAAATAACCTACTATTTTTGTTCAACTATTTGTTTTTCAGAATGCTACCCACCGCCCTGCACTACGGCAATGTCCCCTTGCCCTCTTCCCTGTGGAATGAACTCATGCCCCATGTCACCAGCCTCATCGTATCCATCAATTTGTCCAGCGACTTTACCAGCACCTGCTCCACTTCCAGCACCCCCACTAGCCCCTCCACAGTGCCCGGCACCTTGCCCGACAATGTGCGCTCCAGCATGCAATTCCCTCTGCTGCCGGTCCATGGTTCGACAAAAAAGCATAACAGGAGAAGCTGCCAAGAAATCGTCGACGAAGGAAGCTGACGATTTTGATGACGAAGATGACGACGCAAAGGACGATGAACAAGATGAAGATGATGTTGTCGAAGAAAATGATGACTCTGACATTGATGAGACTAACTAAGACATAATCCATTTCTTAAATGCTGCGTTCTATTGTTTTATATCATTATTGATAATACAACTATCCTCGTGCAGATACGCAATGAAGGATTTATGTGTCTTTAAGAACCGTGGAGTAAATTCCTTGAAAGAACGAAATGAAATCAAAGTAACTAAAGAAAAGTGCCCTCCAGCCAAGGAATGGAGGTTTATTTGTAAAGATTGGAAGAGACGTCTTATCTCATTCTGAAAATCTGATTTATTTCCCAATGCTCCTATTTTGAATGCCAGGCGTCAAGTCACCTTCAATACCAGCTTAAAATTAAGTGTAACTATAAACTAACCTTTCTTGAATAATACGATGCATCGAGTTATCTAGTTGTTATGTCTAAGGATATTGATTCAAAAGGCGGTGTTTTCCAAATCACAAGGAGATAATGAATAAATAAGTGTAAGATATTAACTAACTTTGATGGAAATTAGGTATAAGGAAGGAAAGATAACATTTTAATAAATTTTCTTGCAAAAGAATATGTTGCTGTTTTTAAATTCTTCAGAGAAAAAAATAAGAGGCAATGTTGTTTCTTATTTATGATTGCTTGAAAGCAAACACTTGCATTGAAATCGTACTCGAAATGCCGATTATATTATCTTCCATATTCGTGGCATCTTCCAAAACACATGTAACAACTTGTGCCATGCGGCAGAACATATATTTATCCTCCACGATACCAAAACGCCCCAAAGAGTAACAAGAGTACCTCAATTACCAATTGAAAAAGAGTAAATAGCCTTTCGTCGGAAAAATGGCGTCGGCTCCAAGTTCCTCTGCGACTAAAACTATCAGAGCGACCTGTGATAACCTTAATTTCAAATACTTCGATAGAGTTGCTCTTTCCTTGGTTTATGTTCACTGTAAAGATAAAGTGTATATTTAGGACGTGAGCCGGATGTGATGCCGGATGTGATGCACCAAATTGAGGTGAGATATGTGGGACGAATTTGCGCAAGCGTTTTAACATTGTGCCAAACTCCAAAGAGTACTCAATCTCCACAGTAGCGGCTCAAAGCAAGAATTATGAGCTTGTTTGTGAAAAACTAATTCGCCGATCAATGCACAGATGTGGAGGTGATCGAACTGTCGGGTGACTCGTAAATGACGTTGCAAATAGATGCGATTTTTTTAAGTAGTGCGCAGGTCGCTTAGACCTCGCATGCATACATCAATTGAGCAAGAATTTATATGTCATAACAGACAGATTCAAATAAAAATTTTTTCTAAAGTGTGTGCAATTATTAAATTTGCACGCACATCAAAACCACAACTCTTTATGAGCATTCAATGCTGTTGTGGAAGATGCCCATATGAAGGCGGCATTGTGCCTTTCTTCTTTCGCTATGTAATTGCACAACCATCCTGATTGGTGGGCGGCCCCGCAACTACTTCATGCTCATCTATATCACATGGCCCGTATGGCATGCATGTTCACGAAATTATCAATCATGGTATTACTATTCATGGAACAGAATCTGAGGTTATCTATCAGTCGTTATCAAACCAAATAAAAGCTAGTGGGCAGAATTATTTCTTGCATGCGTTTTTACTTAAAAAAATGATTATACCCAAACATGCCGAATCGCGCCTAATCGATAATTGAGACTACAGAATGTCAATACTAATCGATAAAATCAGTCATAGACGAGTTCATACAACTTCTAATACAAGAAATTAAGGAAAATTGGATCTCAATGCAAGGGCCCAGGTAAAATATATACTTTTGACCAGAATTCCGAATAGCTTTTTTTCGTGCAATTTGGAACAGCAAACATTGATTCCCTCCAGAAATCATCTTATCACCTTTTACAGTCTGAAACTGCTTAATTCTAGAATCATTCTATCGTGCGTACCCAATCAGGAAATATAAATTTTTTCCTTAAATCGACAAATTGAAACACAAAATTTCAGTAATTACAGCTTTATAAAATTACCCGAAAGAAGTGCTTCTTCACGTGCAGGTATTAAGTGTCTTGTAATAGCGCGTAGTTTGAAATGTTTGACTTCGTTATCATCTGCCTTTAGTTGAAAGGTCTGTCAGGTCTTTTTTTCGTTTTTCGTTTGTTTGTTTTTTACCGGACTCACAGCCTCACTTTGCAGTTTAAAAGCATACTTAGTAATTAATTACCACTAAGGCCCATTAATTGCCTCGTTATTGTTCTTTCCGTTCTTTATTATCTTAAAAAAAGGCATTTCCTGATTTGTTTCGATGAGGCATTAAGAAAAAGCGGTCTAAAATTGGTTACTAGTAATTCTTAAAAGTGGCGTCTTAAGATTCGATCTGGGCAAACGTTTTACAGATACTAGTTTATCATAAGCGAAATGGTTATCTTGAAAACTGGCTGCTTCGGTGCAATGAGAAATCTGATGCATTAAATCCACAAGAACTTTGGAAAATTTCAGCTATTACGGTAACTTCTATAAGACCTGTCACTACCTGACTCGTTAAAAGCAATCTTTCGAATAACACGACGTTTATTTGAGCACTAACAGCTACAAATATTAGATCAGGTATTCCTACAACTTCTCTCAATGTTGATATCTCAAGTATCTTCACCGTGGAAAATTATCAAATGTCGATGTAATTCCAATTTCTCACCTCATGGTGGTTGCCACCAGGCTTCAAGTCTTCATGTGTTCTGTGCATGTCTCAGCGATACTTTGACACTGAAAAATATCATCTGCTCATTTTTAATATTTTCAGGGGAAAATCAAATGAATGAACGAGGCGCAGATAAAAATTATAGCGCTTAAAATACTTTTAAGAAGAAAGGCTCTTAGTTCTTGCAGAATACATTACGGCATGTGCAATACCTGCTTTTTCGTAATAAGTATCGTCAATGTTTTTCTGAAATTGTTAATGACCAAGACTCCTATGCAATGTTACTCATTCGGAAATTGAACGTTATCGAAATCATGAAAATCATTTCAACGTATGGAAATCTAAGAAGCAACGTGGACGGCATCTCCATTTGTGAAGTAATTTCTTGTACTTAACACCTGGTACCCTCAAAGTGATGTCAAAGATCACATTTTGCAAAGACCATAACACGTTGGATGAAAAAGGAAAAGTTAATTTCGTTTAGCCTGAACGGGGAAAAGGGCGAGAGGACACATTTATCATGGTAAGTACATACGTGATAAGTAATTCAAAAAGGAAAATATCACTGTTTTATAGCCTGATATCTCTTATTGCTATACTTTATATCAAGATATTTGGCCTTTTTAATCCTTTTTAGAATGGTTGAAACAACTAAAACTTGAACGCTAATCTCTTATGCGTAAGACGAACTCGATGAAGAGTAAAGCAAGTAATCTGTAAATACTTATTTTTAATCGAAAGTGTCCCTAAGATTCAAGATTAATTCCTGAAAATTTTCTCCATTGCATAAATTCATACCCGCTTCTTTTATGTCAGTAATGGAATTTGTGAATTCGTTCTTCTGTAAATTTTCTTAAACCCCTTTGCTTAAGATCAGCCATCCAGTTGATGGTATCAACTGCTAATGATAACTGGAGAGGGCAAGTATTGGTTGTTAAAACTACTCCGCCCACCTCTAGTTTCGCTAATTTGACTGAAGAGGGCAATGTGACTATGTCAGGTCAGATCTGACGATCATTATGGAAGCCCTCTTGGATCCTCTTTTCATAACTGTCTTCTTAGTTAGATAAATATTTAATTTCTTCGTTCATTTCTTGAGTCGTTCAGATGATTTAGGAAATTGACGGATTGATCATTATTGCTTACATCAATAACGTAAGTGACAATGTTTTAGGAAAGAAACAATATAGAGCAGTTGCGATATTCATGAATATTTATTTGTATATATAAACTTCATCTTCTCTTGACTCCAATATTCGTGAGACATATCCGTCAAATAAGTGTTCGCCATAAGTCATTTGCGTTTCTCTTAAAATTTGTTTGCATATTTTTCTCTCCAAGACTATTCCAGGATTAAACCTCTATATCTGCTTCATCTGGATAGTTGTATTGATACACAAACAAGTGTCTGCAGGTAAGTATGTTTAACGATCTGTGTTCAGATATCGCAGTTATATTCCATTAAATCATTTGAACTGAATAATACGTCCTCCAATATTATAAGCATCTTTCCTAGGAGGAAAAGGATAGAAAGAGCGAGCACGATTATTTGATAAACGATTGTTTAAACTTGCAACACCTGCCGGAGAAGTTTGGAGAAGTTTTTAATCTCAAATTGTTATTAGACGAGAGGAGGATTGAAAACATTCCTAACATAACTGTGAGACCTGTAAGCGTTTCCCCGTGACCTGTTCAAGTTGTATCATAATTTTGCACCAGCAATTATTGAATATTTCAGTTAATTCCGGGCTAATGAGCCACTCTTCATCCCAGTTTTCCATTTTGGGTCGTTGAGAAAGGCAAATTTAAAAATAATGGCAATTCAGCTCTGTATTAAAGAGAAAAACCATTTTAAACGAAAAGCATGAGCAGGTAAGGCCCGTCTGCGCATCATTAGGTCATTGCATTTCCATCAATGGACCAAACTAGAGTATTCAACCAGAGTTTACCGAGTATGAGTGGTTAATATTTTATTACTATAAAAATAAAATGTTTTTATTAGTAATAGGAAAGAAAACTTACTAGTTCGGAAACTGACGTAATTAAAGACAAAGATTAGTTTACACACGCTCCAGTATTTGTTACGTCACCCCAACCTCTTCAGAACATTAAAGTAATCGAAATCGAATCTAACTCAATGCACAACTATAAATTAGACTATGAAGTGCCGTTAATTGCATCTTTGTCAGGCGTTTAACTATATCTTTCAGTGGACTGTCAGGAAGAATTTGAACGACTTGGGTGCCACGGTGCTTTCTTAGGGGCCTTGCGCCTTATACCGGAGGTTTTGTTCAACGACTCCAACTTGCAAAGCATAGATGAGTTAATTTGCAAATGTGCAGAACAAACAAGGTTTAAGGGATATCGCGTTTTTGCGGTCCAAAAAGGAGGTGAATCAGAAATGATAATTGATAAATAAATAAGTGTGACTCCACTAAAACCCAAATTTTCATTCATTTGTTTCTCCACTTTTTCATTACCGTCTATTTTGTTTTTTCCATGTTGTCGTTTTTTTGTTCTTGTTTTTTCGTTTGCCTGACCTTTTTTTTTTTCTGTTCTATTCCTTGTTTCTTTGTTTTTTTATTTATCTTATTTTTTGCTTGTGTTGTTTATTTATCTCTCATTTAAAAACTTCTTAATTCAATCAGTTAAAGTCAGATCACAACAGCTTAGGTCTTCAGAATCAGGAAAATTTCCAACAATCTTCTTCTATGATCAAGATATTTTTTTTCCTATGATACGCGTCTCAAACCAAAAATATCCTGGTAACGGCAGTAAATTTTTTGGTTGAAGTCTAACCTTCTTAGCATGAATACAAATTTCAAAGCACTACTGGAAAGCATCATGCTGCCTGAGCCTGTCCAGGAAGAAAGGCTACCCTGGCTAATCTAAGCCGCCCGGGTTCACTTTTGGAAAAAAGCTCTGTCAACTTATGCAAAAATGTTTTTTTTGCATTTCTTCATATCTTAAGATGAGGTTATCTTGGGTATACATAGATATTCAAAATGAACAAGACAAACTAAGTTGTAACTGTACATTATTTGTTGTTGTTTTCGTTGGTATTTCGTCTCAGGCGTAAAAGCTGCGGAATGGAACAGACCTTTTGTTTGGCTTTGTTTTTATTTTGTTAAATTTCGCTTCGTATGTTAGACTTCAGTCATACAAGCTAAGATCCTGCTGTGAAACTAAGGCCGTAAGGAACCTCCCGCCCCCTCTTACCTCCTCAGGTTTTCCTTTCTATGAATTGGCATCAAAACTAGGTTATGCATTTCAAATACGCTGCTCTTGTGCAGTGATGTCACCTGACGATCTTTGGTGAACTTCTTCAAAACCCTAGGATACTGCTGGTCAGGGAAAGACGCTGAAACCTCATTTCCTCTGGCTGGACAAGCATTCGATTGCAAAACCTTTGATTCTAAATCATGTGGCAAAGATGACAAATATTGTGTCGGAGAAGAAAAATCAGTCTTCGTTTATAGATTACTGGGTAAGAAAAAGCGCTTTTACCTGTAAGTAGTTACCTTTCAACGAATGCAAGACATTTTTGCGTGTATTTTATAACAAAAAAAAATAAGGTTTGAAAACTTTAAAACTAATTTTTTATCTATGTCCTTTGCAGATAATCAAAACCATACTCTCATTCCACCGAAACGTATGTATTGTAGTACCCCATTCACACCAGCAAAACATGTTTTGTTAAACTGGTTTTCATTGAATGAAAATTATAAACAGAGAACTGAAAAACTTGATTTTCCATTGGATTCAAGTACTTGCTAACTTGCATTTCCAATGTGCTACATTCAAGTCAAAATTATTCGGTTAAATAGTTTCTATGAAGAAAAAAAAAATTAAACTGTGTTTAACAAAACAACTTTTAAACATGTTTAAGCTTTGGTGTGAATGGGGCATAGGAGGTATTCACCAGTGTTAAGGGACCAAATCTTATTTATTGCTTAGAGGGAGGGGAGGATGGGGGATTTGGAGGATTTTGAGGGAATTAAGGTACTTTGCAAATGTCAGTCGTGACAGGGCAATGTGATTTTCAGAAAAAGCAATCTAACGTGTCACTTACAGTTAGTTTTCAACGTAGTTTCAAGGGATACATATCATTAATTGCCGGGTCAATTTACAACACCAACCTGTCATTCCAAGGCCCGAGTAAAATTGAAAGAAGACTACTTGTAAAAGTCAACACCATATAAGCTTGAATAGCATACTATGTTAACGAGCCACACTCAACCAGTGTGCTTTGCGTGCCCTTGTCATTGTTATTATCCGGGAACTCAATACTTTTTCTGACAAACCCACGAAACGGCAATTATTACCACAATGGTAGGAGCTTTTGCTTTTTTGATAATAAGGGTATTATCGCTCAGTGAAAAACTAACCTGCTACTTTGGAAGAGGTATATTTTCAAAGTTTTATGTCTGTGGAAGAGAAGAATTTGTATGACAAAACAGCACATCGTATCATGATACAATCACTATTCACGGCTGAAATATCAGACTCAGGAATTTTATTCTTGAACATAAAAAAAGTGTGAAAGCGAGAGGTTTAACAGGGATTCCATCCTTGATGCCTTACAAAGAGACGGACACCTTCGATTACTTTAATTTTTATTCATATCATTCACCAGGCACAAAGAAAAGATTCGTAAAAGGAGAAGCGCTATGCCTCCAACAAATAAGTTGATCACCCTCCACATTTAACAAAAACAGTATTTCAAAATACACTTAAAGAATAGAGGATACCAATATAAGATTGGGTAAATTGTATCTCTGAAGTTGATTTCACTTGGAGAAAAAGGTCACTCATGAACTTGCATGGGATCATGCGATCGATTGTAAACGTTTCTCCATCTGACTGTCACCCAAGTGCAGAGAGGAGCTTTCTTTTTTACTTTCCTTCGAAATACTGTGTAGGAGTGCATCTGCGAACTCTATGCTTGTTTTCTTGTCAATTCCTAAAGCTGTCTCGCGCTCATTTCATGCTTTTCAAAATTGACCTAGTAAGCCATATGCTATAGCGGCTTTCCATTTCTGCAGGACGAACTCCTGATGGCTTCATCATCTAGAACACGGAATGAAACGACAAAAACACATAGCAAATAGACGATAGACACGAAAAGAAATTACCCCGCAATGCATTCTTGTTGAGCGTTGCTCTTTAATTAGTATTTGCAAAATTATCAAGCGTTTTTAATGATAAGGCCAAAAAAAGTATTGGGATGTTGGAACATAAAGTGGGAAAAAGTCATGAAAAAAACTGCTTTTTTCGAAAAAAAACGTGATTCAATTGGTGACCACTTTATGCAATATAATTATATTAACCGCTTGTGATTAAATTCACAGCTTCATGTCCATCGCCGAAATCGGAGCATCACTACGATTTGGAATGTAAGTAAGATAAAACTGCTTCTCGCATTTTTTCAAAAGTATTCGTCAGTCGGTTTAATAGGAAAGGTCTAATGCTGAAGCCATACGATAAAATATTGGCAAAACCAGTTTTCTTTGGGCTGTTTTTAAAGCGTATTCTCGTGTGGAATGCTTGTCTTGCCAATTTCCTTTCCAAACCGAGGAAAAAAGTAACTTTCAAGCGACAACATAAAGCGTGCATCAAATTCTCTTGGGGAATCTTATTGTCGTCTTAGAAGGTGAGTTTTATTTCATGTTGTGCATCATATTTGCAGGCAAGGTGTATAACTTAACAGTACTGATGACGAACACTTCCTTTGATGATTTCTTATGGTTTGCACATTCGCCCCAATTCATTGAGCTCAGAAGAGAGTTTGAACTTGGAGTAAGTATAAAGCTGATTCTGCCAGTTTTAAAAACCTTTGTTTGTTATCAGCTTTTGTAAACAGAAAGAAAACTCGAACAGGACCCTCCGCAACATACCATCCGAAGTTGAAAAAAAATGTTTTACAACGCAACTCAATTTAGGAGTGAAACTGAAATCGTTTAAAATTGCTAATGTCTATGCATCTAAGGGAATAGCACAATATCAACAAAACAAATTTACCTATGTTCTTTCAATATCGCCATTTTTTCTTTTGATTGAAGCTTGCAATTTTAATTTCGGCCGAAATAACACATTGGTTATAAAACTCGTTGTGCAAATACGCATCATAAAAATAGAAAGCTAACTCTACCACTGATACGAAACCCACTGGTGAAACGAATCATAAAATTTTACGCCCTGATCATCGCGACCAACAAAAGGGATCTTAAAACTTTATTACATGTAGACTTAATAGTTAGCACGCTGCTAGACTTTTCTGTATCGATAAGTACGGGTAGGCGTCCAATGGTCATTTTCCTGTGATCTTTGGCAAGACTCTACCCTTTCGATGCCTAACACTAACCAAAGGTAAAAACGAGTATCAGTAGGAAAGCTCTACGAATATCTGGGGCGTTATCTTTATCGTTGGACTAGCAGGCATTCTGAGTCAGAGGTGTAGCTACACCCATGTTCGCTTCATGCTATTGTAGCTCGAATAACCCCTGGGAAAACGACCAATCAGGCTGGTGAGACCAAGCCAGTATGCCACACTTTTTAAGTATGACGCTGCGAAAGGTAATGTCGAAGACCAGGAGCCTTTTAAGGTTTCTAAAATGATAAGTATTCAAAATATAAACTAATTCTCTAAAAATTACATTTCCAATGCAGGTTTTGCAAGCGTACGATGGATATGATCCTTTTCTCGGCGTTACGACTTTGAGATTCAGGTAGCTCACTCATAGTAAATAGAGAAGAGGCCAGGATCATTGAGAGAGAGAAAAAATTCGATGGATCAAATTCTAAAAACTTGAGATGTTTAAAAACACACGACTTGACGATGCAAAAATTCCATCACTATTAACAAAATATGTTTCAGTTTAAATCAGTTCATATGCTAATATAGTTTTGAGATTAAGGTGTTACTTTTTTATCTTTGAACAGCGAAGCTCCGGGAGACAGCAACATTGTGGTGCACTTTGCTATCGAGTTTAAAGACAAGGGAGTCCATCTTCATAACTTAACTGCGGCATTAGCATGTCAAACTTTGGGCAAGCACACTTTTCTCTCATCATTGGGTCAAGTTGGTGAGTTTGCAGAGCAAGAATGTTCTGGGTGACTTGTAATTTTGTTTGAACTAACCTTTTTCATAGTTCCAGAAAGTTATAAGCCTCTATTCTGAAGTCATCTTTCCAAATATTCTTACAGCGGGAGGTTTCTGATTCTAAGATCAGACCGTATTAAACTCGTCCACGCTTCCCAGCCCTTTATCCCCAGAAATTATTTTAATATTCTCCCTGATATTTTCTTCACACTCCCATGGTACTGAAAAGATGATTATTTGTAAAGCTTATTAAGTTAGTGATCATTTCCTTTATCTCATGATCTGGACGTTAAGGGGTGACACTGCAAAGAAAAATCATATACTAGTAGCCCCCTGAGTTTAAAGTGTTTATTCATTTCCTTTTTAAAATAGTAATTAATTGAACAGTTGTGGTAAAACCCATTTCAAATTTATCAAATACACTTATCGCTATCTTGGTTGTTTGTTAGCATGTTACAAGGCACCTCCGCCTCCAGTCTGCCCACTTCCATGTTTCTCTGCCTGTGCTCCACACTGTTACTCCAGCTGCTGCCAGCAGTACCACCCTTACTACTATGCTCCAACACCGCCTCCTCCACGTGATATTAATCCAGCTCCATGCCCAGAAGGCTGCCCCATTACATGTGCACCTTTCGGATGCACTACTCACTGCTGCAACAATGGTCATAGTCTGCCGCATTATGTTTACGGGAAGCGTCACGAAGCTCCAAAGCCAGAGAAGCAATCGAAGATTGGCCACATCTTCCGTAAACATCATGGGAAGAATTAAAAGAAAAAAATCAGGAGCAAAAAGAATCAAAGAAACAAATTCCAGTGAGAAGAATTTTTGATTTTTTCCTGATTTCATATCATGTAAGGTCTACCAGGCAAGAACTACATTTCCCGAACTAGGGTTCAGATAATCATCTGAAGCGTCAAAGTTATTCCTATCAGGCCTGGAGCCATTGATTCTAATCATTATGTGATAATAAATAGCCAAATTTTGCCTGTCTTATCGAATGCAAAAATGTAAAAAAATTTTTGACAATTCCGAGATTCCGATTTACATTCTATGGAAATTAAGTCAATGATGGCTATCTAAAGTATTTTAGATCAATAGCAAAGTATCTGAGATCATTCTAATCAACATTTTCTGTTGGTATGAATTTGTTTACTTTTTATGGCTAGACCTACTACCTACACGGGTGTTCTAAAATGTTTACTAAACCTTCCCAATGAACTCAAGGTCCATAACTCCGTTATATAAAAAAAAATTGGTTCAAGTACAATGTACTGTAAAGTAAATGATTTGAAGGTAGAATAAACACTTGATCACCCAATCTTGCGCGTGTTGTAAGTTTTGGAATTGGTAAGAAGGGGATGAGTGGGTCCTTTGATCGATCAACAGAAACCGTCTTTTGCTTCCGGGAGTGGAGAAATATTGAAAGGTAGCCCTAACAAATGAAAATTTACACGGAGCCTCTCAAGTTTCACCAGAATAGTTAATAGAGTACAGAGGACTGAATCCACCGAAAATACCTTCGACAAGGAAGGTCATTATATACAATTGTTTTATATCCCTTTTGAGAAAGTGAAGGAGTAATTTGAGGTATCTCATTTTCATTTAAACAAATGCTTTTATCCCCAAACAATAAGTCGCTGTGCAAATATATTGCTTGAACGATAAAACGCACTGATGCATCCTTTACTCCACTGATAAATCTTTATCAGAGATAGTTCGCTTTAGCGATTCATCGCGATAATGTACCGCGTTGAAGCGATTTTGTCGCTTGAACGATAAATCGCTGGAACGATATATGAAAGGTTCGACTTATTGTTTTCACGTTATGATGAAACGCGCGATACATAGCCGATATTTCGGCGATATCTCGGAAGAACAAAACGCAATATTCGACTCTGATCGTTTGTATTACTTTGGCACAGTACTGCATGTCAAGAGAAGGTCACCTATAGTTAATTTTCAAGTACAGGAAGTCAAGGAAGAATTTCGACCAAAACTCTGCCGATGGGGGACAAATAAGTTTTAGCGGAATGACTAATTACTACCTCTTTCTCTTTGAACGTCTACTGCAGTTTCATTCAATGAAAGACAATTTCTGGAGAGGAGATGTGGGGGCTTCAATGTCACTCCGAGATTCGCAGCTCGCGACGGATTACAATCGAACGAGAAGCCTTATGGAAACGAGCATTTGTTTCTAGAGGGCGTGATTTTAAATTCTCTTTTATATATATTTTTTAGGAACAAATCAATGATAAACATTTAAATTGTTTTTCACGGTGTTTCTTCATGATTTTTTAATAAGTCTTAATGCTTTGACGGTATTGTAAAGTAAATAACACTTAGGTTTGGCAAATTGGAAAAATAAAGCATGCTTCGTCTATCAAACGATAAACTTAATGAAAAAAAAAACTTCTGTACATTGGCTATTCAATAATTTTAGATATTTAGTACTAAAAGCATTGCAGTTTTATAGCGGGATCAATCTCAACTCTGACGAGTCTTGATTTTTTTCTTCCAGAAGAGATATCCAGACGGTAATTACCATAATTGACCGGTAATAGTTCTTGTATTTCACACCTCCTGTGCACCAAATAAATTAAGATACCAAATTTTTAAAAGCCCATAACAGGTAGGGTGTTAACTTACAGCAATCAAGTCGGTCATTTAGGGGATTGGGAAATCTTCGAAAGAGCAACAGGAACATTGGTAAGTAACAAGATTAAAAACGTATGAACAAGAAAACCATTTAAATTCCCGAAAACTTTAAATAATAGTTCGCAAAGCCAGCTAACTTAATCTTTCACTGACTATTTTAAATTCAGACTCCGAACCGTGTTATAGCCCGTAGCGGATCGACCAACGGAAAGAATGGCGATAGTTTCTCCACATTGTTGCTACAACATTATTTTTATAGTGATGTTCATGATTCCTTTGCGCGAATTCAGAAATTTCGTGGTAACTACGAGTTTGATATTTGAATGAAAGCGCAAATATCCTCACTGAGACCGGTCGCTGAAGGTCAAAAATGTAAATCGAATTTGGTTTCGTGTACAATGCACTTAATCGATTAGATACTTTCGATAATTCAAGCTAGCACACGTGCATCTATATTATGAACTTTCACAGCTCTAACTGCCATTACATGATGATGATGTTATTGGTTACTCCATCAAAAGGCTGTTGCATTTTTTGACGAAAATGCTGTCAACTGTTATTCAACAACTTTTACGACCACTACCTTTTGCTGGTCAGTCGAGAATAAGGGAACTCTGTCTTCTTTTTCCTTTTTTAGAGCATCAAAGGAGTCGGGATTTAAGGTCTTTGGACTACAATTTTTTGGTAAATGCGCGCTGTTGCAATCAAACTCTATGTACTTTTAGTCTGTAGTAAAACAGTGGACAGCGTCGAAGGCGTCCTTTGATTGGCTATTCACACTATTGATATCCTTTGCTATTCACCTCCGAGCAGCTTACAATTTGCACGCGGAATAATATAAGGAATAAATAAGTTAAAGGAATAAATAAGTTAAATCATCTTTTATTGCTCAATTATCTTACTTAAAATAGCTAGCGGTGAGTTTTTACCCCACCGCTCCGCAGTTCGGTAAATTCCACCTCCTCTTCGGTGAATAATTGTTCTTTATTATCTGATAATTTTCTCAATGTTGAACTAAAAAAATCGGGTGGAGGGGAGTATTGACACTCCTTTCCCACTTTTGTTTTTGTTCTCTCAGGCCTTCGATAATTTTTTTTTCAGTATGTTTGTTTGTTTTTTGTATAGTGGGGGGGGGTGTTGGGTACTTTCGTAGTTTTAAGAGCAGTGACGCATTATAAAATTTGTGGGATCAAAACGTTTGAATTTTTTTAACATGTTTACGAGCTGCACACAACACGGATCTCCGTGATCATGCAAAACACAGTTAGAAAACAGGACTTAGAGAGTGGTTTAAAGGAATACAATTAAACTGTCTGGAGAAGCTCTGAAGGTTAGGAATATTTTACTTTGACGGGGAAATATAAACAATGCGAAAAACAAATGTGTGGAACTTATTCTGAACTTAGGTGAGTGTTGGTCGGGTGTTAACGCTGAAAACACTTATAAACAAGACGGACCCAGTCAAGAATGCTTAACAAATGACTTCCTCAAATGTGGACCAAAAGACAAGTACTGTGTCGGAAAACAAGACACTAACTTTGTGTACGCAATAAACGGTGAGTGTTCTTTGCCTTGCATTAATACTGTGTCTGTTTCGGAACATATAAATATGAACAATCTCGATGTAAGAAGTCGCGAGAAAGTACTGGTTCAAGTTGTGCCACTGGAAAAAGCAGGAAATTTTCCGCATGTATCGTATTGATTTTGTCAGCCAAATTAAAGCTATTTCTGCGAGACCTGAAAGATGTGCACAAGTCCTCCAATCCCCAGCTCAATAGATATCACGAGGAAAACAAAAATTTCAAAAATTGAAAATCAAGAGGAACCTTCGATTGTTTTCCGTTTTTGTCTTGGCTTAATTTTGTTACATTTACCCAGTCTTACACCCACTTGATAACCAAATCAAACGAGAAAGGTAAAGAGCTAACTATGTTCAAAACTGCAGCTTCAAGTCCAACGTCACAACCGACTGACCAGCCAAAGACGAAACCGACTACCATTCCGAAGACCACTCCGACGACGAGGCCGGAAACTGTGCTGTGTAAGAAACATTTGTACTCGGATAGAGACCTTCCTTACATTTTTGAGATAGAACTTCCTTATCACATTTTGCTTAATAAGTCTTTCCATAATACTTATAAAAGAAACAACATATCGTAAAGGAGGTTATTGCTCATCGTGGTGGTAAGTTACAATAAACTATTTAATAATTTGTCTCAGGATGTAGTCTCTTGAGATGTAGATCGCGACGTTTCGACTGCTTACTGCTAGTCTTCATCAGGCACGAGAGGGGTATACGTTTAGCTTGTACCCAAATTTCCGCTGTTTCTAAGCACGCCAACAAGACCGGCCACCACCCGCTTTGGAACGAACTAAAGTTTATTGATCGAGACTCATACTGGTATACACCAGAAGAAACAAGGAAGCTATCCGCATAAGACTTCACCCTGATAACATCAACAGGGATAACGGAATCGAAATTCCTGAAGCATGGATACCAACGATCAAGAAACACAAAGGGAGACCAGTACGACAGCAAACCGCCGAGGGAACCTCTCGGAAAACCAAAACTCACCGGAACAATAGAGATCGAAATCCTGATTGCCACTGCCTTACAACATTGAAAATCGACAGTTCAATTGTTTTCCATTTTTGTTTAGTTTTGTCACATTTAACTCACTCTTACACCCATTTGATAACCAAAATAGAGAAAAAGGTAAAGAGCTAACATTGTTCAAAACTGCAGCTTCAAGTCCAACGTCACAGCCAACTGGCCAGCCAAGGAAAAAACCGACGACCATTCCGAAGATCAAGCCGACGACGAGGCCGGAAAGTGTGCAGTGTAAGAAACATCTGTATTTGGATAGAGATCTTCCTTGCATTTTGAGATAAAAGTTCTCTATCTCATTTCAGAGAGAAGCTCTCTGTGTAACTTTCCTCCGAATTACTGTGCAGGAGGGCTTTTGCGAACACTCTGCTCGTTTTCTTGCCAAATCCTACTGCTACCTTTTGCTCATCCCTTACTTTTAAAAATTGACTTAGTAAGCCATATGATTTGGCGGCTTTCCATCCCTGCAGGTCGAACTCTTGATGGCTACATTATCGCTAAGGCGGAATGAAACGACAAAAATACGTTACAAATAGACGTTAGCCACTAAAAGAAACTAGATGAGGGTAAAAAAGCCGGTTTTTAATTTAATCGATTGATATCACACACGTGATAAATTTTCCTTTTCTGCAATACATGAAATCCTGAGAATGGCTACTACCCTCGCAATGCATCCTGGTTGAGCGTGGCTCTTTAATTAGTACTTGAAAAACTCTCGAGCGTTTTCAATGGGAAAGCCAAAATAATATTGGAATGTTAACATAATATAGGAATAGTTACGAAATAAACAGCTTTTTCAAAGGAAACAACAACAATTTAGCTGGTGACCACTTTGTGCAATATAATTGTACTAACCGCTTGTGATTAAATTCACAGCTTTATTTCCATCGCCGAAATCGGAACATCACGACGATTTGGCATGTAAGTCTATGAATCAGAATTTTCAAAAGTTTTCGTTAGTTGTGTTTGATAGGAAAGGTCTAATGCTGAGCCCATGCGATAAAATGTTGGCAAAACCAGTTTTCCTTGGGTTGTTTTTAAAGCTTATTCTCATGTGGAGTGCTTGCGTTGCCTATTTCCTTTCCTTACTGAGGAAAAAAGGCGTGCATCAAATTCTATTGGGAAATCTTATTGAAGTCTTAGAAAGTGAGTTTGATTTCATGATGCGTATCATATTTGCAGGCAAGGTGTATAACTTAACAGTACTACTGTCGAACAATTCCTTTGATGATCATTTAAGGTTTGCACATTCGCCTCAGTTCATTGAGCTCAGAAGAGAGTTTGAACTTGGAGTAAGTATGTAGCTGATTCTGCCAGTTCTTAAAAAACTTTGGTTGTTATCAGCTTTTCTTTGGCAGCAAGTAAACTTGAACAGAACTCTCCATAACATACCATCCGAAGTTCAAAAAATGTATCATAACGCAGCTCAATAAGTGGTGAAACTGAAATCAAAATTGCCAATGTATTTTTTTGCGGCAAGGGGAATAGCATAATATCAGCAAAACAAAGTATCTCTATTCCTTTTAATATCACCCTATTTTCTTTTGATTGAAGCTTGCAATTTCAATTTTGGCCAAAAAAGACTGGTTATAAAACTCGTTATGAAAATACGAATTGTGAAATAGAAAGCTAACTTTACTACTGTTACGAAACCCATTAGGAAAACGAAATGAAAAAATTTTACGCCCTGATCATAACCCTTGGAAGGGTGACCAACGAAAGGGATCTTGAAATCCTGTTAAATGTTTGCAATACTTATTTAATAACTGCGTGGGAAATCCTAGGCTTAATAGTTAGCACGCAGCTGAACTTTTCTGTATCGATGAGTATGGGCTCGCCTCCAACCCGGTTCATTTTGTTGTGATCTTTGGCATGACACTCTACTCTTTCAGTGCCTAACACTAACCAAGGGTAAAAATGAGTACCAGTAGGAAAGCTTTACGAATTTCTGGGGCTTTATCGTTATCGTTAGACTAACCGGCATTCTGATTTAGAGAAGTAGCTACACCCATGTTCGCTTCATGCTATTGTAGCTCGGATAACCCTCGGGGAAACGACCAATCAGGCTGGTCAGACAAAGCCAGTATACTACACTTTTTAGGTATAACGCCGCAAAATGTAATGTCGAAGACCAGAGTGTCCTTTTGAGAGAACAGAAGGACCCTTTTTAATTTCCTCATGTAATAAGTATTCAAAATATAAACTAATTCTCTGGTGCTTACATTTCCAATTAGGTTTTGCAAGCGTACGATGGATATAATCCTTTTCTCGGCGTTACGACTTTGAGATTCAGGTAGCTTACTCATAGTAAATTAAGAAAAGGCTAGGATAATTGAGAGCGAGAAAAAAGTCGATGGATCAAATTCTAAAAACTTGAATTATTTAAAAACACACGTCTTGACGATGCAAAAATTCCATCACTATTAACAAAATATGCGTCAGTTTATATCAGTTCATATGCTTATATAGTTTTGAGATTAAGGTGTTACTTTTTTATCTTTAACAGCAAAGCCCCGGGAGACAGTCACACTGTGGTGCACTTTGTGATCGAGTTTAAAGACAAGGGAGTCCATCTTCATAACTTAACTGCGGCATTAGCTCGTGAAAATTTGGGCAAGCTCACTCTTCTCCCATCACTTGGTCAAGTTGGTGAGTTTGCAGAGAAAAAATGTTCTGCCTGCCTTGTTATTTGTTTGAACAAACCTTCTTCATTGTTCTAGAAAGTTATTAGCCCCTATTCTAAAGTCATCTATCCAAGTATACTTACTATGGGAGGTTTCTCATTCCGAGATCAGACTGCATTAAACTTGTCGACGCTTTCCAGCCTTATATCCCCAAACATTATTGCGCATATTCTTTATAATGTTATCTTTACACTCCCATGATACTGAAAGGAAGATTTTTGTAACAATCAAAAGCTTGTTAAATTAGTGATCATTTACTTTCTTCTCGTGATCTGGATGTTAGATTCAAGGGGTGACACTGCAGACAAAAATATGTCAGTAGCCCCTTAAGCTTAAATTGTTAATTTTTTTTTTTTTAGTAAATGATTGAACAATTGTTGTAAAATTCATTTCAAATTTATCAAATGTACTAATCACTATCTTGGTTATTTGTTAGCATGTTACAAGGGACCCTTCCCTCCAGTCTGCCCACTTCCATGTTTCTCTGCCTGTGCTCCGCGCTGTTACTTCAGCTGCTGCCAGCAGTACCACCTTAACTACTATGCTATCCTACCGCCTCCACATAATATTCATCGAGCCCCATGCCCAGAGGGCTGCCCTATCACATGTGCACCTTTCGGATGCACTACTCACTGCTGTCATAGTCTGCCGCATTATGAATACGGGAAACGTCACCAAGCTCCAAAGCTAGGGAGCAATCGAAAATTGGCCACATCTTCCATAGACATCATAAGAAGAATTAAAAGAAAAAAGAAAAAACCAGGGGCAAAAAGAATCAAAGAAACAAATTCCAGCGAGAAGAATTCTTGATTTTTTGCTAATTTCATATGATGAAAGGTCTACCAGGCAAGTACTATATTTCCTGAACTGAGGTTCAGATAATTATCTGAAGCCTCAAAGTTATTCTTATCAGGCCTGAAACCATCGACTTTAATCAAATATATTAAAGTTCACACGGCAACCAGGTGGACAATCAGACATAGTTTGATGCTACTCTGGTTTGCAGATTTAATGAATGTAACTGAAGAAGTTACAATTCATAGACCCAACGTTTCGACGCTCCTGTCTAGTGCCTTCATCAGGGGTGACGCCTATTTGCACCTCGTTAGAAAAAAGGCCGCTAATTAGTGATCATATAAAAGGACCTCTTGTTGCAGCGTTTAGATCACCCCTGATGAAGGCACTAGACAGGAGTGTCGAAACGTCAGGTCTATGAATTGTAACTTCTTCAGTTACATTCATTAAATCTGCAAACCTCTGTGTCTCGATTAAGCGCGCGGCCAAACCGATTATATTTCATATAGCTGTGACGTAGAAAACTGAGAAGACACGTCGGAAACTATGATTGAGAAAAGAGAAATCTAGGAGAAAGGACGAACGCAATGCGTGGCCAGAGCGCTTAATGATGTTCGTGACAAGAATTGTACTCATATGCCGAGTATTTCTGTACACTACTCTCCAAAAGATGTAGCTGTATGGCCAAAATGGAGGCGTTTCGATCATCAACATCAAGGAGATTTTACGGCCTTATGCTCCGTACCGGCTTCGTAGACGGCTGTTACGAACACATACCATTGGTCAAATCAGGGGAACATAATTTATATGAATTCACCTTAAAAGAATGCTGATTAAGGGCTGGTTCCCACACTGTACACGAACGTTCAACATTCTTTTCGACTGACATTTTGCAAGCGAAAAATGGTGAGTTCCTTGGTGTTGTTTATTTCACGCGCTTGAGATGTACTCATACTCCTAGTCTTTCCATATGACTGCATTTCCACTTTTCTTATCATATGAAAATCCTACCAATTGTAGCTTCCATCGTATTTTAAGAACAGAATTACATCATTTGTAATAAAGTTCAAGCCCTTTTAGTCCAGGACCGCATGTACATAATTCGAGTTCCGTGGGGATTCCCAGTCGAAAGCAAGCCACTGCACTAGATATGTTCAGGGGACCTTAAATAACCAGAAGAGTCGTGTTGCCACTTTTGCAACCTGCTCCAACGCTTTTTAGAGGATATTTTTACAAATTCCTTCGTAGACCCTGCATGAAAACGAGGCTACTACATAAAACATCCAATAACATCTTTTATTATGGAAAAACAGCAACAATTATATAGATCTATGTTCTCTTTGATATGTTTAGTAACTGTGAGTCACCACATCAGTCACGCGACTTAATGAGCATGGACTTGAGGATGGTTTACTAAAGAATCTTTCGAGCTTCCAAAAACCTCTAAATGCTATGCTGTACCTCATAGACAGCGTAGAAAAATCTTTTAGCTCAAACTGTTCCTTTCCGATAAATTATGCTGGTCACGTGAATTTCAAAAACATGAAACCGAAGCTACGATATTTAGCTTTGCTTGTGTGTTCAATTCTGACAAAACAAAAACAAAAACAAAAACAAAAACAAAAACACAATTATTCCCGACATAATTATTAATCAGAGTCATATTCATCACCATCGTCTTCCTCATCACTCTCGTTATCATCCCAAGAACCCTCGTCTTCATCGTTACGCACATTTTCACACGGTTTTCCGCTATCTAAACACACATTCTCATTCCAGCCCATTCTTTCTAAACTGGCAGCGTTTGTGGAGCGTCACTCCCTAGTACACTTGTACTTTAGAAGATGAGTAACAGCTTGAGGTAATGGAGGTGCTTTCTTCATCATGACAACCCAATGGTCTGTAGGTTTGCTACAACATCGTTATTCCACAATAGAAATTGATAGTGGACTCTTAAGATTGCTTGTTTCGGTGCAGCCTAGGTCGGTGGCAGCCACTCCGACTGGGCTTGTTTATTCTTAGAAAGCAACCATCTCAGTTCTGTCACAGAACACATGTTTGTCTTGGGGAGATTCGGCTGACATACAAATTTCATGATTAAAGGCATTATCTGAACTCTGGGAATCACATCCGCACCTCCAAGCTCAGAAAGATCATTGATGATTTGAACTTCCATGAAAGCTTTCCAGCATGTAGCTTTCCTCTTTCCGAAAAACAGCCAGTGTTTTCTGCTTTACTAAAAGCTGAGAGAGTGGTTCGATGGTTCTTGCCTGAACCGGTGACAAGAAAGGTTGCTTTTGCGAATACTTGAATAATGCCTGGGAACCAAGATGAAAACCTCTGTGTCAAGAGAATATCGTAACTCTAGCTGTGACATCAACGGCGGTATGTTAAACAATCTCCTTGTCTGTTCCCTCTTGGTTGCCCTCTCGGTTGCTTTGGAGGTAGGAAAATATTCTCTTGTTCCCATGTGTTCTGACCTCCTACTACAACTACTCGTCTTAAATTTTGTCAGCTAAGGTCGATGGTCTTTTGTGCTTGATAGTCTGCCTGCACTATCTTTGTCTTGGTGTGCGAAAGAAGTATCTTCATCGATCGGAACCTTTGCGATATGTATTAAAGCAGTGATTTGATTATACCCCAGATTCTTGCCTTTTCGCATCTTCCTCCGTGTATCTCCTTTTAGAGAAGAAGGCAGATCGTATCTGCCAAAAAACAACCATATTTCTTTATTTTCGCAAAATGTCTCGAAAATGCGACTAACGAAGTTATTTAACTGCTACATGCAACCAGTCTTTGATCCATTCGGGTTTGTCCATGCATTGAACCTCAGATATTGCATCTATCACAGCGACTCCTATTTCTACCGTCTTCTGTACTCTGGTTGGCAGCACTGTCGTTGTCTCCATCAAGATTCACAGATAATTTCTTTAAAGTATTTCACAGAGCAGTCTTACATGAGAAGCGAAGTAATGTTCCATCAGCTACCAACATTGATCCTGGCAACGAGGAAAACTCGTAAGTACCAACAACTTCTTGGATGCCAATCTTCGGCCGACTCTTTCATACGATAATCATTTTTGTGAACAGGTTCCTGTTCTTACGCAACTCCACGACAATGTTTTTAACCCCACGACAATGTTTTTTCTTCATACCCAGTCGACCCCCAGGGACATATATCTAAAAATTTTTGCTCTGTCATTCATTTACCTGATCCCTCATTGGCTATGTTTATTTGGACCCCCCAATTCATTGACCAGGCTCCCTTCAGGCCTGAATTTTCCCCTCCGTTCCCCTGAAAACCATGTGATTTCATTTAGGAAAGTCAAAGTAAATTTTGAGTAGTGTTCTTAGCTGCGAAGGTATAAATGTTTTATGTAGCAGCCTCGTTTTCATTAAAATATTCTTTTAAAAGCGTTAGAGCAGATTGCAAAAGTGGCAACACGACTTTTCAGGTTATTTAGGGTCCGTTGAACATATCTTATGCAGTGGCTTGCTTTCAGCAAGAAATTCTCATGGAGTAAAAATGCAGCCAGACTTTTTCCTGAGCTGTGCGAAAAATAGTGCGAAACCTTTGGCCGATACTGGCATAAACACAAGCTCGAAGGAGCCGTGTATTCTCTTAACACAGGTTTCCGAAAATCCATCCCACGTGCCATCAATTTCCCCCTGCCCTCAAGAAACTAAGATGGTAGCAACAGTAACATTACCATCGTGATAACAACACTAAAAACGAGATAAATAAAGAAAAACATATTTTATTGAATTAGATAGTGGCGAATCCAAGTGCTGTGTGGAAGTCTATACGTACGAAATATTCATTCACAATACTGATGTCAGTTATTTGCCATTGAGCGGAATAGGTTATATGGCAACACTGCACTTAAACTAAGGAAGTTTTTCTCTATTAAAATTCCTATTTGAGATTAACTTGAATCAGATGACTATCAACTCACTCGTCAGTTTTCCGTTTGCCCGGCTCGAAGACGATAGCCTCTGCCTTTGCAATCTCCGAGAAAAGGAGCAACTTGCAGTGAAACTTCCCGGTAACTTCTCGGCGAAAAATCATCGTGCCTCGTAGTACAGCTGATTCTTTCGTCAAAAGTTAGCTTTTGGTTTGCTATATGAAGGAATTACTCTACAGCAATGAAACTCCAGAACACTGACCAAGGGGAACTTTCTCTGTACTTAGTGCGAAGGAATAAAATGTTATGATAATAGAAACGAACACAGCCACCCTTTCTTAATATTGATTTCACCATAGAAAACAAAACACAAATGCAACAAACTAAACATTAAGTAACGGGAGGTTTTTGTTTTAATCTTGACCTGAACACCGCGGGCAAGAATCGTCACTCTTAGTCGACATCTTCGTTTGATGCACGCAGTTCTCCTTCGTAGGGCTAAACTGGTACAAAATTATAAGAAATGTGAGAGATTTGTAAGTATCAACTGAGAGCTTTCACAATTTCCTACGTCATCACCCGTCAATTCGTTATCAGTCCATGAGACACTTTTAAGAAAAAACAAGTGCACTTTAGAGCCCAAAAGACCGAGTTTTAAGTTTTTTGAACTTTTTTCTAAAATCGGAATTGATTTGTACGTATGATAAGCTAAATATTTACACAAAAAAAAGTGTTATGTAAGTCAATAAAGGCTATCTAAAGTATTTTAGATCAATAGCAAAATATCTGAGATCATTGTAATCAACATTTTCTATTGGTACGAATTTGTTTCCTTTAAATGACTAGACCTAATACCTACACGAGTGTAGGTAAAATAAAATGTTCACTCAAAAAAATGGTTCAAGAACAATGCACTGTGAAGTAAGTGATTTGAAGGTAGATTAAACAGTTTATCACCTCATTTTGCGCGTGTTCTAACTTTTGGAAGAGTGGTTCCGCTGATCGATCGACGGAGAAACGTCTTGCGCTTCCAGGCGTGGAGAAATATTGAAGCCCTAAAACATGAAAATCTACACGGAGCCTCTCAAGAGTACAAAGGACTGAATCCAACCGAAAATACCTTCGACGAAGAAGATCAATGAATTAAGCTTTTTTGTATCCCTTTTGAGATAGTGGAGAAGTAATTTTAAGTATCTTATTGTCAATGATGATTTTAGATATATGAAATTCATACATTTGCACAGCGATGAAGAAATGAAATCAAGAGTTCTCGCAGCTAAGAACACTACTGAAACGAGTAGTTGAAAATAGGACCTGAAAAAAAAAATCACCGTTCGGGCCTGATTTTTTTCAGGCCCTACTTTCAAATACTTCTCTCCCCAAACAATAAATGGCTGTTAAAGTATATTGCTCGAACGATACAACGCAATGATGCAACTTTTACTCTAAGATAAATCGCTACGAGCGATAGTTTGCTGTAGGGATTCATTGTGATAATGAACTGCGTTGAAGCGACTTTTCGCTGGAACGATATATGAAAGGTTCGACTTATTGTTTTCACGTGTTGATGAAACGCGTGATGCATGGCCGATATTTCGGCGATATCTCGGAAAAACGTAATATTCGACTATGAACGTTTGTATTACTTTGGCAGAGTACTGCATGTATATTACTTTATGTCAAGAGAGAGTCACCTAGAGTTAACTTCCAAGTATAGGAAGTCAAGGAAGGATTTTTGCTAAAATCCTGGGGATGGCAAACATTAAAGCTTTATGGAAATGGACATTTGTCTCCAGAGGGCGCGATTTTAAACTCTCTATGATATAATTTTTTTAGGAACATTTTTCAATTGCATTCAAACAAATAAATGATAAACATCTATATTGTTTTTTGCGGTGTTCCTGTGTGAATTTTTAGTGAGTCCTGATGCTCTGACAGTATTGTAATGTAAATAACACTCAGAGTTGGCAAATTGGAAAAATAAAGCATGCTATGTCTATCAAATGATAAATGTAACAAAACAAAAGAACTCCTGTATATCGGCTATACAACCATTTTAGATATTTATTAATAAAATCATTTTATCATATAAACTGCGGTGTCATACAAGGATTTCCAGCCCTTGGAAGAGCCTAAAACACACGTGAAAAGATACGATATTTTTTATGTGTGTTTGATATCGCCAATCAGCTGCTGCCACGTCACTCGCCTTTCGAGCCACTCGGTTAGGTCGATGAATGAATGACAAAGCTTTCACCATTCTCGATCCAAGGTCGCTTTTCTAGATTTTTTCGGATTATGGCTTCTAAAAAGACCGATTTTGGCCATATACCTAAAACATTTCATCTATTGGTAAGGACCAAGTCAATAACCGACAATTTTGTTCGTTGAAAATAACGCTTATTGTTTGTTTTTGTAGTGATTCGACGCATGCTTTCATCTTGAGTGAGCCAAAGTTCTTTACGATTTTTATTCGGGGATTGTCAATCCTTTTATTTTCATTCATAAATAAAGTCGAATTTATTGTCAGTAAAGGGCTATTGTGTTTATATAATAAACAAAATAACACATGGTTGCTCGCAGATATGGAATTTCGCTTCGAGTTCGAAGTCGATTGCTCACGAGTGAGGGCAGCGAACGAGTAAAACGTCGAGTTAAACACATATCTACGCGCGCCCATGTATTATTCTCCATGCAATTTAATAAAGGGTTCAACCTCAACTCCGACGGGTTCTGACTTTTCTTTCGCAAGAGATATTCAGACGGTAAACACCATAATCGACCGGTAACAATTCTTGTACTTCACACCTCCTGTGCCACCAAATAAAATAGGATGCCAAATTTTTAAAAGCCCAGAACAGGTAGGGTGTTAAGTTACAACAATCAAGTCGGTTATAGAAAGCACTGGCAAATCTCCGAGAGAATAACAGGAGCATTGGTAAGTAACAAGATTAAGATCAAATGAACTGGAAAACCATTTAAAATCCCACAAACATCAAGTATTGATTTGCAAAGCTAGCTACCTTAAACTTTTCTCCTAATCCGCTGACTGTTTTGAATTCAGACTCCGAACCACATTATAGCCCAAAGCGGATCGATCAACAAAAAGAATGGCGATAGTTTCTCAATAATGTCGCCGCAACGTTACGTTTGCAATGATGTTCATGAGTCCTTTGCGAGAATTCAGGAATGTCATGGTAACTACGTGTTTGATATTTGGATGAAGGAGTAAAGATCCTTACTAAAATAGGTCGTTTAAAAGTTTGAAAGTCAAAAATGCTAATCGAATTTGGTTTTGTGTACAATGCACTTAATCGATTAGTCACTTTCGATAATTCAAGCTAGCACGCATTCACCTACATCATTGACTTTCAACAGCTCCAACTGTCATTACGTGATGATGTTGTTGGTTACTCCATCAAAAGGCTGTTGCTTTTTTTAACGAAATTATTATCCGCTGTTATTCAACAGCTTTTACGACAACTAAAAGATTTAAAATATCTTTTGCTGGTCAGTAGAGAATAGGGGAACTCTTTCTTCTTTTTCCTTGTTTAGAGCATTAAATTTTATTGTGTATTGAGTAAAACAAGACGCAAGTTACGTATGGGTATGTGTCTGTCACGATGGCTTAAAGGAAATTAAAAAATGTCCTCCTCACACTTCATTATTTAAGGCAAATTCGAGGATGAGCCTCCAACAGCTCCTTTATTCCATATGGATAGTCTTACAGATGCAGAGAGAGATCTTTGGCGCTACAGGTAAATGTATGTAACAAATACTTGTGCAAGCCTAAACTAATGATGTTGTGGGAAAATATTTGCCTTTTTCCCAAGTCATCTCATTGTTAATTCGGTGTCGCAAGAATCACAGCTCGGTATAATAGGTATTTATAGCTCAATTCGATTCGATACAAGAGCGCAGAAGATCTATGGTTAAAAGTCTTGGCTTAAGAAGATATTACGAATTTTAATGATCAACTCAAAAGATTGTGTGTATTCATTTCAGATTGTCCTGAATTCACCCGACTAGGCTGCTTTAGAGACTCGATGAATCCTCGTCCCCTGCCGACAATACTTATGACCGACCGCGACCCTAGCATGAAGGAGTACAGCGGTGTTAGTATTGACTGGGCAGAGTGGAACGACTACATGACTGACCTAGCCTGCAGATGTGCTAAAAAGACAAAGGAGTCGAGATTTAAGGTCTTTGGACTACAATTTTATGGTAAATGCGTGCTGTTGCAGTCAAACTCTATGTACTTTTAGTATATGGTAAAACAGTGGAAAGCGTTGAAGACGCGCCCTGATTGGCTACTCACACTACTGATGTCGTGCGGGATTTGCACGCAGAAATATTGTAATCGCTGCAGGAATAAATGAGTTAACATCACCTGTTCTTGTAAATTATTTTACTAACGATGGCTAGCGGTGGGTATTCATCTCGTCGCTCCACAGTTTGGAAAATTCCTCTTCCACTTCGGTGAATAACTGTTAGTTATGATCTGATAATTTTCTCGGCAATGTTGAACTTGAAAAAATGGGTGGCGGGGAGCATTGACACTCCCTTCCCCCTTTTGTTTTTGTTTTTATAGCCCTTTTACAATATTTTCCAGTATGTTTGTTTGTATTTTTGCTAGTGCGTGTGTGTGCGTGTGTGTGGAGGGGGGGGGGCGCTGGATAGAAACTTTCGTAGTTTTGAGCGTAGTGACGCATTAAACGATTTGCGGCTTAAAGGGGATGAGAAAATTGGAATTTTTGAACTTGTTTACGAGCAGCACATAACACAGATTTCCGTGTTCATGCAAAACGCAGTTAGAAAACAGGTCTTATAGAGTAATTCAAAGGAATACAATATAGCCGTCTGGAGCAGCTCTGAAGGTTAGGGATATCTGACTTTGACTGAGAAAGATAAAAAATGCGAAAAAAACAAATATGGTGTACTTATTCTGAACTTAGGTGAGTGTTGGTCGGGCGTTAACGCTGAAAATACTTATAGACAAGACGGACCCAGTCAAGAATGCTTAACGATTGACTTCCTCAAATGTGGACCACAAGACAAGTACTGTGTCGGAGAACAAAGTACTAACTTTGTGTACATGTTAAATGGTGAGTGTTTTGTGGGGCAAGGCCTCTTTTGGACAATTTTGATATGGGAAGTCGCGAGAAAATACCGGTTTAAGTTGTACCACTGGAAAAAGCAGACAATTTTGGGCAATCATCTTATTGAATTTGTCAGCCAAAGCTATTTCTGCGAGGCCTTAAAGATTTGCACAAGTCCTCCAAACCCCAGCTCAATCAATATCACAAGGGAAAACAAATTGATTGCCACGGCTTTACAACATTGGAAATCGAGAGGCGTTCGATTGTTTTCTTTTTTTGTTTTTGTTTAATTTTGTTCGTTACACCCACTTTATAACCAAACTAAAGTAAAAGGTAAAGAACTGACATTGTTTAAAACTGTAGCTTCAAGCCCAACGTCACAGCCGACGAACCAGCCAAGGACGAAACCGACGACCATTCCGACGACCACGCCTACGACGAGGCCGGAAGATTTGCGGTGTAAGAAACATTTGTATTTGGATAGAGACCTTCCTGGAATTTTATACTAAAACCCTTTCATCTAATTTACCTTGATTAGTCTTTCCATCTTCAGTGGCAAATGGTCGTATTACAATTTGAATTTATACAAATACGCCGGCGGGTTAAGATGTAAGAATATGCAGTTGAGATCAGTAAACTTCTTGAATAAAATGCAACGGTTGCACGGAAAGGCAATAGTGATATTTTGAAGTAACAGAGGAAAACCCAAAACAATACTACTGAAGTAATAAGAAAAATTAAATATGAACTAGGATCGAAAAAAAAAACTGAGATAAATCTAAGTAACAGTCTCCCATAAATAGTCGTCCTCGCTTACCTTGATTGCAAGCGCTTGTAAATGCGAAGCCAACACAAGGTGTTCAAGGATGCGTGAATAAATGCAGCGATTGGTCTCACCAACTAGCAGACATGACCGTCAGCACAGGTGAATTGGTTGACGAAACGCAAACGTAGACCATGCGGCACGTAATCTTTCACGCTATACATGTTTCTAACCTTAAAAGTAGAAAAGGCTCACTCAATATTTAAATCGATTTTTGTATCAAAGTTTGAATGGTTATCCCACTTTGGCAATCACAATTTTGCGACAAGCGTCTTTGTGAACGTATACTGAATTAACCAACTTAACAAACGCCCGTTAATGCACGGCTAAGAAAAATGAGAACATTTGATTTGTTATTATTTGCAGGCATCGTTTATAATTTGACACTGGAGTTGACAAACACTGCATATGATGATAGTTTAAGTACTTCACATGCCGCCGAGTTCATTGCACTCAGCGCAGATTTTGAAGTGGGAGTAAGTTGATTGACTGAGACTATATTTGTTTCCACAGAAATTCAATACACTCTTCTTTCTCCTTTGATTAATGTCTGATCATGACTTAAACTTGTCGTCTGCAGAGATGTTGATTGTACAGCTAACTATAACTGGACGTGCTCTTTTTCCAGATTTTGCAAGTGTACGAAGGATATAACTTCTTCGCTGGTGTCACAACTCTTCGATATAGGTATTGAAATCAAGCTAGTTTAAAAACTATGACATGTTAATTCACGTAAATATTTGCGCTGTAATGGCAATACCGATCATAGACGTCTCCATATACGTCTCCATATCGCTTGGCAAGTTGGCCATGGTCTGAGATGTAACAGACTGACTTAGCACATAGCTGTACTCGAACCATTTCAATTTAGGCAACCGGTAAAAGAATTATCTTAAGGAAACGTCTTTCGAATGCTTGACAACTTTTGACCTAATTCCACCTCATATTATGTTTTTGTTCCACCTGAAGTTCTGTTCAAACTCATAATCTCCACGAAGTAATTGATAGTTTTGGAAAAACTGTTTCTTTTAGAAGTGTCTCAGCTGTTGCTACTTTTCATTAAAACAGCCCAGCACCAGATGGTATGACTATCGTGCATTTTGTCCTTGAGTTCAACACCCTTGACGCTCATCTTTCAATTCTGACAAAAGCCCTAACCTTCGGGACCTTGGGGAAGTTTGTTTCACTTTCTGTTGCCACGAAACTGAGTCAGATTGGTGAGTCTTTTGGACATTTATTGAATTTTTTTGGTGATCTCGAATTATCCTACATTTACTTTCCACGAGACTAAAAAGTGACGGAAGATGAACTATCTTTTACAATCACTTACGCCTTGGCTAAATTGTCTTTGACAGAAGAGTCCTATTGATAAAAATTTTTCATCGCCCTTTCTCTTTTTCAGCATGCTACGAGGCACCAGCTCCATCAATCTGTCCAATTCCGTGCCCATCACTGTGCGCTCCTTCCTGCTACACCAGCTGCTGTCAGCAGTACCAATACCCTTAATGACCTCATTCCGTCGTTTAGTCCTCTTCTTCGTCAGTCAGCGAGATGCCTAGCTTGTTGTGTCACAAACTAAATCGTACCACGAAAATTAACTTTGACTGATTTATGAATGAAAAATTTACAGTGTTATGATGTAAAGTTTTGATTTATTACTAAGCACCTAGCTTTCTTTTGAGAAATATGCTGTCTTATAAGGAGCTTAGGGAATGAATTACAGGAAAAACATACTTATAGCAAAGAGAGCTTGTGACACATTTTAAATATGCTCTATGTTACTGCTTGGTTAAAAAAAAAAAAACTCTTACGACTCTCTTTGTCCCACCTTTGCGATTCAAATTGCTCATTTTAAGGTGGAAAAATATTAAAAGCTTTTCCCCTTCTTCAATATCAATAAAAGCATTCGCAATTGATATCTACAGGAAGTCTTTTTTTGCGAGGAATTACTCGTTGTCAATGCTAGTATTGTCATTCGAACGAAGTAAGAGGTCAAAAGTTTGGGTCGGAAACCAACATTTTGGGTTATATTCATATTAATGAAAATCGTCAATCAAATCATATCATTTGAGATATTGTTTTAGTCAACTTTTAGCCTTTTTTTTTTAGTTGGTGAAGATCATGGCGTTGTATGTCTTCTTTACGGATTATCCTGGGTTTTCTCCTTCCAATAACTTTCCTTTTCAAGTACAATAGAGATTGATAAACTCTGGTATTACAACATTTGAAGGAGCATCTTGGAGCACATGCAGATGGGCAAGGAGAAGGGCACTGATTCATGTGTACGGACAGTGGAGCGTAGAGTGGCGCGGGATGATGCACAGGCTGCATAACACAGCAGGCGCGTGGACAAACTGCAATACATGACATCTGACACTGCGGTGTGCAGACCAAGGGTATCAGCGGCTGTTCGTGGCAACCTTTAAGATAATATAAAGTCGTGTGTGTTTGTTTTTAATCTAAGGTCTTGCGTCCTCCTTCCGTATCTGTTTTAATTAGGCGAAATAAACGTAGATGGCCGAATGTGAGAGGATTAACTTGAACATCTTCTGATTACTTTTTTAAAAAAAACAACAAGAAAATCAAGAGGGTTGAGAAAAGTATGACGATACAATTTTTCATTATACATAACTTAGAAAATCAGTTTGTAGGTGCGACTCCTGTCAGTTATTGAATATTTCCACCGTAGAGACTGTGAAGGCTTCACAGTCTTTAGATTCTGGCTAATGTCATTTTGACCTTCGGCGTACTCCTGCTATGTGGTTGCTCGTTATATGACTCATATGGTTTTGCAGGCTTGGTTGAGGGGACTTTATATGGATACTTAGGTCCCGTTATGTATAGTGATGCGTAAGTGTCTTTTGTGACTTGGTTGTAACTAATTAAAAAAAAGTGATTTAAAAGACAGTATCTAAATATTCCCTTATGTTTAAATGTGCGGGGTGAAAATTATATTGATATTACAACAAAGGCCTTTACAAAGGTTTACACGTTTATTACCTAAACGCTTTTTCTTGTCTACCATGATTTTTGAAAGAACGAAAGCTACTTATTTCATGAAGCTTGGAGGGGGGGTTATTTTACAGTCACGCTAGTCCCGATCTCAAGTCCTGTTACGTACAACTTATCTAGAACTTTAAGATTATTTTCATTTTATATGTACCTGTATTTCTTAGCAACGAGCCTGTAGTCTTTCTAGATATTGTGGGTGACGTCTGACTTGAAGGCAAAGAATTGGAAGGCGTGTTTCTCGCTCGGGTACCAGTAGTAGCTTTGGTGGCTGTTATGGAAAAAAGTAAGGGCCACTATATTAATGGGCAGAAATTTTGATTTTACACTAACATTGGCTAATAATGTGTGAGTCAATCCGCTGAGAGAAACTATAAAAACTGTTGTTTTCAAGAGAGGGCCAGTCCATCTTTGATGATGAACTTTTCGTTTTGTAGCACCGGTCCTAAGAATATTCTCTAGTAGAACATGGAGAAAAAGGCACTCTACCGGAAGAGTAGGAGATGGAGTTCAGGTTCCCGTTTCTCAAAAGTCCCATATGTTAGCGGTCCCGAAAGATGGCTTTTTATCGCCGCCTTCACTGACTCTAGTCTTGAAATTCAAAACGCAAGAAATGTCGTACAAAGAAATCGAATTCGCTAGTTTTGAGCCAAGATCAAGGTTCTAAAATATATGGTAAGTTTTTGGTTATTTCGAGAAAAGGACTCCTTCAGCCCAGTACTGTTATAACCCCCAGTCCGCCACCACTTCTCTGCCATTAATTATCCCTGAAGATATGTGACGCTTCATCAGACTCACCTTTTGTTACCGAAATTGTACCCTTACTGTTTGGCAAGCGGTGTGATGTTAATTTTTTTGTTGTTGGATTTGTCGGTTTTATTGTGGAGGAACTCGGCCAGTAGGTGCTTGTTCCAGTGGTGGGAACTGTGACTCCTGAGACTGATAAGTTGTAGAAAGATACCGAATGAGATGCGAGTCACCAATGTAATGAATTTACAAACTCAACGTTTAAAAGCAGTGTAATTTGAACATATATCGAGCTCTTTCAAGGAGCAAGGGACGTTGAATAACCTTGAGGTGCTCCACGATTAGCAACTGGCTTAAATGAAAACGTGTGGTTCAATTTTCTCATATCAAACTTACTTTTAGGTCTATGTGTTGCTTGTGTTTTTAAGACCCTCTTCGGTGTAGATTTGTTTTTTTCTATCTTCTTGTTAGTGGCCCTTTTTACAGTGGCTGAGGTCCTTCGAATCGACGGCAGTTTGGTTGGTCTCGAAGGAAGGCCTGATTTGGATCGTCCTATTTCGTCGTAAAGAGAGAATTTTGCATGGTAATGAGATCATCTGCATGGAAAAAAAACTAAATTGTCTCCCCAGTTATTTGCTGTCAAATCACATAACATGCAGCTTTTATTTGAAGTAAGTTGGACTTGCGGTAACTTTGAAAACTTACGGTTTGTACCCTGGCTTGTCCCTTTCTTTGAAGGTGTCCTTGGTTGTGAGGTATTCTTTGTCGGACGTGTTGGTTCAGGAGTTTTCTTTGGAGTAGAACATGATGAGGATTTGCTCGCTAGACAAATTAATTAAGTGGTTACTTTCGACAATAGAGTCACGGGAATAAAACGAAAACATAACCGGGCTAAAATAGAAAACTTCGGCGGAAACAGCGACATAGAAACGCTTGCTAAATCAGCACTGACATGAAGGTGAATCAATGAACTTTATTACTTGAATTATGCATTTTGTTTTCATTTTCTTAGTTGTTCTTTCTTACTTTTCCACCATAATTTCAAAAAGGTACATGCATATGTCTATACTAACGCTTTCCTAACTGATAGACAAAGAGTGTATTCTCAGTTCCAGTGCACGGTTGTTCTCCACATGTTAGATCGCATGGTTCGTATTTTGTGGTAAAACATTGTCTGGTCGGCCCATCTCTGTTGTATGTTTCCAGACCACCGTCTCCAGAATAACACTCAGCTAGTCAGCAATGGAGGAAAGAAAACGATTCGAATTTGCAACTTTTATTATATTTTTTAGGAGTACTATGCTTTAATTAGAATTTTCTTACGTTAGGTGGAGTTAGCATTAAATTGGCAAGCCAAATAAATAATACACTTTCTTTCACATCTGCTATAACTTACTAGGTTTGGAATGAGGCCGTGAATATTTACCATTATCTGACAAGTTTGGCTACTTTGCTTCAATTGTGCCTTCTTCACTTGGCAGTTTTAAATCATTCAACCTCATTCTATACGATTCTTTCCTAAAAACTGATATCATATTAATTTCTGTACTTTTGTAACTGAGTTTTATGAATTAAATTTATTTAAGGTTTAAAAAAAGTTTTCCATTCTCCAGAAATACTTCATCATCATCGTTTTACTGTGGTGTGGATGAAGAGAAAAATAGGGAGAAAATCGATAGTAATGATTAGTAATGTCACTTAAAACAAGAGGTAACTGAATAAGTGTATTAGTACCAAAATTCTCTATGCCAAACACTTGGTAACCCAATTTCTTGCTTTGTGATGCACAGCGTTGTATTATATCATCAAGATAGAGTCGATTAAAATTCTTTCGAATATATTTTTTGCCACTGTAACGCGGAGAGGTCTCGTTACGATCCGTAAATAACAGTTCCGCAAGAGGTCTTACTTCTTGCCAGTTGTCCCTGTAACAACCCAACTTATTGTACTCAATACCTGCCGACACATAAGGAAAAAATAATGATATGTTAATTGGATATGACATTTTGCATTCGCATGCTAACATTCCTCACGCTATCAGGCGGTGTGCGCACTCCGATTGCTTTGCATTGTGGTAGCTTCAATATGGCGGTGAAAGCGGCAGAAATCGGCAGATTTTGACTGAACATTCAGTAAAAGTTAGGCCGCTCCATTTTCCTTTCACCGTAGGTAAATATAACCTGATTTATTCTGAACGTGTAAAAGTATTTTTTTTGTACGTATTTGTCGCGTATTCTATGGTTCTCAAGGACAAACGCAATCACTGTTTTTTAGTATGTAATTTGAGACCAGTTTTCGAGAAGGTCAAATTTGATGTAAGTCGTAGTTTGGAGCCTTTCAAAGATTTGGATGGCCGCTTTGATCCTTCTTCAACAGCTCTGACTAAACGTTCTCAAACGCTCTCCAACGGTACATGTGTTTCGCGCATTTTAAGCGCTAGTGTTTGAGATCGATTATGACCAAGAAAAGGCCTATTGTTGCGTTACACAGCGTTACTATTGTATACTCAATTGTGTCGTAAATCTACTTTCCTAAGTAAAAGCAAATCAACTAATCGCGAGTGTTGTATGGTAAATCTACTATCTTGATCATTGAATGAAGGACAGTTGAATAAGAGCAATGAAAGAAGTCACTTGACCACTGAATAACTCTACAGTGCACGCGGCGACACGCCGGGTAAGCCGGAAAGCAAAATGCAGTCGATCGTGAAAAGGTGTTGATAGACTTGTGAGACTCCTGCCATTCGCTTGCGCTTTTAAATCTTCTGACCTGAAAACTTAGCTGTTATTAAGATATCTTTTAATTACTTTCCCTTGCGATGTGATAATAAGGGTTAGTTTTAAGGTGTAATTTCCCTGTCTGTATGTTCCTGAGGTTTGGCAAGGCCGAATGAGATTGTTACAAAAGGTAATATTTTCATGTGTGCGCGCTATTTTCTTTGTTTTCAAGTATACTGTCTCTCCCGCAGAAGATAACTCCAGAGATACGGTTTTCAAAACCTTATTTTAAGTATTCTCAATTCTTTTAAGCATATTTTAAAATCTGTATGTTTTTTTATTAAAGGTTGAGCGTGACGAATTTGGTCTTGGAAGGCGTAACGCTTCTCCTTTTGCGAATCCCATATTTACGCCTTTAAGTGTATTACATGAAAAATAATTCGTGTATAAGAAGGTAGCTGTCTCTTTGTAATGAGTTTGCATGTCAAGGGTTGATTCCCTGTTAAATTACTCGCGAATATAATATTATTCACACAGCCATCGGCTGTGAGTGTAACTGCTGCCAAATGAATAGATTCTTGGGCAAGGCTGCAGTTTCGATTCTTTCTGAATCTCTTCAGTTTCCTCCTAACAACGAATTTTTCACGGAGGAATAACAGAAGTCGCGCAGGCCTGCCAACACTTTTTAACTTTCGAAGGAATGGCAACAGGCAGTGAATCCCCATTACATTCCACGTTTATTCGCGCTATCTTGCTGCCAACAGAGATGTTCACTCGACCGCGACAGGATGTAAATGACTCACTTTTCGTTTTACAACCAGGATGCAACGTAATCAGAGTGCGCACACCGCCTGTCACGCTATTAATTGATGTTATTAATGCTAATACTTCTTCCTGGCGGAAGCCACTTTCCCTTCGTGTAACAGCACAGAATCCCGCAATCCCGTATCGATTTCAAGCATATTAAAAAAAAAAATATATATATATATATATAAAGAATAGAAAGTTCTTATACTGGTTTTTTTAGGAAATATTTTAGCAGAGAAGTAAGGTTAGTAATTCTGTCACTGGAAGCCAATCATATTGATCAATGTTAGCTTTTATTGGAAATCGTAGCCAATACTTATTGTGAAATGAAACCGATGTGTAGACAGAGAAGTGAAAGTATTGTGAAAAGGAAAAATCTGCTGCAGTTAAAAAAAAGAAAAAACGATATTTACCCTCGACATAAAGGAAGGTAATGACGCAAACAAGCTCTATAACCGCCCAATTAGGTGCCCAGTGGACGCTGCTCATTCCTTCATACGACTGCCGGTAGGCTAGTATCCCTTCTAAACTTAAAAGCAAAAAGGTAAGCAAAATTCAAGATCCTGGTACCCATACTAGCTAAATGCTGAGTTTTTGAGGGATGAATATCGGCCATCATTCGAGTAAAAGCAACTGCGAATTTAGCAACGAGTCGTTTTTTTTTCTTTTGTAATCACTTAATTTTTTTCACGACAAAAGATAAAAGGTGACAACAATTACGTATTCTAGAAATTGCTTTTTTTTAGTATAATAGACTCTTGCACATTATGTTTCATATTTAACCTGGTCATACAGTCAATATAACACCAACCTTCTAATAGTTTACACTGACGACTTTGTCTTCTCTTGATATGGCAGAATCATAACTATCAAATGATCAGTTTCTTAACTATGAACACACTTCAGAGAAATGAGGCCTCATACGTCATATAGTATTTCCTTGAACAAAATGAAGTCAACCAGCTTGGGATAGGCGTTCCCGCTGCCGAAAGGTCTTGATTACGTACCAAATGCTGGAGCGCAAAATTGTTTACTTAGGAAAGAGCGTTATCAAAAAGACAACTTCGTTGCTTCTGAGAACCTAAAATCTGTCTTACTATAAAGATTTGTTCCATTTCATGACACACTCATTCACTTACTTCAAAACATCATCCTCCGTCACATGTGCAAGTCACGAAAGAATATGGCAACTGGCGGCAGTGAAATTATAGAATATATTTTATACCACGTATGATCGCGAATATATTCTCCGCATGTTTTCCGACGGAACCATTGATTTTCGGACTCGTGGTTAGAATTGTCCTCTGAGATGGGAAACATGAAAAAAGCTGTTGTTTGATTTGGTCGCTGGAAGGCTAGCCGTGAAGCTCTGCGTGAACCTGGAGCTTACAGAACGCGCACCACACATGTTGTCTCTTGTCAAACCAACTTAAATGTAAACGGACAGGTGCCGGAATTCCTAAGATCTCTCATGTGGAAACAAAAAAACATTTAGTAAGGGGTAAAAACATGCAACGAGAGTTCATGGAAGTCGATATTTTTTATGGGGGTTTTAATCGAAGTTGGTTGGAAAACTGTGTATTAATGTCTGTTTGTGCAATTGGAAGCTCTGGAATAGCGCAATAACGCTAAATAAAAATATTGATTTGTAACTTGTTTCCGGACAGAACAAAGCATTTATCTTTTCTGAGATAAAGAATAGATATGATTGGTTGAATGGCCGCTCTTTTGCCATTTCATAAAAAACCAACTGGTTGTGCGCGAAAATCTAACTTTAATTTCAATTAAGATATTTGGATCAAATTATCGCTTCCAAAGTGAATGTGAAATGAAGGGTAATGAAATGAATTAATTGCTTTAAACGCTCTGTTGAGTCTAAAGTTTATAACTGGTATATAATCGAGCAAATATTGTTCCGTGTCTGACGCCGACAAACTGATTTTCGAAATGCATTAGCTCCCAGGGTTTTTGGGTACCGATAAATGGAGAGATGTGATGTGGCTTATCTAGGGACATACCGCTAAACCAAGTCAGTATAAGCTTAATCTTTCTAGCGCAGTATATTTCTGGCTAAAATGTTGAGACGCCTGGGCAGACTCACAATTTTGTTTTCTCTCCTAATCTAAACAAGGAACATCAATGAACCTCGTTATTTCGGTTTACAATTTGTTACCTTGCAAACAAACAAAAGGAAAATTAAACAGTCAACCCGTTTCGAATAAAATTAGTTAGACCTGCGGTGCTCTCCTCGTTAGACCTTGGTGAAGACCTCCTTCATTTCATTGCTAGCGGCTACCCCAAATAAACGATCACACTGCAAGACCAATATAACGTAGAAACTTCATGCCTTTTTTTTTATAATTTAACACCCTTTAGCTCTAGGTGTTGGAAGCTTTCATTCCGCCTAAAATGTATATTTGAGGGTAACATTCCAACAAAAGTTATTGAAAGGAACTGGTTCTTATTGCAATTCTACACTTAGTTAAGGCTCTAATCAACTTCAAAAGGCGCAAAGAATAACGGTTATTTCTATGTTAGAGTTTTCAGGAAACCTTAACCTTTCTGTCAATTAATTTGCCTGATTTTTCTTCAACTCCTTATGTTTCTTTTGATTTTTTGGATTATTTCTATAAAGAGTAGCCTCATATTTCCTCCTGTCCTTGTTATTCTGCACTTGATGTCGTTTCCTGTACATTTCCTGTTGCCTCTGCGCACGGTAAATCGTATAACAACAAGCAGGAGTACAAGATGGTGCACAGATTGCTCCACACGGCGCAGTACATTGAGTCAGGGGTGAATAGGGTAAGTTTTTAGCGGACGCTTCAAAAGAATATCCGACTGATGCTACTGAGGTCGAGGTAATCGTCGTGCAGCAATTTGGTGTACAGGTTGGACTACACGTCACATTGCACCCGGGGGAACAAAGCCAGGATGACACTTGTTTGTGATCGGGATCAGGGTTGTATGGGGTTCCGTAAGAAGTTAAATGAAGAGGAGTTGGCCCAAAGACCTGTTCATAGCAACCTGCAAAATTAGTAATTGTGTATCAAAGGACCTACAGTTGCCATATTGAAACACCTTAATCGATTGATCAATTCCTCTCGTAATCCCACATTGAAACCAATGCCTTCAAAACGATTTCAGTCAAACAGAATGTTGGCCAGGGATTTCATTGGCACACATTCCACAAACAACTATTCCACGAAAAAAAAAGCTGTCTCGGTATTTCGGAGCGGACTTTCCTTAATGTAATGACGGTGATCCAGAGGTAAAATCATCAATTTATCATAAATCATAATAGCTATATGGATATTATCACTTTTTACTAGCTTACTTTGGGTTTGTATTCATAAGGAGTGCCAAGAAATGAGATGTGACACAAAACGAAGCTGTCTTACCACAGTCTCCTACTGCTGGGAATACTTTTAATCGGCCAAACTTCTGTGTACTCATCTTTTTTACGAGAGCTTTCAAATGCTTGGTTTTGTTTTTGAACTTGAGAAGTATCGTTGAAACTACTTTCATTTCAAAGCCAGAACTAAACGAAAGCAAAAAAGAAAACAAAAACGACTAATAGTCAAGCAAACAATAAGATTCCACATATCTAAAACGATTGCGGAGAATTCAATGGCTCATTAGTGGTGTCTAGATTAAGAACTTTAAATAAAAACTCCAGATTAAAATTTGTTTCCAGATCTATCGTTTTATCAGGTTATTCGGACTCTCCAAAGTTTGTAAATATTCATAAACCCTGAAGAATTTATCACTGCTCGAAACTGTCGCTATCAAGTTTGCAGCTGATTTACCGGAATAGATGGTTCAGAGGAGATTCATAAGAAAATGATTGCAATGCCAATTCAGATTGACGCACAGAATAAGTTGTCATAAAATTCAGTTTATCCGTGTGGAAATCCACAACACGAAGTCCTCGAATTCAATTGAGTCTGAGCCTTCTTGAGAAGTAGTTTGAAATTGCCAAAATCCGCACAGTATTTCATCCGCTTACCTAAACCTGAGAACTTGCACCTCCTGAAATTGTTCGTCGCCGTCATACGCTTGTAGAATCTAAAAATTAGTTATAAGTCCACTTCGATGTTTGAAGGTAGTGAATTGTCTTTATACCATGTGAACTAGAAGAACTGACACTAACAAACAACTAACAAATTCTCTCACTGACCAGCTGACAGCCTGACAAGCCGACTAAATCAACGACAGGCCGACTGACCGACTACCCGACAGACCGTCTGACTGATTGACTGGCTAACTGATGAGCGACCGACAGACTGATTGAACGATCGACTGGCTGGCTGAGTGTCTGACTTCTTGGCTGACTGACTGACCGACCAGACGACCAATCGAATGATTGACCGTTCTTCCGTGGTAATAAACTTACTCTGACAAACTGATTAGCTAGTCCAATGGCTGTCTAAGTGCATATCATTAGCCAGTAGGAAAACTATCTATCTTATGGTTGTCTGAGGCTGCTAAGTTATCGGATTAACTTACTAACAAACGTTACACGAATTTTCGTCAGAGGTAATTTGGTATTTAGCATCGAACCAAAACAAGAGAAGGCAAGGTACTCAAATTTCCAAAAACGATCGTAAACAAAAAGGAAAGATATGACACTACATTGACTGAAATTTAGAACAGATACATACCCCTAACTCAATATTTCGCCTGTAGTCCATAAATTCGAAAGACTGATAGTTCTCTAATTCGGCAGTGTACCTTACATCATCCAAAAGAATCGTCAGCCTGTAAGAAGAGCCTGTGAGGTACATTAAAATATATCAGTAAATTAAATTTAAATTTTCATTTTGCATAGACGAAAACCACAATCAAGCGTGTGTATACTTAAAAAATAATATTAAAAATCTGTACTTAAAGAATACAGCCATCCATCAGTATCAAAAGGCATTCCTCCATGAAAAGAAGGAAAATCACTAAATATGATTTCAGATAAGGCGCAGTTAAAATAAATAAAAACATGACTGATAGTCTTCGCACTGCACATGATATTAAGAGTAATGAAGTTCACAAAGTAACAAGACTGCGATTCGTCCAGCCAGTCTGATAGATATCTCCGCACTGTCACTATTTTGTTCTCTATTCTAAATACATTTAACTAATAAATGCTAAGTACATACATTTAAGCTCCAGTATGCTTGACTTGGAGGACTTAGCAATTTTCAGAACTTTTTTCCGCATCATTTTTTCACTGACAGCTTTTCGCCAGGATTTTTCCATGTTAGACTTGCGACGTTTACCGGATGCTTAAAAAAAGTGAGATCACTGTTGTTGATATAAATATTGATGGAGGCTAACTAAGGCTCACTCATTTAATGTCTAGAAGGCCCAATTTCCATGGTTTTCCCGCGTCCAGTGCAGCACTTCCTCGGGTTATCAAGCACGGACGTAGCAAGGATTTTTCAAAAGGGGTCCAAAACGTGACGATTGTCATGATAACCTCCACGCCGTGTTTTATTTAAAATGCGAGAAGAGGTGGAGGGGGGAGGGGGGGGTACTGGCACCCAAGGCCCCAGCTACGCCCTTGTCGGGTCAGCATAACTTCTAAAAGCGTCTGGAAAGATTACATTAGTCAGGTCATGGAAATTTTTACTTATGTGGGGCGTAGCAACTGAGCTAAACACTGTCTCGCCATGGGATCTGTAAAAAATTGTCGATGAGCGGTATCATTAGTTTCATACTAGGAGCTCTCCCTCTAGCGAAGCCCAAAATCAAACAACCAAAAAAATAATTATTTGTTTCTTGTTGGTGAAGCTCACCTGTCATTTTGAAAACAAAAATTGTTTTTTCCTCTCCAACACAAAGTTCTGATTCGTCCTGACAAATGCCGAAGTTTTTAGTGGTGCATTGACTGCTTAAGAAAGACTCACTAAAGGTTGGTGCATGATCATCAGTCGAATAGCATTCTCCTAAGGTAAGACAATAGCGATTTATAAGTATCTCGGGTAAAGAACACCTAACAGCATCAACATATTGAATTACAGTAGGGAATGGAACGATACTAGACTTAGATCAAATAAGACAGACCACCGTCACAAAGCCCGCTAATGTGATAGAACTTAAGCTCATTTAGAGAGACTATAAAGTTATCTGAGAAAATTGGTTTAAGTTATCGAGTTAACACAGAACAAATAATCTAAACAAATTTGTTCTACCAAATCTGAGATGCTTACCATAATTCTGCAATCCAAACGCAACATATCCCTTTACCTTTGTTGCCTTTGCACATCTACACGCCAAATCTGGAAGGTATATGTTAAATTCTTGGAAAGCGTACTTAATACCACTCCAAAACTTAGAAGACGTGTCACGGTCTGTAAAGAGTACATCAGACATAGGACGGCGCTCTCCAACCGTCTGTTTGTAGCACCCTATTCTTTCGAAAAGTATGTCGTCACATGTTTGAGCTGTCAAAAGAAAATCATATTTAGTCGATACAACATTCAGCGAGGAATGTTTATTTCAACGAACATAGCTTACGGTTAACAGTTGTTCTGACTCCATAGTAGTTCTGTTTTTCAAATTTGTGGCCAGCGTAATCTTTCTGATACACATGCATCTCTTTACCTTGTGCTTGCAATGAGATTAAAGAAATCGAGTTGATTATAAAAACTATTCCAATGTTGAACAGCTTTTCATGACCGGGCACCATGCCTTGAAAGACCTGTGAAAGAAAGTTCTTCGCTTGAATTTGTTTGACATGGATATGACATAAAATTTATAAATTCGATGGAAATGATGAGGAAGCGCCTCTTCTTCAGTTCCGACAGCATTTTGCAAACATTATTGAGGTTTTCTAATAAGCAGTCTTAATTAAATATATTGTCACAAGAGCTGAAGTTATTTCAATAACGAACAAGGAGAAAATAATAAAAACCCGTTATAAGCAAGGCTTAAGTTCTTACGCTTACGGCGTTAGTGATATGAAACATGCCAAAGAAATCTTCAAAAATCAGACCATAATGTGATGTCCTCCTACAAACCTTAGCAGTAAAGAAAATTAAGCGACAATGATCAAGCTCCTGATGAGCTTTGTCGAGCCGGTGTTTCAAACTATCGATCAATTTGAACGAAGTCTCTGTTAATTAAGCGTAAGATTCCTAATCTTAGGTGTTCGTTTTGTACCATTGTCTTGATTTTCATCGTTGACTGAACATTTAGTTTAAATTCCTAAATGTAGCCCACCCACTGACCCTACTCAATGAGTTTAAATTGATATGCACGTCATCAGACACTCAACTCATCTTACCTTTAAATTGGACAAAATCTCAATATTTTTCTGGTACCGATGTTTCATTTGCATCTTGCATCTCAACCCAGAGAGTAAAGATAAATACAATGGCATCATTACTTGATCTGGAAACATTGTTGATCTTATGTCGGCTATTTGATTGATATGAATTTTAATTCATGCGAATATCTCATATGACGAAAAAAGGGGAAAAACGTCAACCAGTTCTAAATTAGTAAACTATTCTCTTGTACATAATATGGCTACCAGTATGCTTTGAAATCCAAGCAAATTGAGAGGCAGAACAAGCGGTTGTATTTAAACTTAATAGGAAATGGGGAAGTTGCCAATTCGTAAAACAAGTTGCACGAACCACTATCTGAACTATTTTACGCAAGTTTTCACCTCTGGCGGAGAAATTTCTCGTCAAAAATAGGATCATTTTGTTTCGGTGGGTCTCCTTTGAGGTTCTCTATTGAGATATAAAATACATTTTATTGACACCGGCACCTGCCGAAATATGCAAATTAATACTAACCTACAGTTCCACTGTGACTCAAAGCTGTGCACACAATGAAACCCACGGTATCTAATGCAATGATTGAACCATTCTGGCAGTTGAAATCTGACTTTATTTCACTACTCAATCTATACAATTCTACAATCGCTAAATTCCATTCTTGAGCTCTAAGGCTGGATAAAATCTGTATAGTTTGTACAGGATCATTGACGAGTGATGTCGACTCTGTTGAATAGTGATAGTGAACTTTTGGACTGGTAGATTTATTTTGGTCAAAACTACATCAATAGACAACACTATTTAACAAGTATTCCCCACCCGAGTCATAGTGACTGCGAAGGGAATCACTCGTAGGTCATTTTAATTTAGATATGACTCATCCTCATTCAGCTGTCGAGGAGAGCTTATCTCCACAACCATCATACTAGTTGTATTTTATATGATTTACAGGAGAAACCATATCTAAGAGATTAGTCTTCTTGAGCAGTCACTTAAGTCAGTTCACACTAATCAATTTTTTGTGTCCATGCTAAGTTTAGTTTGTAATGAAACAAATAGTTAGTGTTAATTTTGGTTGATGAATCGAACAGAGCATTCTGAACACAACGTTGACGACAAACTAATTGTTCTGTGGAAAACTATTTAAACGTTTCTATTTTGAATCAAGTTTTTTTTTTTGTTCGACTCTTTCTTTAGTACCACAAAATTACTCCGGAACGTCCGTTAACAAATAGTTTAATCTGGTAACAAAAATGCCGTCTTAAGAGAGATCGTTAGCTTATTTAGGCGGGAGAAACTAAAATTGATTTGTGGAAGGGACTCGTTACCTTAAGTCCTCTACAGATGGTGCTAGCCTTCGAAAACTGGTCAGCTAGTAGAAGAGTGACTGTAATAATTATTGTCTACCTACGTCACGTCTAAACATGCCAGACAAAGACTTACTAATGTTTCTCCTCCTGGAGAGCCTCTTTCTTTAAGGTTTTTTTAATACCTTCATTTCGTTTAGAGTTATAAAACTGGCAACAGATTGGTGAGCATATTGGTGCACAGCTTGGAGAGCACCTCGAAGAACATTGGGAACCGGGCCAGCTCAATGGCTGTGACATCGGATACGGAGCTCGTGGCGGGGGAATGGTGGCTTGGCCAGTTATTTGTATATTCCATTGTCGCTGCGGAGGTTGATAAACATGAGGGCTGGGCGCCATAATTGCAACAGGCTGTGGTGGCGGGGGAGGTGGAGGAGGCAAGGGTACAGGAGCGGGCTGATAAACTGGTTGAGGCGCGGCTGGGGCAGAAACGGACGGTTGACAACAAGAATGAAGACATGTGGGTGCACAAGTCGATGGACAGGAACTGGGACATTGGGTGATTGGAGTATCTGGATAACAGCCTAAATTTGACGAGACATTTAACGTTATTTAAGATCTAAAACGGATCTATCCGATGCACTTTATATTAGGACCGGACGTGAATACCATTTTATACATTTTCTCAGGCACAAACTCTCCGCTCCCTCTGAATTTTGTACTACCTTGAGGACCATTTCAAATTCTGGGCTTGTAACAAGATCTCTTTCATATTTTATTTTTGTTATGGATCGAGAGGTCTGTTCAAAATAGTTCGATCATCATAAACCTTTTCAAATTAACTCAATGTGCACACTCCCTGAAGAGAATCATAGAATGTATTGTTGACAACAAACCGAGAAATAATTTAAGTTAGAATTTGCGTTACCTGCTGCTGAAACATTTCCTGGTCCAAGACCATCCAGCAGTTTTCCAATGAATTTTCCATTCGCTCTGAATCGTAGGAGAAAATAAGCCTTTACTCCACTTGGTTCCTCTGAAGAACTGTAAAAGACATTGATCGGTAATCTTTCAGCTTTAGTTTGCAAATTTACACCTGTACAAGTCAGGGTTTAACGAGAGTAGGTTAGTCAGTGCACTGACTTCATTTGAAGCTGCACTGAACTTCATGATACATTACTTACCTAAATTTGTTAAAAAAAGCCCCTCTAAAGTCTTTATTTTCGTCGAATGCTCTTAGCACCTGCGAGGCAACAAGAAAATTATTGTTATTATCAATTGAATAAAGATAATATAAGCATACACTAAAACAATATCACACGTTTGGCTGATATACAGGGATATATTTTAATAAACTATTGTAGAAGCAGTTGTATATAAAGACCATTTTTATCAGGCTTGCATTACAGTGTGGGACAAGCGGCAGCTTGTGATCTTGATTAACGAGCTAGGCTATCGATCAAGAGGTCTGGGATAGAGCCAAATCGGGTCATTTCGTTATTTTTAGCAAGACAATTCACTCCCTAAGAGCTTCTCTTCATCCAGAGTATCATCGAGGAATAGCAGACCACTGGGAATCCTATCCACAGTGAAGAGAGAGGCAGGAAGCGGCAAGCAGGAGACCCTGCATTAGAAAAGCCTTTACTAGACTTCACATACCTTGAGTTCTGTTGCTCTTCGAGTCGCCTGGTAGTTAGCATTTGACGGAAAAAGGAAATCATTGTCCCATGGTAGCCCAGTTTTTATTTCAACGATGAAGTTCTTGCCTAGAGAAAGGATAGTACGGACAAAATAATCGACAGTTTAAAAAATTAAAACTTCGAGAGTCCTCAGGCTAACAACTCTTAACTGGATTTGCTTATCACCAAGAGGCTTATAAACTAATCTCTAACTGAATTTGAGCACTTAGGTAAGGCAATGACACGGTTAACTCATTCTTACAGGTGAGATTCCTTAATTCGTCGTCTTTGGGCAAAGCGGACTTGTTGTTTAGATCACTGAAGGATGGTTTATCGGCCGGCTTAGCAATTGGAGCCATCAAAAGTTTAGAGGCAGATACAGGTCTTGACAGCGGTTTAGATGGTGTCTTAGTATCGAAAATGCTTGCTGCTCCCAGCGAACCTTTATAAAGAGGCCTGCCTATAAGTATGAATGATTTAAAGTAATAAGAGATCACGCGGAAGAAAGAAGAGTAATGTTTTTTCGTCTCGAGCGTGAGACAAACTTAGACTTTTCTTACCTCTGTAGCCTTAATTAGAGTCACTTTTGACGATTCATTTAAATCGCCATGCCAGTGTAAGTTCGAATTTTCCTTCTATAACACGCTCATCGTGTACTAATGGCTTTAAAGAAACGATTGTCTAAACAAAAACGTTGTATGGCGCTTGCCTGGCCTTCACTGTTTTCTTTTTAATGTTTTGATTTGTTCTGTTTTGTTTCATATTCTATATTTTGTTTTGTTCTCGTGTACGTTCTTGTGTTTATTTTGTTGTTTGTTTGTTTTGTTTTGTTCATTTTTATTTATTTTGTCACTTAAACTCGATCTGACCTTTTCCGATTTTTATAGGTTCATCCTGATGTTTCTGCGTTGGCTTCAACTGCATCGTGTTGTAATCGTCATCTGCAAGAGATTTAACAATACTGAGAAAAGTTAGATATAAAGGTGTCTAAATCTAAAACAATGTTGTGAATAAAGCATCCAAGGAAAGTGTAACATCACTGCAATTGCATAGCTTTTTGTAGTTTCGGAACTATTCAGAGCTAAAAAAAGTTTAAAAGAAATTGAATGTGACTAATATGCCCAGCTTATTAAAAACAGTTTGTGCACAAAAACTTGAAGCATTTTTATATCAGTATCAATTTATTGAAGAACTTCACTTATATTTCGGTCTTCTTTCTTTCATATCATGATATATTATATTTTTGAGCCGCATATGTTGCTTGGTGAAATCTATGATCAACTTTAAGATCTCCCTCCACAATTGAAGAAGAGCTACTTTCGTTCTGATGGTGCTGTGCTATGCCAATTCCACAAGTGGTATATCAGTTAGTTACGCGTTACATACCAGTTCCAATGACCGCATTATCGTGAGGCTTATTATCGCTACTGACTGAGTGTACAGGGTCCAACGGCTCGTCTACAAGAACAAACTCACCTTCACCACCTTTGGCAAAAGGTAAAAACTACTCACTATTCACTATAATTTCATAATCAATGCTCAATTTAAATTAACCTTCTTCGTTGAAGAATATGTAGATAAATTTTTGGTTGGCCGGCTCCATTCATGCTTTAAAATTATCAGTTTACTTCTTCCGCGTCCTTTTAAAAACCTTGCATCTCCTGAATCAAGATCGTGTTTCTGAGATTGTCGTGTCTGACCCTGTTGACTGGATATTGACACGGATGAATAACGCCGTCTTTTTTGACTTGTTTTAAATCGATTTACCAGAGTAAATATACCACTATGTTCTTGCGTCCTTTTAAAAACGTGGACCGTTGACTGGATATTGCGCGTAGTCCGAAAGTCCTGTTTTGTATATTCCCAGTCCCCTTCCTGTTCTCTAATTAACCTTCTTCCGAGGTAGTGAAATTTTTCATTCAAGGAAAATCAGAAAAGGTGGTAACCTTTTCAAACTTGCTGCCTCTAAGTGAAGATTACAGGCGAAGACTAACAGGTTCATCGCTTGTCTCAAGATGAGACTGAACTTAAGATAATGTTATTTGCAGAGAACGCTGCTTCTTGGTTGAACAGCCTTCAATTCATTTGATTTGGTCTCAATATCAGCCAAATAAATTTTAACACGCCAACAACGTCCCATGCATCTATTTCGGCCGCTACATCCTGGATGGTTAGGAATAATTCATGTGTTCCAATCTCTCCCAGGTCACCGAGCTGAGTTCACGGAAAAGCAAAGCACAAAATGACAATGCCCGCTTGGCAAACAATGTTTGGGTGACTGATTCCATTTTGACCATCGATATCAAAATGAAGAACATGCGGTCTTGCTCAGCTCGGCACGCACCCTTCTTAAAGGAAAGGAATTTTAGAGAGGCCTGCCGCTTTTGAAGGGCTCGATTGATTCTTTACATTGAGGGTTAAATGGTAGTTTCGAAAAAGTTTATGTACTCGAGTTTTTATCAAAAAATGTTTCTCTATATTATGAACAATGATCAAATAGTACTGATCAGTTTGATTCATGTTGCGATACTATAAAATATATGTTTTCAAATACACTTTTCTTATTAGGAGTTTCCTATAAAAGAGTGGCATTCATAGTTGTAGGCGTGTATGAGAATATTTTTAGTGCAAAGTAACTGAATAAGGTACCTACCGTAATTATCATCGTGTAGGTCTGAAAAAGTCTTCCCCACATCTATAAGACAGAAAGCGTTAGTCTCTGTGTTAACTGTGTATTACCACTATTGCCTAATTATGTATTTATCACTACTTTTTGATAATTATCAGAAGTTGATTAGTCATCGATCTTCCTGAAGTTTGACTTTCTCCTCATCATACTTATCACATTCTTAAAGATCTGAGGCTAAGTAGCTCTGACCAATCAGCACTCTTCCAATCTAAGCCAAACACTAGACAGGACTTGAAGAAATGAAAAATTAAAGTATCCGGCGTCCATGCCGGCAGGGAAATTTGGTTTAAAAATACAGGGTTATAAAAGACAGTGACCAAACAGATCACATCGAACAGATCACATCGAACAGATCACATCGAACAGATCAAAACGAACAGATCAAAATTGTACTTTTTTAATCAAACAGAGAGCAACCTATAGTGAAATCAATTACTGGTATAATCTCCCAGAAACTGATACGTTCACTTACCGGCGCAACTGAAATCTCCCTTCAAGTCATCAAAATTTATATGTGCCTCTCTCGATGCATCAACCAGCCGTATCTGACCAATTTTGTCATTGAATTGGGCTACATTCCAGAACTTTCTTCGCATGCGATCACGGCAGTTGTCAGGAAAAGCTGTGCGTTGAACTTTCCCGTTCACCAGAAGTTCCACTCGTATTTTACCTGCGTCGCATCCACCACCAAGTAGAAAGTTTATATTGGAACCTTTGATACGAAAGCTTGGTGAAGTAAGAGTGCCGATGGGGTAATCACCCATCAGAAGTGGATTGGATTTGTTCGCAAATGTTGCTATCCACCATTCACCTTGCACGTTTGTCTTTATTCCCTGGTCTCGTATCCCGGGGTTATCCCTGTATGTTGGTTGGTTATCAAAGGCGTGTCCGGTTTTTTTCCAGGTAGATAATGCCTCAACCCCATTTTCAAAATCAAATCCTCCACAATCGCCTGAAAATCAAAAGATTTTATTTTGGTTTGCGCAGATTTGCGAGAAAATAGTTTTAAGTTCTCCTGAAATCGATTGATCGACATTTTAAAGAAATTATCTATCTAAAGCTTATTCCGTCACCGGGCTACAAAATCCAGCGGTGTAACCCAATTTCAATGACACACTTAAATCGACGCGGAGTTGTGGTACAAACTTTATGGGACGCAGAGAGTTCAGAACGACAAGACGTAAACGTTACCAAATATCCCAATGTCATTTAGAAGGTGACTATGAAGCTTAAATTTTGCCAGTCATGCAACTGACTAAGCCCATAATCTAATTTTTCACTGCGCTTTACATTCGAGATTAACGACATGGCTGGATACACTTTCCTCACCAGCATTGTTGTTGTTTTTTTTCTTGATGATGTTTGACGCAGGACCTCACTGTTGGCTTGGGAAATATGACCTAAACTTGAGTTTTATAAAGTTTTGGAGCAGACATTCCGCTAAGCATGATGATATAACTGTGACTTTAACATGAGATCAGCAGACCATCATCAAAGAAATTACTGATTCGTTCTATTTCGTATTCCAATAGGTATTAGTTATCACCAAGAGAAAATATGTTCTATTATTTTCTCTTGTCCTCACCTTGTACGAAATCAACTATAAATACAGCCACAAACAGCGTTACACAGTTGACTGAATTCCAAAGAATCGATCTGCCGGACAAATGACAAAATGCACATATCAGTTTTCTAATAAATTACGGAAGGTAAATGCTCAGGTGATACGCTTTTCTGATTTTTTTTCCTGATCATTTGACACTTTTTTTTATCCTAAATCTCATATTTTTTAATTGGGTAAATCTGTTATCATTATAAGAAGCAACAGCTTTTATGATAATGCTTACGAGCCACGCTGGGTTCTTAGTCAAAACTGAAAACCGTAAAACGCTTCCATATTTTATTAACAGATCCATCTCTTGTTTTAGTCCTATATATTCAGCCTATCTGCGTTTTTTACGGGTTAACGGTAACAGAAAATCTCTACCCAAATCCTTTTCAGGAGAGTTTGTTTTGAGCAGACTCTCAGACCGAATTTCGTAACCCATATAGTTTAGTCTGGCCTTTTATTTTGACAAACCTGTCGATCCGATTTCGACCGCCCATCTGTTTATAACACAACAATTGACCCACCTTACGGCCATGTTACACAGCGCCTAAACAAGTCACATCAAAAACTTCCTCAGATAAATTCTTCAGTAAGATGACGAGAGTGCTGAGACAAAAAATATCAGATTTTTTATCGGTGAAGCCGAGATGCTATTAGGTCCTATACTTTTCGTCACCGATTTTTGAGACGCAGAGGGAAGATACTTTGCCACCTGTTTTGTTTCATGGTGTTCCATTGTACCGATTTGTAGGGAAGACAGATCCACCAGTGATGCTTGTCACTATCCGAGTGTATGTTAGCAACCTGTCAAAATATTAGCTATCACACTGAAAAAAATCTACTAGATAAACAAATCACGGCGGATATCCAAAATTCAATGAAAAAACATTAAGAAACGAGCCAGCTCTCCGGAGCATGGGGTTAGGGCAAAGAGAATATAAAATCTTGGTTAGGGCGTAGCCTCTCAATTCCAATGATTGCTTTGTATCAGCAAAGAAAGTGACTTTTCCACATGACTATCAACGACTCATGACCAGATTTCTTGAAACAAACTGAGATAATAGGTACGGTAGATGTGCAACTGAATTTCGATCTTCTATTTACTATCTCTGAAAATTATAACGTGCTTGTTTTGTCAGGCTACCGAATAAAGCACAATTTTCCTTGAGTAAATTTTTTTCTTTTGATGGTTACAGTTTTGGGTGCTGTTTAGAATGCTGTCGTGACCTTCGCTAGGCCGTTTCGGTAATTGTATTAAAAAATCCTCATGAGGCGTAAAATCGACGAAGTCGATGAAAAGGAGATCGGATATTCCGGTCAATGCACTACTCAGAAAAGTGAAAAAAAACCTGACTGTTGGAGTCTCAACCTTAGCGACATCCAATCTTTATCGACATTAATGTCTACATGACTTAATTGATCGACGTTTTACTAGCAGGGCAAATTATTTCCAAAAATCTCTCTTCTCCTGGTATGTATAGTTATTCCTGTCTTCTCCAGATTAAGAAACTTTGGTTTTCTTTCCAGTCCCTACTTTCCTTTTCTTTACCTTCTTTTCTAACGCCTGCTGTGGAGCTTAAGTTATACTTCATGATTTAACTACGATTCCGGAGACAAACCTATTGCCAGCACTAATTTGGATTCACCGACTGTCGTGGATACGAGCAGCAAATTAAGTTTGAAAATAATTTGCTCTAGCTAAATCAAACATTCTTAGTCACACCCTTCTAGGAAGGTATTACCAAGATCTTGGCTTCTGGACCGCTGTAATCATTATAGTGCTTTTCTGGGAGTATTCAAGGATCGGAATTACGTAGAATGGGTGAGTCATGTTAACCAGCTATTTTCAGTGTCCATCGTAATGCGTTAAAAATTTCTAATCCTTATATCTCTAAATTCGAAAAGTGAGATATTCCGATTTATAGAGCAGAACGGCTTCGCCCTTTTATTTGAAGGAAAAAAATCGTTATTCAGAGTAAACTCCAACCGAGAATTCAGTCGGGTTCCTCTCTCTAGATTCGCAATTAACAGCTTTTGTGGGGCAAGCAAGCGTCGACGTTTCTCTTAAATGCTGCCTCCCATCTTACAGTTTCGTCTTGCTTCCAGAATTATTCAACAGTAAATCATTGCTCTTGAAATAATTGTTAATCCACCACGTTTTGATTGCATTTGCGTGGAGTACGTAACCAACTTTAACATCAACGCTCCGTTACATGTCATTCCCATAAAATAAATCTTTCTTATTTCAAAACCAAGAAAAAAAAAAACTATCCAGAATGCCTACGTCTAATGTGAATGGCGAATGGCAAGTGATTAACTGGAGTAAGTCTGCGGCTGATGAACAGCAGCTCGAGGCTGAACTCAGATCTTTCAGCGAGGAAATAAGGGAAATGAACCACGCCAAATTAGAAGCGATCATTTGTCTAAATGAAGCGTGAATTAAATGTGGTGTGATTGTCGAATCGCGTCTACGATTGGAAACAGTGCGGGTATTCTAGGAGGTGTACTGACTATTGGAGGAGGAACTGCGACGGGTTTTAGTGCGGGCGCTGATGGCAGGGATTTCGCTTGGAGTAGCTGCTGCTGGCACAGCGGCCGTGGAGGCTGTTGTCAACTCTAAACAAATGCGAAAAGCTGAAAAAGCTAAACCAAGATAAAGCACAAAGATAAAGCACACCTGCCTTTTCTCTTTCAGCTAGCTGTGGCTTTATTTGAGCAGAATCATATTGTCACTTAACGAGTTCAAAATGTCCTAGTAACCTTAGGAATAAATTCGGAAATTATTCTGAATATCCTTACAGAAGCAACAGCGAAAACCGTTTCCGAGATAGCTATCAAGGCCGGCGCTGCGACAACAGTCATAACTGCTGTAGAAACCGTAACCGGGGCGCTAGTCAACAACGCATCTAAAGTTGTGAAAGGAGCCTCAAAAGAAGGGGTAGCTGGTCTAAAAGCAGACACCGACACCGTGGGAAAGATTGGAAGCGCCAGCTTGAAAGTGGCTTCGAAAGCTGCTGCAACTGTCATTATTGGAATCAGTTCAGTTTTTGTTGCTTTGGATGCCGTTGATTTAGCCTTCAATATCAGAGATTAGATAAAAAAGAAAGGGCGTAAGGCAGCGCCCTACTTGAGGAAGAAAGCAAAGGATCTCGAATTCGAATATTCGCTGAATATTCGCCCGCCCATTCTGTGACAGATAAATGGTTTTGCCATCATCATCATTCAGTAGGTGCATCATAATTAAGAATTTCAAAAACAGTGCAGTGTGTTTACGAACTAAATTTCAAGAAAAAAATAAGACCACCTATCTAAATTTCGAAGAACGGCTGACCTCTTTGTGTAAAATTTTTGGATACTGCATTTGCTAAATAAAAGGGGAAGGAAGGACTAAAAGATTAACCTATTAAAATTGTAAATTTCATAAATTACCCAGACGTTATTCGGCTACAAGACGCACCCGTTTACAAATACGCACCCCTAGCTTGATGAAATTGATAATTTCAAGTTCCAAGCTGGAAAGTTTTACTTAAGTACTCGGTCGTAATAAGACGCATCATTTGTTTCAGTAATTCACACGTGCACAGCGAGAGGAAATTTTGTCAATGGACTTAGAGTAAAGCGAAAAATCCGTTTTTATCTTGATAGCTCACACCTTCCGCGACGAAACTGAGCGAAAACATGACGCCGACGCGAGTTGATTTTACGTCGCCACACAATTAATTAATAGAATGTGAGGAAACATTTCTCGATCAGCACGCGTGTCAAAAAAACCTTAAATGAGATATTTACCACTTGGAACTAGAAAAAAGTAGGTCGGTGATCGACCGCTTGTTCTTTACAGAGAATAACAGTTTCTATATAGTCAGAAAACTCTTTAAAAAACGTAGTCATGGGGATCCTGTGATCATCACAGTCAGAGTATGGTCGATATACTATAAACAACCAGAGGTCGTTGGAAGAAGCCAGCTGGACGGTCTACTATGTAAACTAGTAGTTGGTAGTGTGTGATTAAGATGGTGCAGCTTACTGCATACGCAAAGGGTAGGCGAAAAAATAAGGGCAGCTCTTTGTTCTTGAGAGAAAGAATGCACTAGGTTCAATGTTTCCACGTTGGTTTAGTATGTTATCTTTCAGTTCCCTTCCCTTTCGAAGTCTAAATAGACATCTCATTTAACTAATCCTCTTCCTCTTCTCTCTAAATGTCGTTGTGTGGGGTGCTTGAAAGCCAATTGATCTCTTCTACATCTGCATTTGTGTTGGCAAGCTGCACATTGTAAGCATCCGCACCAAAGAAGTTGAAAGCTAAGTAGAATTCAACTTTTCGATTGAGAAATCCCGATCCCATAAGAGGTGTTTCACAAAGATCAGCTCGAAAGGGAACATCCAGGTCTTCGTTAATCCTGATTGTTCCGACTTTGTTCCCACACTCTACAATAAGACCACTAAGAGAGCGAAGCTGCTTAGTGTACCGATTGGCAATCGAGCGTTTCATTCTGACGTTATTTAGCTCGGGAATTTTTTCATCAAGGTACACCAAACTTCCCATTCCTCTTCCTCCATGTCCTAACCACACCACTGGTCTGTCGGGATGACGGCATCGTCCGACATCGGAACGGTTGATCGCTTTTATGGCCGAGTTGAGGTCGTCCTTCGCGTTCCTCATTATCTCTCTGTAGCTATGGGAGCTTCCTTCAAGTAAGCGCAAACAAGCAACAAGGTACTTGTACAAGAACGAACGGACGGATTTCTCCTTTAAGCACCAGTGAAAAATCTTGCTCTCTGATTCTGTAAGATCCACACCAGCAAATGATGCAAGCTTCACCCACAGTCTCATTGTTTGCTCAATGTTAGAGTCATACTTTAAGGCCTCATTCAAAAGTTTGATCAACTCAGGAGCAATCTTGGTGATCGGTTGACCCTTTTTTGACTGTATGTCCATTCTCATGATCACAATTTGACGATTAATCGATCCTCTGCTTGCCCTGTCATTACTTCTTAGTTGTAACAGGAGTTGCAAGGTCGCTTCCATTCTTTGTTCAGAGAATAAGCGGTGACCGATACATGCCAGACGCATTCTCCAATAAGAATAGGCATCACTGTCAGGTACACACTCGAGTGTGTCTGAAGTGTTGGATATTGCATCAATGATGAAAGGATGGGCATCTCCAGATTTGATGTACTTGAAAAGACTTCCTGTTTTCTTGTCAATAAATTCGAAGACCTTACACATCATTCGCACTTCCGGAATGTAGCCATCTACTAAGTCAGGGGCAATGCTCACTGCGCGTCTGAAATTCTTGACACCTTCATCGGCCATCTTTGTTATAGTCGCAATATCAGCATTGTTGTCAGCGAGGTTATGAACTTCCCGACTGTACACTACTCCTTTCATCTGGGCGAACTGGCCACGAACGACACGAGATGGAAAGTCTTCTGTCAACGAGATCCCTTCATTTGTGTACTTAATGGCCAGCTGAAAACCAGCGGATTTCTTCTGAATACTGTAATAGCGGCCCAGGTGCACCTTGAAAAACGGATTGTCGGGGAATAAGGATATTGCTGTTTCAAAAAGCCTTATAGCATCTTCATCACAAGGGATATCCGAAATGAGTTGAGAGAAGTAGTTGTGCGAATTTTCATCCGTCACTCGGTTCAGCAGCATGTCGCTAACAACCGCCTCGGACATATAAGTAAAGCAAATGATTGCTTTGTCAGCAAGCTGATTCCTCCAATTGTCGGGATGTGTTAGGGGACATCTCTCATCATTTGGCAATGTTAATAAATGACGAAGCATCTCTGAAGCAATAAGGTCATGCCTTGGTCTCCACTTTCCATCCTCTTCCAAAAGCAATTCCCTTGATAATTCAGGAAGCACTGATTCCAGGAACAGAACCTCTCGTTTGGGGGCATTCAGTAACCCTGCAAAATCATTTGCAAAGATCGAGCAATGGCCATAATGGTGAGCCATAGCCAAGAAAAGAAGGATATGGCGCTCGTCTATGCTAAGATTTTGCAAGCATTCTTTAACAAATGGCTCAAGAGCAGTAAACCGGTCTTCAAAAGTTACCAAAGCGTAGTAGAATGGAATTTGAAGCTCTATCTTCTCCCTGTTGCAAAGAAGAGAACGGAGTGCTCTTTCTTTTCCCTTCTTCTGGGTACTGTAGATTCTTACAAATTCGGCAGCTTCATCTGGCTTAAGTGTATCTGCCACGAGAACTGGAGAAGTCTTTTCAGACTTCTGCTGGCTCGAGTGAATCACCTCCAGAATGACACAAGGAATCCTATCGTTCGAAAGATTGTTGTAGAGACTGTCAACATCAAACTCATCAGTTTGAATATGTTTGCAGTCCACGAGAATTATTGCGGGTAGTTTGCAAAACTCAGATAACACTTTGATAGCAGAAGCAATTTCCGCATGACTGACTGACCGAAGCAAAACACTAGGATATCTTTCGTGATAGTCAAAAAGAATCTTTCGGGCCGTGGTGGTTCCACCAGCCCCCCTTTGATGTGCCATCTTCAGCTTCATTGTTCCTGCCTTCAGGAGGAGTTCATCAATTCTTACATGCAATGCTTCCCAGTCTTCACGTTCCACAGCATAACCCATCTGGACGGCATACCAAGAGATCTGCCCACCCCGATAGAAATGGAGTGCATCATCATCATATTCAGGAGTGCTTCCACAAGATCGATAAAGGACTTCCATTTCCGCATTAATCCAACGGCGATTAGGGGGCAAAACCTTGAAGGCTACCTTCTGAGACTCACTCTGATCTGCGACTGGCAAAGAAAAATCTTGGTCCTCTTGAATATAGGGGGAAGTGCTGATACATTGACAAAGAGCATTGCTCATTTCTTCTAAATCAAACTTGTGAACTTTGACTCCCCAATCATCTGCAATGTCTTCCAGAAGGTCGTCTTCTCCTGATGCTGTGGAAACTAACACGAGCTTTACTTGCCCATGAAGAGGTGACCCTTGAACAATGGTAAGAATTTTGGATAGATTTTTATTCAAAATCCTTTCTTCTGATCCCCACAACACTAAAAAGGTGATAGGACCAGGGTAAGTCTTCCGAAGGGAAAGGAAAAATTCTCTTATCCACTCTAAATTGTCTTTAATATTCCGTTTGCTTTCTGGCATACCATTAAGGAGAACCCATGGTATACCATTTGGTAGCATAGATGAGACCTTCTTAAGTTCTTCATCTGGCAGTATTCGGCAAATCTTCATGCCCATTCTTTCACAAAAATTCTCGCAACTAAAAAGATAGCCACTCTTAATGCTCCAAACATCAAAGTCGAACACTGCAGCCCACGGCACCTGTCCAAAATACTGAATAAATGGCGATTCGGAAGCATTCTCAGGAGAAAGAAACAATACATGCTTCCGTCTTCTATTAAGCAAGTCAACTTCTTCCTCCATAAATCTTCGTGCCAAGTCAGTGCAGGGAGATGGGAGACCTATAGGTTGGGTAGATGACGGTAAACTCACAAGGAAATCCCCAAATTTGCCAAGATCTATCAGAAGCTTACTACCCATGGATTCCCATGTAAATTTGGAATTCCACTCTTCTCGGAGAGCTCCAGCCAAACTGAATGCTTCCTCGCGATCCTCAAGTAGTGCATCGATAGCTTCTATCCAATCCTCAGTACTATCCAAAGTACCTTCCGCGGCGCAAACAAACTTCAAAAAGCGTTCCCCAAACTCTTTTTGAATACATTTCGCAAGGCCACTTGATGAACCAATTAAAACTGGAACTCCAGCAGATATGGCCTCCAGGGCCATTACTCCAAACCCATCGGACAGAAATGGAATAAGCACCAATGAAACTCCACGTATTTCAACACCAATCATTTCCAGACTGACTTCAAATGGTTTTACAGCGACTTTCAAATTAGACCTACAACAAAGACTCTCCAGAGTGTCTTTCAGCTCTTGAATTTTTTGTCGCTCAGTGCCAATTACAGTTACATATATAGGATTCAATCCTTCTTTACATTTCTTCAGAGCATCTGTAACCATAACAAGACTGTTCATCGAAACATCACTGGTCCCCAAATTGGTCCCCAGAACGAGGCATCTACTTTGTGGAGTAGGGATTTTGTTTCGAGGGGCAACGTCTGGTAGTCCAGGTATGATCAAAAATATTTCACGGTTAAGGATCATACCCCACTGTTCCGCAAGAAGAGTTCCGATCGCCGCGACGAAATCAGCTTTCCTTGCAATATCCCTCTCGGTCTCTTTTCCGACTTCAGAGGTTGAATGCACATAGCAATAGTCATCTTCCACTGGCAAATTGTGAAGAACGTGAAGACGTTTACAATTCAACCTTTTTGCTTGGATAGCTGCCACAGCACCTGTCAACATTCCGTGCCCAACCACTATGTCTGCTTTAAAAGGGAACTCATTATGAAGGAGAAGCAGTCTTTCATCTCCCGGTAGAATGCCTGGTTGATGACTCGCCGTGATAAGGATCACCCCATCTTTTGCTGCCGCACTCTTATCTAGAGTAGTCGCATCAAGGACCAAACAAGCGACATCTACGTCTTCCATTTTTGCGAGACCTCGGCAAAGGTGTGCATTTACTGTGCAAACACCACAATGCCAGGTAGACCATCTCGAGCAAATCAGTAGAATTCGTCGGGGGTATGCCTTATCTGAAATCCGAAGCAAACTAGTTTTTTTTGGTCTTTGGTTTTTTTTTTTCAAGCAAATATTTAAAACTGCCTCTCGGCATTTTGCTTCAGTTTCGCTTTCAACCAAAAATATCGAGCCGCGGACTTGTTACGTCTGATAGCAGCAAAATCTGTCCCAAAATATGTCCTTTCAAAAACCGGTTCAAAAATCACTATCGCAACTCAAAATAATGAGAAAACTACGCAGTTATGAAGAAAAAGGCCTTTTAATGCAATGTCATTCGATAAACATCGAAAAACTGTAGAAGCGAACGAAAAACAAATTTTCAAATATTGCATATCAAATTAGATGGAGCGTTGGAGATGATTTAAAATAACTATTTCTACGAAATCCAACCCTGTTGAAAGCAATCACAGTGGTGGATCAGACATTTTATGGATATACATTAAGTATCTGGAAAAAACATTTTTCGGCCAAAGTATATTGACCTGTACGAAGCGGTCAAAGTTGCGGTGTTAACCATTATGTTGCTACTTCGGCAAAACACTTCTCTGTTGCCAATACGTCCATGGATAGCGTGGTAAATGTCACTCTAAACCTTGCTAGGCGCTCAGATACCATCCTGAATAGAATGATATGGTATTAAAAGAGAAAGGAAGATGAAAAATAGGTAGAAAAAGAAAATCATTTACATTTACCATCTGCTGAGGTGAGTTGAATCTTGGAAATGTTATCGCGTGACAGCACTCATTTCTCCAAACTACGGCGGAATCCAAGCAACTGCGTAGAAAATGAGTTAAAAAAAACAGCTCATCCGCCAGATATCCTGAAGTGAAACATTTTTCTATTATTGCCATGAATTTTGATGAATTCAGGTGAAAATTAGCCTCAGATAGTGTCCATTTAGTACTTTGGCGGGCTGCATGTATTTCGTTAAATTCCAACGGTCGTTACGGGTCAGCACTTACAGGGGTCAGCGGACGTTAAAATAGAAACAACCAGGTAATCATGGCTGATGCCTGTACTTTATCAAAAGAGGTCTCCTGGACTGCGGATCCTTCCGTGGTCGCACGGAGAGAGTGTTTCTGTATGAATGTGGAGATGATGTAACTACACACCTAAAAGTTGTTTTTTTGTCGCGTGCAAACCTGAAAGAATACGAGGCCATCGTACAAAGGGCTGGCCTCGACCGTTTGTCTCATGAAGAAGAGAAAACATTACGTGTTTGTTCTCGCCATCGCTATGGCATGGGCAAGTACTGGAGGCCTTCAAAGCTGTGTCAGTATCCAGGGCACAAAGGACCACCAACCAGCGTCAAAAGTCGTGACGTGATTCAACCCTGCTATGGCCAAGGAGGTGCTTCACTTGTTTGATATATCTGTGCCGACAGGCTCACGTAAGAATAAAACACACAACTTTTGGAGGATCTCTTTGTCTTAGCCTTGTAATCAAATTAAAACTTCTTTTATTACTCACAGAGAAGATAAAGTGAACATATAATGAATGTTGTGTACTGTCATAAAACACTTATAAGTTCTTCACTCGTACTTCGTCAGAAAAGATATTTCTACAATTTAAGCATATATTAACTTATACGTTTTTTCAGCACCATGTTTTTTTGTACATTCGTCTTCAGGAGGAAACAATGTAGAATAGCCCTTTTTCCAGATTCCGGCGCCATATTGGGTTAGTAACCGCGCACACACGATAACGAGGCTGGGGTTTACCCGTCGGTTCTTTCAAACAGCTGATCAGCTGACATTTCACGTTCTAATGCACTTTTCAATGTGATTTCTCTCATCAAAATAGTTATTTAATACAAAAATATGAAAATTTCGTCATTAGATGACATCCAGAAACTCGAAGCAAAAGATCTCAGGAAGATTTTAAAATCTAATTTAAAATCGACGGGCTGAATTAGAGCCGACTTAGTGTCGAAAGTTTATGCTTTGCTGATGTGACACGTCCTTCCATCGAGTAGTGGAGAAAACCGAGAACTTCTTACAGATGTCCAGGACCTAGAACAAAACCAGAGCGACTTCAGATACGAAGCAACTATGGTAAGGATTTCAGCCCTTGGATGGTCGAGCGATCTCCGCAATTTACCCGAGATTAATTTCATTCAGCTTTACGATTACCCCTTTGTTTCACGAGAATATTGCCACATCGTGTTGAGAGGAACGCATTACAGGAAGTACCACAGAAGCTGTTCAGTATGGCTTACAAAGCGAGGCAAAGGCTGCAGCCCTCTAGGTAGAAGAGATTTGTTATTGCTGCTGTTGTTGATGTGGTACTTGTTGTTGTACCATATTCTTCAGTTAAAGTTGTTCCCATGTTGTTCACCAAGATGTATTTTAGTTTGCCATTTGTACATTGTATCTTATGGGAAACTATACAATAGCGCCTGTAGAACCACTTGATTATAACCCTTGTTTCTATCAGCCCAAGAGGGAAACTGACTAACAGATGTCATAATATTTTCATACCCATTTGGCCCAGGACAACTTATGCTCGTGATACATTGAAAACCATTTCAGTCCGCGACTCATGGTAATTTATTAGGTGGAAAGACACCATTGAAAGAATCAGAGCAAAATATTAGAAAATTTAAAATTTCCCAAAAGTGACTGATTCATGTAACTTCTCCATATAGTATCCAAACACTATCCAGCTAATAGATAATGATAACACTGAAACTTATCAGGCAGAAGTTATCTTGATCTTACATCACACATTTAAGTTTCTGTCAGTGATAAAAATTCAGTGAATTGATATTCCCATTCTTAGCACTTAGAGGCCTTCTGACACAAAGGTTTGCTATAGTAGTTCTTATTGCATTGTGTTAACTAATGTTATGATATAATTTTGAGATGTAAACAAGATACTTCAAAGATTGAGAAATACATCCAAATCAAGATAATTTTTTTATACTGTGACAGTTACCATAAGATTTGTTTGAAATAGAAACTTTCAGACCATCTAAATGTATGAGAAATTATTTTTTGCGAGACTTCTCTCAAACTTTTGTGAATAATAAAATTTAGTGTCATATTTCAACGTTGTGTCGAGAACTCTTTTAGTTGGTTAAACTCACTTTTTAATTTGAAGCATCACATTGATTGATACATAAAGCACACAAAATATTTTTTGAGAGTTCCATGTGGCATTCATAGTGGATTACTATGTTATCATAAAAAACAAAAACTATGGAAAACTGCTTTTGTCACAATTGCTACCAAATGTGTCAGTTTTCTGGGTCTGCCATAATAAGAGAAAACTCTGAAGATACAGTGTCTTGGTTATTTTATTAAAAGCAATTACTTTCCAACAGTTTCTCTGCTAGGAGTGTTTTAGGCAAGCCATCTAGTAAACAGGTGAGCAGCACTGAACTTATTGACTTACTGGCGGAATAAAAAAACTCTACTGAACTTAAAACAATTCAGGTACCTACTAGAAAATTTGTACTAATTTTGCAACAATAGTTACCCTCATCCATAATTCACAGAGAATAAGATAAGTATAGAACGATAAATACTTCGCAAAAATACATGCCTCCGTGCATAAACTTGAAGAAGTGAAAGCTCGTAGGCAAACCATTGGGGCCATAAAATGTACTTGAACAACCAACAGTGGCACACTACTTTCCTTTCTTTCTGGGAGAAAAATTAACTTTATCGAGATTTCGGCTAAGACCATCCATTTTCCTTAAAAATCGAACAATTTTATTGCCGACGTACGAATTTCACCAAAAGCGCTCACAGAGATTGATCACGAGTCAACCCCAGCCTCGTTCACACGTGTGAGCGGTTGCATGTCCAATATGGCGCTGGGAACTGTAAAAAGGTCTATTCGTATCTGCTTTATGTTTTTTACGACAGGGTGAACATATAGCTAATGGAAAGATAAAAGAAAAGTATCAAAAATACCCTATAAGACAAGCACTGTAAAATAAGAAAATTTTTATGACAAAGAAATACTCCAGGTGTTGTGTGTTTTATTCTTACGTGAGCCTATCGGCAAAGATATATCAAGCAACTGAAACACCTCCTTGGCCATGGCAGGGTTGATCACGTCACGACTTTTGACGCTGGTAGGTGGTCCTTTGTGCCCTGGAAACTGACACAGCTTGGAAGGCCTCCAGTACTTGCCCATACCATAGCGATGGCGAGCACAAACACGTAATGTTTTCACTTCTTCATGAGACGAACGGTCGAGGCCAGCCCTTTGTAGGATGACCTCGTATTCTTTCAGGTTTGCATGCGACAAAAAAACAACTTTAAGGTGTGTGGTTACATCATTTCGACATTCATAACGAAACACTGTCTCCGTGCGACCACGTGAGGATCCGCAGTCCAGGAGATCCTCTTTTGACAAAGTACAGGCATCCGCCATGATTACCTGGTTGTTTCTATTTTTTACGTCCGCTGACCCCTGTAAGTGCTTACCCGTAATGTCCGTTGGAATGTAACGAAATACATGCGGCCCGCCAAAGTACTAAATGGACACTATCTGAGGCTAATTTTCCCCTGAATTCATCAATATTCATGGAAATAATAGAAAACTGTTTCACTTCAGGATTTCTGGCGGCAGAAGAGTTGTTTTTTTACTAATATTCTACACAGTTGCTTGGATTACGCCGTAGTTTGAATAATGAGTGCTGTCATGCGATAACATTTCCAAGATTCAACTTACCTCAGCAGAAGGTAAATGTAAATTATTTTCTTTTTCTACCTATTTTTCATCTTCCTTTCCCTTTTAATACCACATCGTTCTATTAAGGATGGTATTTAAGTGCCTAGTAAGGTTTAAAGTGACATTTACCACGCTATCCATGGACGTATTGGCAAAAGCGAAGTGTTTCGCCGAAGTAGCAACATAATGGTAAACACTGCAACTTTGACCGCTTCGTACAGGTCAATATACTTTGGCCGAAAAATGTTTCTCCAAAAACGTAATCTATATCCTTAAAATGTCTGATTCACCACTGTGATTGCTTTCAACAGGGTTGGATTTTGTAGAAATAATTATTTTAAAATCATCTTCAACGCTCCATCTAATTTGATATGCAATATTTAAAAATTTATTTTTCGTTCGCTTCTGCAGTTTTTCGACATTGCATTAAAAGGCCTTTTTCTTCATAACTGCGTAGTTTTCTCATTATTTTGAGTTGCGATAGTGATTTTTGAACCGGTTTTTGAAAGGGCATATTTTGGGACAGATTTTGCTGCTATCAGACGTAACAAGTTCGCAGCTCGATATTTTTAGTTTAAAGCGAAACTGAAGCAAAGGAAATTCATTTTTAAATAGTATTAGGCAACCTCAACTTGGAAGATAAAAATAGGCCGATTTTAATTTTTAGCTAGAAATCATTAGTCGTTTCTTAGGCGCTGAGCCTCTTAACATCGTTATCTTCATTTACTCAATTAGGTCAAATTTAGGCTGTACCTCTGATACATTCTTGAGAGGTTTAACGTTGGAGGACGCTTTTAGTGTTCTCTTGTCCCATGGAAAATTTAAAGAATTCACCAAAATATGTAACAGTTATGAGTTATAGTCTTCGTCAAAATGAACAAAGCGAGAACTCTAAGGAAATGCATGTAAATGCTATTTCGCGGAAAACGCGGATGACCAAATCGTAATTTGCTTCGATTTATGCCAGACTGGCTTAGATGAGGCACCAGTTTCCAAGACCAATCAGAGAGTTTAGTAGATCAAGCCAATACAATATCAGATTACTTTGGAGGTTTAGTTCTACATGAGATTAGTGGAAAGCGTGGCATTTAAGTAAGACACCAATCATAGTGCGATTGGTGGAACCAAAAAAATGCAATTCTTGCGACACTAAATTGGAAATTGCACCATGAAATAACTGAAATTGCGCACTTATTTTAATGCTAATAAGATACATGAAAAAATAACTCAGTTCTGATCTGTTAAGATAAATGCAGTTTTCAGGTAATTCAGTGCAGAAGAGGGTTAATTAACAAAGCAGACTAAATAATTCCTTGAACTGTTTAGCCGGACTTTGAACTTTTTTGCGCCTTAAGGATATGAAAATATCATTGTATATCAATATTTTGATCGTACGCGGTTGTTTTGACCGAACACACAATGTCGCTTGCATGGTTTGAATAAATTATTTTTGCACTCGATGCGCGTGCTTTGCTTCTGTATAATTATAATAAGCTATCGCATTTTTTCATGTATATCATTAAAACGTAATCACATGATTTTTCTCGAGCAATGTGAAATAAATAAGCACTTATGAAAATTTTCAAAGACCACAAATTGCACTTGCCCCACGGGCTCGCGCAATTTTGTTAGTCTTTGAAAAAAATTTACTCGTGCTTATTTATTCCAAACTGCACTCGAATTCATGTGATTACCTATACAAAAATAATACCCGAAATTACCTTGTTTATAGAAGAGGCCCAGGGAACAAGGTAGATAATGAACCTGGCAACGTGCACATATTAATTAGGAAAACTGATCACATAGCTTCCTCTTTGACAAATGCTTTTTGCATGGAGTGAATGGCCACAAACTAGTTTCCGTTAGTGGGATGTAACATAATGCCACGAAAAATATAATCGCGTCCAAGCCTCCACGAGCCTTTTAGAGTACCTATGATAATTGTAAGCGCACCTGCTGAAAACTCAGGAAGAGCAGCTTTCTCTCTGGGTGACATTGTGGTTTCAGGTTTGCGGAAAGGTTCTCCTTCCTACAAAGAGAATCACGGAGAATGTCAATGAACAGAAAGAACAGCTACATTTAAAAACATGAGCTGTTCTCTTAGTTTTAAATACTACGCACCCTGACCCATGATTAGAATTACGAACATTTCAAATTAAGTCAAGTCCATACTTTCACCAATAAACATGACAGTGGCAGAAAGATTCTGACAGATTTGTATGAAAAAACACTAACAAACCTCTCTCTCGTTTAGTTTATTACTGCCACAAAAATGCATTTTTCCAATATTCCCATCATCTTCTTCATCGAATATGGATAAACGATTCAAGTCATTTGAAATTTGTTCACTCCTATCAACCGGGAAAATTTTAGAAACAGCGTGTATCTTTCTGGTCACTTCTAAGTCATTAACCTTCACATCCACTGATTCTTCTTCTGACTTCCTGATAGCTCTGTCATCTCCTGGAGTTGTAGACGATCCATCATTATTGCTAAAAAAAAAAAAAAAAAAAAAAAGGAAAAAAAAAAACGGACCCAAAATAATTACGTTATGTTCAAGCTCATTATGACAATTGCCTTCTTAATGAAGAAGCTACTATTCAAAAGGCTTTAATCAGTGGTTAACAACTTCATTTGGTTCTCGCACGGGAAATTCCCGCGTTCCGGGATCTAGACACAACAAAATGGATGCAAACACACCCATATCTTCTATATGGATCAAGAAAATTTCCCCTCTCTCACGGACCCCTCCCCCTTCAAAACAAAAAAATAATAATGATAATAATTACGAAGAGACATGAAATTAAACTAGCACAATTCGTTCTATTCAGAGAAGTTCCTTCCAATTCCAAACAGGTAAAAATTGACACCTTACCTGAACGGAGATTTAGAATCATTCGTGTTTGATACACTTGCTGCAGTTGCACCTAAAATACACATATGTAATAAATTTGACGATGCTGAACCAGTTCACTTTTACTTTTCTAGGTACGCTCGAATAACCCTGGAACGAAGACTTGGTTTTCTTAAAGTTTTCTATAAATATGATTGAGGTGATTCCTCAGTATTGCACTGCGCATCCTGTACTGCGCATAAGGCTAATAAGCACACGCTCATTCCGAGAATATGGTATTGTTTTTCAATCAAAGGACCAGGTAAAGGGTACGATGGTCTTTAACTCTTGAACGAGCACGGTGATCTATATTTTTTGCATAATTTTGAAGTACAAATTGTACCCTTCAAATTGGGGAAATTCAGGCTAAAAGCGTGCATGAAGCCCGTTACTCGAAGATGCAAATAAGGACCTTGAAAGGAACGATTTGAGGAACGTTTTGAGTCAATGTCGTTTAAATTTGCGTGTTTTTCCCACAAATTATATGTCAAATTGATCCATACGCTCAATTCTTTCTACCTATCAAGTTTTTGTACAAGTGTTACTTTAAAAAACTCTGGCTTCCAGCGGCAGTAAAATGTATCGTGAACCGTTAAATTGATGCGTGATAAGTGCCAGTACAGGCATACATTTGTAAGTGTGGCCCACTATACCTCCTAAACAAGCACGGTGACCTATCCTTTTAACTGTATTTTTCGAAACAAACAATGGTAAGGAGCAAGGTAAGGTTACCGTTAAAGAGACAATTTTTCGATAACTTTTTTTAAAGAGGAATCACCTTAACCGGGATAGCACCCAATTTTTAGCTATCACTCATATCAAAATTGAATGTTACACCTCCATAAAACAAACAAAAAAAAAAACAAACATACCTATCGGTGATCCAGGAATAGTTGGTGTTGCACTTTGCAACGCTCTAACTCCAGGTTTCAGAGGGGAAACGTTTTCCTTAATAAAGAAACGCAGAGTCAGTTTTCGGGGGTGAGCTGTTTGAAAATTATTTCTTTCAAGTACTGCGGAAGATATTTTGAGGATAAAAGACTCAATGATCTCAAAAAACTGAAAGAGTGTTAATCCTTGAAGCTCCTTTGAACAGGCGATATCCGCAGACAAATATGCTAGCATGTTTTCCAGGTGAACTTTTCCTATTGTCTATTTACGCAGACGCATTTCACTCGTTTTTCCATAGGGCTGAGAAGAGTCACACTATAAGACGCCCGGTCGAAAATACCCCGCCGCGATCCGCTCTTTAGGATCCACTCGATTACTTGTATGTCAGATGGAAAAGATGAGATACGTGAGGAAAATTTCAAAACGCTTTTTGACATCAAGTATCTGATTACGAAGAAGAGCGTGCATTATTTCCTAACAAACCTCCACTACAAATCGAAATTGATGCTCGTGCTGAAAATTAAAAATTAATACATACTAAACAAGTTTCATCGGAGGAAATCAACTAACCTTTCGCTTGCCCGGTGCATCAGTATTCCTGTAATCCTCTTCAATAGGTGCTGTTGTGTAACAATGTTCTACATTAGCAGCTTCGATATTTCCTTGTTTATTACTTTTAACTACTAAAATTTCAGAAGCAATATCTTCCATGCGCGTCACGTTTGTGTCGACACACGTCTCATCAATAGCTTCCTCCCCTAGGTCACTGGAATCTTCGTCATCTTGTAGTCTTTGCAAGGATTCATCATTTCGGCTGAAAAACAGAAACGAGAAACATTTTATGTAAATAATTTATGTGAATAACTATACTCATGAAGAGTATTACTCAAATCTTATTCGTGAGAAGTTAAATTTATTCTCTCCTTATCTGGATATTGCAATTTCTAAGATGTAGGTAAAGCAAAATGTTATTACACACTCCCGCCATCTTTCCTCGTGTTTATCCGTCTCTTAAAGTTGAACATATATCACTTAACAGCAAGACAAAGTACCAAAATTATCCAAATTTGGAGAGGAACCAATAACAAAAATTTTAAAAACATAGTTTCGGAAACGGGGAAGATAAAGAACGATAGCACGATTGAATTGACCCAGCATAACGTTAACGTATTAGTAAAAGAGGATTCTTTATGATTTTGAGACATGTAGATATGCTCAGAGCAAACACATAATAGAAATAACAACAACTACCTGCACATCGCGTTGGATTCATCTGTGTTTGATTTCATAACAATATTCGCTGTATTTGCACCTGAAAATGTACATTTATTCCATTTTGTAAAAGCGCTTGGTTAGTTTACTTTCCAGGGACTGTCAAAAATATGTAAAGCCGCGAATATGTGCAAGGATATTTGTCCGTGTATATTTATCTGTTCCAAACAGTTTTCCCACAGGGAAGCTCGAGGAAGATTATGAGCTTCGAGGTACAGATTATGTCCAAGAACAAATATTCATGCCTTTTTTCGCGTAAAATAGGGGCCATTGTGCTTCTATCCTTCAAATATTTTGCAACGAGCGTAAAAAATGTTTACGGAAGGCTTAGTGTTTGCTGCGTGGGATGTCAGTTCTCTTTTAAGTGTTCTCTACTATGACTTAATGGTCGAACAAACATGTCCCATCCTCTGTAACAACCATAGACGCTCTCTCACCTTGAATTAAATTTTAATGAAGATTCATAGTAATTGGCGTAAGGTTTGAAGATTGGGGTACAAAAATTGAGTCAGGAAATCCCCAGAACTCCCTAAGTTTTAGCTGAGAAATATTCGGTGATGCGTTTAGACCAATCGCACGTAAGCAAAAATATTTGATGGATCATAATAAATATTTTCCAAGTGCTTTAAGGAAATAAAGCTCAGACTTCCATCATTTATATCTAAATTTTCTAGAAAGAGCTGAAGGGGAAACTCGCATGTCAACTGAGAGTTAAAACAGGTCTACAAAGAAGAAGTGATTTAGAAGAACATTGAACTATAAAAAATTGCGATAAAACAATTATTATGAACAATTCAAAATTTCTAAAAAACGACGACGTCTCGATGTTGGCTAAACGTCATTACCAAGTCAAAAAAAAAAAAATATATATATATATATTTGCAAGTTGCAGTCTATATATACCAAAACACCATTGGGTGATAAAAAGCTATACCGTAAGAAAAGAACAATAGTAATTCAACAAAAAGTTTGGCTCGTATGGTGTCCGTCTGGATATTTAAATTAGGCGTCAGATTCTTGATGAACAGCATTTCAAAGACTATACAATCAAATTTTCCCTGGCACTTTCTTAAAACTCTAAATCGGTTTTGTTTCAAGAGGTGGTTGCCGAATATTTGTGCTCAGCAAGGCGTTGATGAAGGTGTTGGGCTGTGTACCCAACATAATTTGCATCGCATGGATCACATGAGAAACGGTAAACAATGCATTGCCGATTCACAATTGACGGCTTGATTTCTTTCAGTTTAAGAGCTTGCCCCATTTTTTTGCTGACAAAAACTGGCTGCAATGCAGGGAGAATCTTATGCCTAGGGTCGCGCAACTGCTTCCGAACCGCATTAGTGGCAACTTGAACTTTAAATGGAAGACTAATTCTTACTGTGCTACTATCATCGGTGTTTCTCTCGGTGTTTCTTTATTTCTGAGAGTAATGAAATGTTTTATCGCAATCTTTTAATAGTTGAAACAAGTATGAATTAAAATTCTGAGGACCAAGTTAAGGACCCACTTGATAATCCATAAATACGGCTTTTTCAACCAAATGTGTCACGGTTTACACATTCCGATTAGTGAGAAATTATTTACCTCCCTGCTTTCTCTTCCCCTTCCTTTTTGTTCTTTTCTTCTTTTTTGATTTATTCCCCTGCAATGAAAAACATTTTTGTCATTTTTGTCATTTTTTTCATACTAACGTAGCATAACGTCAGAGATAAAGTTATTGTAAGTTTAATTTTCAAGTTTGATTAACGTTCACCATCATGGAAGGTGAAAGCTACATTGATGAAAAGATAAAGGATCGCGAGGATAAAGGTTTAATACTGAGATAACACCATTGAAGGTGTTTCGTAAAAAAAGAAGCAAATATAATAGTAAGTGCAATAATAGAGAAATGATTAATCTCTCAGTCGACAATTTGATTAGTAATACGGAGCGTACATTTTGTTCACTGTTCGCATTTTTCTTTACCCGACGGGACTTGGAAACCTACCAGACAATTTCCACGCGCATGATATATTAACCCATCAAATAACTAGTGTTCCTCTTTAAAAACCATACTTTTACCTTGCCTTCGGCATAACCTGGTGCTTGCGAGAGTTCTGAATCATCCTCCTTCTTAGACTCTTTACTTTCTCGCTCAATCTGAAGATGAAATGGTAGACGTGTTCAATTTAGTAGCTTTTTCGCGAGTGCGCTCACAAGTGCGCTCGACGTCGCGTCTTAGGTGGCGAATTTGGTAACCCATCAGGCCGAGAAAATTTACAAGTACTTGCGTACAATATGCTTTTTTTAGACCGCGCGACTGGCCGTAATGCGCAATATTAGCATCTGGCGAGTAAAGTGAGAATGCAAAATAATTTTTTTCTTTTATAAAAATGTTTAAATGCAAACGCTATAAATTATTAACAGCGTCGCAAATAAAATCAGTTACAATAAACTGCTGGAAAGGAAGCCTTCAAGAGGTCTAACTTTTAACAAAACCAAGAAAGCGGGACGTCTCGAGAAGACACACAGGAGCTCATGCTAACCCTACGAACACGAAGGTGCATATCGAAAACCCTACATCACTCGTATCTATGCTTGGCATATCCACGAGTGAAAATGATCGAACTCAGATTCAAACATGATTTGTTTTATAATGAGATCACTCGTATAGTACATGAAGATAAAACATACCAAGAGGGAGGAGAAAATGGTACACTCGACTAAAGAAAATACTAACAGAAAAGACTAATTCCTTTTCACCTTCCTTCTTGATAGATGAAGATACTTTTGAGTTTTGAAAATTTTTAAAGAGCTTTATGACTTAATTAATGAGCGTTTCCACCAACCTTGGGCATCAATCGTTTAATGGTCCTTTTGGCGTCGTCCACCTATGAAGGAGAAATGCATAATGTCTGTCACCTCAAATCTAACAGCACGAACAACAGTGTTAAGATTTTCAGGAATTGAAGCCTCTATGCACACTTCAGGATGGCTCTTCACCAGCCAACAAAGGCCTAAGAGTATTAAATGTTTTATATGATCTGCAAGTAAAATGAAAAAGTAGTCGCGGAAGCAGAGAAACGAGCCATTTCCCGTGCGGAAAGCAGGAACTGACTCTTAAAATAGTAATTGTCCTTTAAATAACCAAGTTGCACTTTTCTGTAAAAAATGAGGTCGTTTGTTTTGATCTCTCTAATGCATCAACGGCAAATCGAGGTCTTGTCAATGACTAACGAAAATAAAATAAAAACCAAGGTGGCGTCTGTCATTAAAACTTTTCTTGCAGTATTAGTCCCGCTATCACATAAATCCCTGACAAAATCTCTCAAAAAAATAGTTAAGAAGACCTAAATTAATAAATAAAGAAGCTTTTACTCTGCTCTGTTGAGTTGTAAGGCACGCGGGAAGAGGCTAGAGCACAAAATAAGTGTAGTGGAAACACGAGGCGTAGTCGAGTATTTCTCCCAACCTCCTGATGGCTCTAGTCGCTTCCTAAGTGCTTTACAACAGAACAGGGGACAGTCAAGGCTTCTTCATTTGTTTCGTTATAAAGAATCCATCCACTTCCCTTCGCTTTACTTTCTCTTTCCAAAACAAACTGTATTTCCAAAGCGAATAATAGAGTCGTCAGCATGCTCTATACTCTCATAGAGCATGATGCCATCGTCCACTAAGAAACCTTGTTAGAATGGTTCAAATAATCTGACAAGTTGAGCAAGACTACGAGCTACCAAAGGTGTTAAACCAGCAAAGTTCACAATGTAAATAAGTTTACAAACTGAAATAGTTTGGCAGGTCGAGTTTAAGAGCAAATGTAGCCAAAAATCGAACATTTTCAAAAATCTGGCGGCAAGAGCCAAAAAATCAATTTGGCTCATATTGTCAAGTTAGGTAGGCCTTAAAGTGAAAAAAATCGCTGCATACTTCGTTTAGCAGAATATCAATTTATTTTCGAGAAAATCGATGACTGAATTCCGTTAAAATGCTGCTTCATAAGCTCAAAATTTTAGACAAATCTCGGAGCGTCAAAACACAAAATGGAAACACCCGAATTGATGAAAAGTACCAGACCTTGAAAAGCAACATAAGAAAATATGTTGACAGCAATTCTTGACCATTTATCCACACAATCTAATTAGATTTATCTGACCTACTTCTAATTAGTTTAAAAACAGGTCTAAAGTAACTCGTTATTTAACCATGTGCTTCAAAAAATAATTGACTGAAAATCTGGCGTTTGGACAGCGAAGAGACTTTTTGACCTTCAAAGGAATTTTTGAGGAAATGATTCAGAACGATTTAATCAAATTTCAAAGTCGGACAAAATGCACCGATTAATAGTCGAAAAGGTACACATACACGCGCAAACTCAATTGTTTCGCATTTTACGTCCAATCTACAGCTTATTTAGCATAATATCCTCTTACCTTCCGTGTCATTGTTTCAAAGAAGGGGGTCACAGTCCTGAAATTACGGCATCGTTTACATAAAAGCAAGATAGAATAGTCAACGCTTTCCATCATGCTCTTACAAGCTTTTGATTTGAGGCTTCTCCATTCCCAGTTTCGTTGAAAAGGAGACTGTAATTACTTCACAAAGAGAACTTTGCTAGTTCCTAACCAAACTGCGAAACGGCGAATGCAATATTTTCGACAAGTGCGTGACGTTAAAGTCCCCTGCGACGGGGCCTACGGTTTTTCGTCCTTATCCGAATAGAATATCTAACCATTTGCAGATGTAATTACAAAGGCAGCAGTTATTTTAAGACCCTGAGTGTTTATAGCAACTGAAGACGAACGCAAATGCGAGGCCTACCAATATGGCTGCCCCTGATGCTCTATTGCGTGGTCACAACGTGTGTTGAAGTGTGTTGAAATGAGCCCCTGGGTGTGGACATTTCGGCTTCTCGATTCAAGTTGCATTTTTAGAAGTTCGGAAATGTGATTTGACTTTGTTATTTTTATTAACCATAAAACCTTTTTATTTCTTTCCACATGAGTTTCTGAGTTTCATCGAAATTAATTTTGACTTTCACTAAGTGGGGAGGGGTAGCGTGCGATACTACTTCCGTTCACGGTCCACAATGCAACCTCCGTCTACGGTCAACATCCACTCCACCACGATACCTCATTCATTGCTTTCAGCATGAATGAGCTAAGAAGGACTCATAAATCAATTTATCAACGAACAAGAACATTTATAGACAAAACGTGAGAAATTTTCTTACTATCGCAATTTCCAGTCTCTCATCAAAGTCTGGGTCTTCGAGGAAAAACAATGACAGAAAACGAAAATTGAAACTTATATGCGCCATCCCTTAATTCGTTTCATATCTGATTTTTATAAAATCCTTACCATTATTCAAGGCAAAGATCATCCCGTACGGTTCGTTCTTACCCAAATTAAACACGAAGTGTTTCTATACTGAGTGTCGTGTCAGCGGTTACCCTAAAAGCACCCTCTCCAATTCCTTTGATAAGTTTAATGCTTGCTTTTGTTTCGCGTCTTTAAAACGCGACCCAAGTTCCCAAAGCTACGCGTTTCTCAGTAAAGTGCTCTATTTTGCGGAGTTGTCAATGTCAGTAAACGTCATTGTGAATTAATCAGCGTTATTAGGCACACGAGAAGTATATTTCATAAATAGCAACATTCCGCCTAAATTTGGTTCGCAGTTTGATGAAAAACTAATATGTAAGCAAAGTTCTCTTACTTCAAGTAATTACAACCTCCTTTTCAACGAAAAGGGAATAGTGAAACCTCAAATTAGAAGCCCCAAGACACACTTTGTAAACAACTCATTATCAAGAGGCGTTGACTATCCTGCCAAGTTATGTCGCCAGTGAGACAATTGATGCCACAATTTCAACACTGCATCCTCTTATTATCTTTTTGAAATAGCATCACGGAACTAAGAGGATATTATGTTAAATAAGCTGTAGATTGGACGTAAAATGCGAAACAATTGAGTTTGCTTAGAGTTAGTGTACTTTTTTCGACTAATAAACGGCACCGTCAAATCGGCGCATTTTATCAAACTTTAAAACTTGATTAAATCGCACTGAATTATTTCCCAAAAAATTCCTTTGGAGATCGAAAAGAACTACTCTTTTCCTTCCAAACACCAGATTTTCAGCCAATTATCTTTAGAAGCACATGGTTAAATAACGGGTTACTTTTGACTTATTTTTAAATTAGTTCGAAGTAGGTCGGATAAATTTAATTAGATTGTGTAATTAAATGATTAAGGATTGCTGAAATTGCTGTCAACATATATCTCGATATTGTTTTTCAAGACTCGGAACTCCTTATCAATTCAGATGTTTTCAATTTGTGGTGTGACGCCCCGACATTTGTCTGAAGTTTTGAGCTTCGAGAGCGGAATTTTGGCATATTTCAGTTATTATCGATTTTCTTGAAACAAACTGCCCAAGGCGTTCGTTGTATGAATGAATGACAGCCAAATTCACAGAAACATGAAGATTGCTCGGGAAGACAGCGCTGTAAAAACTCGGCTGCTGTGACTAATGTGACCTTCCACTTAACGCATCGGAAAGAATATCAGAGCAAGCTCTTAGTTTTTTACTCGAAGGGCGGCCTATGTAGTTTCTGAGGCTTGCTTCACTGCGATGACCGGAGATCGCCATGATGAGGTAACCGTGATGGACTTCAGCACGATCGCATTTGCTCTAACACCGTCATGATTAGAATTAATTGTAAACGTTATGCCAGTTTGGTTGCATTTTTCATCATTCCTGATTTTTTTGTTTTGTTTTTTGTTTTGTTTTTTTTTCGAACAAGAACCTATACATACAATAAGAGTGGTAGCTGTTTTTTATTCTTATTACCGTAGGCCGGTAAGCTTGCAATCTAACTGAGAGTGAAAACCTTCAACACTCGGAGTGTTCATTTCGTTTCCTTTTTTAAAGATTTTCCTCTCTGCTCACGATATAATAACGGAAATTACAGCGTTTGGCATGTTTACAAATCTTTGTTTGGTTCTTCTGTTAGTACGTGCCGACTCGCTTATTCCGAAATTTCAGTTTCAATTAATGAAAAAAACTGGCGAGAAGTCTAGGAAATGGTGGAAATTTGTTTTCACATGACACTTCGAAAACAAAATGCTCAATGCGCGTATTTGACGAAGGAAGGCAGCCAAATCCACAGGAACATGAAGATTGCTCGGGGTGACAGAGCCATGAAACTCGGTTGCTGTGAAAGAACCGGCCTTCCACTCCTCGCCTCGAAAAGAAATCAAAGCAAGCTCTCAATTGTTCACTCGAAGGGCGGACAATGCAATTTCTGAGGCTTGCGTCACTGCGATGACCGGATATCACCTCGATGAACTAGTCATGATTTGTATAAATTTTAACCGTTATACCAGTTTGTTTTTTTTTGTTTGTTGTTGTTGTCGTTGTTGTTGTTTTTTTTTTCATCCTTTCTATTTTCTACTCTTTTCTTGCTTTTAACACGCGAATATATAAACTATACGAGTGTAAGCTATGGTCGAATTTTATTACCGTATATAAGCTTACAATCTGACTTAGCGTGAAAACCTTCAGGACTCGGACAGTCCATTTCGTGTTCTCTTTAGTGATATTCGTCTCTGCTCATGTTATGATACCTTTAGTACGCGACTTTGCCGATACTGTGTTCAAATGAGTGCCCGGATAAGCCAATCCTATTCCAGGCCCATCAAGGAGCATGTTGTTTCGCGTGGCCTCGATCTTTATTGTTGTTAAGCGACATGCAGGGGCAAAGTTTGAAAGTTGTATAGGCGCTCGGCATGTCTATAAAGCCTTGCTCGGTTCCTCTGTTACCAGTTGCCGGCTCGCTTGTTCTGAAATTTTAACTTCAATTGACGAAAAAAGGTAGAGAGAAGTCCGTGGAAACTGTCGGGCATTGTACAAATTGGCAGATGGCGTGACATCTTTAACTCAGCTTAGTTTTTCTTTTTTCTTTTACTACGATAAAACACGCTCTTTCAACCTATTGACAGCGCGTGTTATATCCGAACCTCATTTAAGTATCTATTACATAATAAATATCTTAACTCGTGACTAAATACGATGAGTTTCATGAATTACCTTAAATCCTTTACTGATCAGTTGGTTACAAACTTCGTAGCATTGTTTATACTTTCTCAACTCTTCAAGCACGAACATTTTTGTCACAAGTACGCGTTGATCTCCAGGACAAAGTCTATCAGCTGTAAAAATAGAAAAAAAACTCAATGACTAAAATAAGTCATATCTCCACTATAGGTGTCAATTTAGACTTTTTAGACTGAAAGAAGCGAAACCAGTAAAACGACCAAAACGAAACAAAACAAGCGAAAAGAGCAAAGCGAAACGAAACAAGCGAAACCAGCGGAACGACCAAAACGAAACGATCAAAACGAAGCAAACCTTAGGACCAACGAAATGACAGAAACGATCAAAGGAACATACGAAAAATAGAAAAAAAGTCAATAATAATAATAAAATAAAATGAATGCCTAAGGGCGTCAGGCGTCAGGCGTCAGGCGTCAGCCGACATATTCGTCTCGTTTCGATTATGGTCTACCCCTGATCTACCTCACGGGAAAATTAAATTCTCTCAATTCTCTCGATCGTTTAAAAAAAATCAATTTAAAAAATTGGACATAGACGTCGTCAATAAATATCGTTAACGGTTTCTTCCTCTCCTTTCAGTATATGATGAGGTATTCAAAATGGCTGGGGTTCCGTGCAAGAAACTATATATAAGTGTCAAATTATAGTTTATAAATTATAGTAAAAAAAAAAGCGAGCTTCCTGAGAGGGCCTTAATAGTTAAAAGCCTTAAATGCGAGAGACATTTCATCCTTCACTGGTCTCAATCGTTGTAGTGGCTTTTTTCATTTATTTATTTTTTTATCATAACGGTCATTTCGTTTTGGTCGTTAAAGTCGTTTCGTTTCGCGGTTTCGGGTTTTAGTACATGCCATTCATTTGACGTTAACATTGAACAAAGTTAGCCGTTAGTTCGCACTTTCTACGCACTCTACGAAAGAACTCGTTGTGCTCTGCAGATTTCGGACATTTGAAAGAACTTTCAACTAAAGATTTACCTACAAAACGTTGCATCACAGTTCCTTGCAGAAAACCTATGTACACTTGAACTGTTATTTTCATGCAATTTGCATTATTTTGAACAATGGGCATTAAACGAATCTTTAGAACCTTTGACGACTCAAAGTCCAATTTTCATTGGAAGCCAATAAAATGTTCTCCTGCTTAGGCCTTGACGCGCGTCAATCATCAATGGCCGTTCCACTTGAACTGAAATCTTCCCCCTCTAGTTTAGCCAGGATATATAATAAACATCTTACTAACCTCGTTTTTCTTGGCCCGTAATTAAAGTCACGGAACCTCGTTTTTCCGCTTAATTTGTGGCCTGCGCGCTTCGCGCTTGGGCAATAAACCCGTGCGGAATAAACTCGGCCCGTAACCTACAGTACGGCCCTCGAACTGGGTTAGTAAGAGATATATACTTGAAAAGTATCATGGTCTTCTCCGTCTTAACGTCGAACAGGGTGATCCTTTTAAAAGTTTCAAACAGATCTCGCTTTGCCTCCTTTTTCTTTTTCTTTTGTGTGTGTGTGTGTGTTTTGTTCTTCATGTTCAGGCTTTCCACAAAATCCTTCATAGAAGTCTGGTAAGAGACATATCTCTTCTCACTCATCTTTTGTAAGTAATTTGACCGAAGAAACAGCCCTTAAAGCCGATTTGAAATTATGATTTTCCGATCGGTTTAGATAATCGGTGCCTGGCTGGACATATCGTTTTCTTCACACATGCAAAATGGGATACGCACCATTTGATTGACCCTCGGCTCCCTCGACCAGCTTGTGAATGAATATATTTCGCGCCTTTTCGGTGTGTAAATCTCAGAATGTATATAATAAACAAAATTCATCTCTATATATCTATATATCTCTATATCTCTATACGTGTATGCACCCGTTTTCAAGAATGTTGCAATTTGAAAATATATATGAAATAAGACAAATAAAATATGACTTTACGCGAATGAGATACTAACCTTCCTCGCAATCTTTTAGGGCATCTTCAAAGTTGTGCTGTAAATATCAGCAGAAAGGATTAAAAGAAGTAGTTATGGTTGAAAATCACCTCTTTTCCAACAATTTCTATACCAACGAAAATATAAATCTGATTGCCACAAACGCATGACAAGGGACTCGAGGAAACATTAATAGAAAGCTTGACAACATGCCATACAACCAAATTTTCGGCAAAGGTGATCATGATTTGATGCAAATTTTTTCTAGCCGAGTGAATTCTTCTGTCGTTCGTTTTGATTTGCACAGCATGCTTACAATTGACATGTATCTGGAAATTGCGACGCACCTTTACGAATGTATGACTCTCGTCAGTAAAATACTGACGATGTTACGTGAAGATCATAAAATTCTGGGCGATAGACGTCTTTGGACGGGAGTATCAAAATATCTGAGTTGCGCAGTTGAGGAGATATTTTTTTTCTGCACGTTCTGAATAGCATTTTGTGTTTATTAGTAAGTGTATCGGTATGTCTCCTTAGTGTTAAGTTATTTTAATAGCGGCATACAAGTGTCGAGTAGTCGAGTGTTCGCCCTTTGGGTCTGTGAATGCATCCGCACTGGTTGTTAGTTTTATTACGGATGAACTTCTAGCATCTCGTTCCACGGACGTAGCAGAAGATGGTGTAACCGTATTGGATCCATCCATCAATCAAGTAATCAGATCTGTTATTTCGACGTCGGTCGATTCTCTAACTGAAAACTAAACGCAAGTAGTCGAATCTAGGCTAACAAGTTTTGCTCAAAGTAACAGTGCTACATTTGAAGAAGCCGTGAAGAAGACTCGTCGTGAGAGCTACACATGTGTTGGTAAGGGAAACCAGCTCTCGATAAGCTGGATGACGCTTTGAACGCCCTGAAAAGTAGCTTCGAGAGAGAACGAAGCGCACTCTGGAAGAAGGTACTCATTTGATATCGAAAAGAATAAAGGCCATCAAGTGCGCTGACGAGAGCGAGTTTTGTTGGCTTACGGTCAACGAATAACTATCTGACGAGCTCGCATTAAATTCTGATGTCGAAAAGAAAATGTTCCGAACAGAGCAGAGAGCGAAGAGGAAAGCGATTAAGGATAAGCGTTGTCGGCAGCAACGAACTAGTTCTCCTAGATGACCGTAAAGTTATCAGTCAAGTGCTTCTATCCATTCAAGTTTTTCCAATTCGTTGGCAGGCTATCTCCCAGTGCTCAGGGATTTTGGCAACTTCCATGGTTTAAGTCCTTGTTTCAAGACAGCTATCAAATTCATTTCTTCTTTCGTTTGAAACTTTCATCAGATTTTTATTAGCTATGTTTTTTGATTCGCATGTATCGCGTTTACTACAAAGGCCATAATCCAGTACTCTCTATGATTTGTGGTATCTGGCAGTCATTTCGCGTATTCAAGTTAGTGCAGAATGTGTAAGTTCGGATTGGCGGTTATTTTTTTTTTAACAAATATATTATGTAAAGGGAATGTTATACAAACACTTGTCAAATTCTCTCAGCTCTTAGCATTTTTAATGTGGCTATAAACACAGCAAAATTTCTCTGACGTGAAATGATTAACGATTGATTATTTGATTTACTTTTGCAGGTAATATCACAAATTACCCATACTGCTTACTGTGTTTGTTATCGAAGTGATTAAGAATGATTGCATATTAGAAAATAATTGACCAAGATAAGTTTTGTCAAATATCTTCAGGAGTGCGCCACTTTTTGAAGGGGATACAAATAATACCGACAAAATTAAGACTTCAATTAAAAGTGGTAACATGTCATCAGGGTTGTAACGATATGCTTGTAATTGAACAAAGTATATCAGCGACAACGGCATCTTTCAGGTCGTGAAGAGGGCCAAGACAAGATAAATGAGTTTATGCAAACTAAAAATTTCATTTTTCTCTGAATTCTTTCTCATTCAAAGTGAAATTCCCAGACTTTTCCAAACATTGGAGAATTTTTTCCCTAACTTTTCCTGACCTTTAGCGACCTGTTGCAATCATGGTGATGCACTTTACCAGCAGCGGTATATCACGTTAACGTTGATATCTACAGTGGCATACCAACCTTTCTTCTGTAACATTCTGCCCTCTGCCAGTAAATTTTCATCAATTTTGCATTTAGCGCTGGAATCCGTGGCATTAGAATTAATACTTCACACAAACAATTTATGGCTGCGTCAAAGTCTGACTTCTGAACGTACTTAGGAAATTCAGTTCTTTTATTCATAGCTGTTCGTCTTGCATCCTGTACAAAAAGAATTCACTGCATGACCATTGGCAAGAGGTTATAAGGGACCCTCATGATCTCTTGTCGTTGGTTAGCATTAAATGTAACTTTATTTGAATCCTTATATCGTGAGAAAGGGTGGTCATTCTAACCTACGATAGAGCTTGTATTGAGTGGCATCGTATAAAGCGATCACCCTCCATTAAGCGGTCGGTGGTCAAAGTCCTGAAATTTTTCCCCTTAAATACTGCAATTTTCACCTCCATTAAGTGGTCACCTCTGTTGAATGGTCGAGGTGACCCTTGATTGAGTCCCGAAGGTCTTTCTGTATTGTCTCCAATCACTCAAATAAAACTGAGAAAACTCTTTTAAGTAAAATTCATTCCATGTTTATCGCGCGGAATCAATAATAGTACTTTGAGTTCGAAGGTCCTCAACATATTGTCGATTAACTTTCTGTTTTGGAGTGTCAGTGAGAATCATGTCGTCTGCTAATCACTCTGCCATTCTCGTGTACCCAGCCCTCCCCTGCTTAAGGGCGCAATGGGTGTCTCACAAGAAAATAAGAAACTGCCACAGAAACTGACGCATAAAATGAAGCTAACGTTCTAAATGCATCGCCGCCCACAATCGAGACAACTCACAACTAACTGAGAGTCAACCCCTGAGGGAGGTGTTCTTGCCGGGACAAATGTTAAGTGGACTTCCATAGGTAGAAAGATACAAGTTCGCGATGGAAAACCAACGACCGCGGTGTAAGTGAAGATCGATTGTTTTCTGGTCCCTGATGGGCTTGAGGTAGACATGCACGGCTTCAGCATCGTTTTGCAATGGTTTTCTTTTTAAATAGCTACTCAAATTGTAACAGAAAAAATTGATAATATACGTGACTAGGTGATTTACGGAGACTAGTCAAGAGTGTGTACACGAAACACCGGGCAGTCGTGCTACATGCCATCTCACCGATTTCAATGAAACTTTGCCAGTTTAGAGGGTCTACCCCAAAACTCAAAGAGACAAACTGGTCTCTGTTTTGGTTTTTTTCCGGGGGAAGATAGACACCTCCCCCCCGGTTTTTCTTGGTTTTCATCGAGGAAATCGCTTCAAAATAGGTAAAATGTATGTCTTGCCAGAAAGCTAAAACACTAATCTTAATTCCCATTTATAATCCATCATTTCATCTCTGAAAACCATCAAAAAAATATTTGGTCACTGCCGTATTTTTGTCTTGGATGCCTTTTTAAGTCTACGACTGTGACAAGCTTCTCTCAACTGCACCTATCACGCAATTCGGGCTCTAGGAGGTCATTTGACTAAATAAACCTACATTTTTTAGTTCTTTATTCAAGATGATTGATCAAAGAAGCTAAAAATGTGAAAAACTTTCGAGATTTTTGGTAGAAATGGTAAATTTCATGTTGGCAGAGATGCATGTAGGCGAAAATTGGATAGGAAAATCGTAGCGTTTCTTTCTTCTGTCGTTTATTATTTTGAAGATTTGCTAAAATCAGCAAATAGGGCTTTTGTACAGAACAAAACATTCATTAGTCTATAATTTGAGTGTTTATCATCATTATCGCACAGTTTACAACAAGGAAACTGTAACAGGTGAGGAGATTTTAAAGTCGCATGTCGCGTGCTTGTTGACGTACAAGTTCCCGTGTGTAACAACTTCGGCTTTTCCAGATCATGGATGACGGGAAACTCTACCCCCTTCGTTTGAAAGGAAATATCACTAGCCACATAAAAATTTATTAACTGCACCATGCTTCCAGAAAATAAGACTGGAAAATGCTTTTTCCACTTTCCACCATCAAGAAATTCCACGCAGAAATAGCATTTGCAGCGTGACTGTGTGACCTTTCTTGAGAAGTAAACATTGCTTTCCTTTTTTTTTTTTTTTTTCAAAAAAACACTTCTATAAAGTTCTTAGGCCTTCTTTTATTTTATTTGTTTCTTTGCGTGGTGTCGGGCTTAGGTGTGTAGGTCTGGCTTAAAAGATATCTGCACGCTGCAAAAGGGCACGCAACACGGGTTCCTACGTTTTTCTCCATTTTCTTTATTTGTATTCTTATCCTCTTTCTTGCATTATCACACACATGTATGTTTTTTTATTCCCTCCGCGCGTTCCCTCAGATTTGGAAGAAGGCTATGAAAAGTCAATATTGACCAGAAATGAAACATTTTCTATCATTATTTGTTTCAAAGAACCCCTGTTATTTAAAATTTTATTTCTCAAGATTGTGTTTTTCTTTGCCATTTATTTCCATTAGAAAATGAAACTGGGTTCCGACAATTTTTTTTTTGTATCATGACTCCCAAAAACTGTGTTGGCGCCAACATCAATTGAGAAATCAAAAGCAATTACGCCCGAGGAATTCGCTTTTAGCCCTCTGGCCGCAGAAGGCAAATCCACGCAATGAAGCGTTCTAAGATCTCAGTTAATAGAGACATTACGTGGACGAGGATGTGATGTGTTGAGGCGTCAAATATTTACGCAAAATCTCTGACCCTCAAACGGATCACGTACTCGTACATGTAACGTCCGAAAAATGTCACGCATGCACAACATGCTGTGAGTGGCTACGTTCAAGTTTGGACCTCAGGTAAAATTCTGACAAACAGTCCCTAACTAGGCAGGTGGACTTTGCATGGGCTCTTTGGAAAACACAAAACGCAGCCGCCTTTTCTCATAAAGCAAAGTGTCGGAAATGAGACTAAAGAATCTGCTTTTATTTTATAAAATCAACTTAATCTCCCTCTCTCTCTCACCGCTCTCTGTCTCACGCTCTGGTCTCTCTCATTTTAAATATATAATATGATCCCATTGTTCAATCGTCTGTCACTTATCGCAAAAAATCAACCGGAAATCAATTAACGCTGAATAATCTCTCACACACTCCCCTGTTTTTTCTCAACGGAGAAAAAACACTGGAATGGCACACTCGATAAAATTTGAAATTCAATGAACGAAACAGAAAGTTAGTCCAGTATATCAGTTCAGTGTTCCTAAATATCTCTAATCAGCATCAATGTTCGCGTCTTGAATGCGATAACGAGCGGCTACCGCTACATCCCTCCTGGGCCTGAATGTCGGGGCTTCGGGGTTGAGCTGTAGAGGAGCCTGTAAATTCTCCCGATCGCAGGACAGCTCCAGTGGGTAAAGATGTTGTCCCGCCAGTTCAAGTGTTCCTTTCCCCGCTGGAAATTTGGCAGCTCGAACGATTCCGAAATCAGATCTTCCACGATTCCAATTTTCCATTTATTGCGATTTCGTTCCTCGTCCTTGATGATGACTACCTCTCCCTTGGCCAAGGGCGTGGTTTGACCCTTGTGTTTAATCCGGTGTCGTTCTCTTAACCCTCGTAAATATTCGGTAGTCCACCTGGTCCACAAAGCCTGCTTGCACCTTCACAGATATTTAGCTCTTCTACGCAGATCAAATTCTCTTAGATGGTGTGGTTCCAGTCCTGGTAGCTGGTTTGATCGAAGAAATAGCTGTGAGTTAGGGGTAAGCACGGGTAACTGTATGTCGTCTTCGACGTAACATAAAGGGCGATTATTCAAAGCAATCTCCACATCCAGTACCACCTCACACAGCTCTGTCCAGGTTAACATTCCGCATCTGATAGTCTTGTTTAAAGCTGTTTTTACCAGTGCGACGAGGCGCTCGAACTGTCCTCCCCACCAAGCGGCGCGGCTGAGGTTGAATTGCCACTTGATGTTCTCATGTGCTAAGTAATCTTGTGTCTTCTCGTCACGCATAACTTGTTTGAGCCACTTCTCGGCACCAACAAAGGTTTTACCATTGTCGGAATATATCTTCTTCGGACGCCCATGGCGCGCGATGAGCCGTTTTAGACTTCTTAGGAATTCACTGGTTGCCAGGTTTGGTAGTACTTCCAGGAATAATCCTCGTGTAAGACTGCACGCGTACAATGCAAGATAGGCCTTTCCTTCTGTTTCGGCTCTGATACGGTACTTGATGGGCCCTGCAAAATCGACTCCGATAACCTCGAATGGGGTGCTCCCCTCTGTGCGGTCAGTGGGTAGGAGTCCAGGAGGCGGCGTTGCCAGTGCCATGGCCTGAAAACGCTTGCAGCCTGAACACGCCCTGAGAACTTGTTTTACGAGTGCCCTTAAACGCGGTACCCAGTATAGCTCTCGCACTTTGGCCATGGTAAGGGCCACTCCTCCGTGCAGTGTGTCGACATGTGATCGGTGAACTAACTTGCGAGTGAAGGGCGAGGAGTCTGGCAGAAAGATGGGGTAATGGCCTTGAATTCTTCCCCTACACTCTAATATTCCCTCTTGGTTTTCTTGCACATTCAACTGTAAACGGTCTTCTTCAAATTTCTGGCTCGACTTTGCTTGTTGTTGAGATCGCTTGATCCAGAACGTTGTCTGCTTCTGTATTTCTTCAGTTGTAGGGGGACCAACGATTCTCTGTTTACGGACGGTTCTTATGTTGTGGAGGAATCTCCAGATTCAAGCACCCACTCGCAACACACGCCACAGCTCGTACTTCTCCAGCAGCGCATCGAATGCGTCATTGTTCTCTGTTTTCTCTACTGCTAGAGCAAACAACTCGCGCGTTTGTTTCACTTCTTCCGCTTTTGATTATGGAGTAGATGTCGTTATACAAGGTCTGGCGGCCAGTCCTGTGGTTTTGCTAACCAGCTTGGTCCCTGCCACCAAAGAGCTGTCAATCTACTAACATCTCCTCCCCGACTCCCCACGTCCGCTGGATTCTCCTCTGTTGGTACATGCCTCCAGTTTATTTCTTTTTCCTGGATCTTCCTCACTCGATTTCCCACGAACTGTTTGTATTCGCCATTACCACGGATCCAGTGCAGTGCGACTGTGCTATCCAGCCAACCATAGACACTTCTTACGGGAAAACCCTTCAGGACTTCTTTCACATTTTGTACTGGGTTCGCAGCCATATGTCCAGCCACTAGTTCTAATCGGGGAATCGTGAGTCCTTTCTTCGCGAGCCGCGACTTTGCCGTCACGAGGCCTCGATTCGTGCCTGATGGTTGCTCCACCACTACATAAACCGCGGCTGCAACTCCTTTCCCGCTTGCGTCCCCGAATGTGTGTAAGTCGATTGATAATATCTTCCCTACATGCTTGACGACATTTCTTGGCGCGTTCACGTGCTCTGGAAGTCCTTGCTCCCATTTCTTCCATTTGGTTTGTAACTCACTTGGTAGGGGGCCTATCCCACGCGATCTTCGTGTCGCAGGCATCTCTGTAGAGCATTTTTCCAGAGAGGGTCACGGGTGAAGCCAGACCGAGTGGATCGTAGATTTTTGCGACTTTTCCAAGGATACCCCTTTTTGTCGGCTCAGCGGTTGAAATCGGGAAGCTGACTTGAATTTCGTCCTTTTCTTTGTCCCAGGGGAATCCTAGCAGTTTTGATTCGCCCTTTCTGGTTCCCAGTTGTTGTTTGGCGTAACTCTGACTTTCTTCATCTAAAGTCGCAGTTTCAACTTCTAGCTCCCGATCGTTGGAATGCCACTTGTGCAGCTTGAAAGTCGCCTCAACAAAGATGGTCGTGGCTGTCATCTTGATTTCTAACGCTTGTTCTGTTGTCTCCCCACCACTGATTAAATCATCCACGTACATACTGCGCTCTATCTCCTCTACTAATTCCGGGTTCACCATTTTGTATCGCTATAGATGTTCTTTAATAACTGCGGCCAAGAGGAATGGAGACGGTGCCAAACCAAAGAGTACTCGAGTGAATCGCAAGGTTTCTACTTGTTTGCTTGCCAGATCCTTTATCAAATGAAAGCGTAAGGCATCTCGTCTTCTCTTCGGACGCGAATTTGCAAAAATGCTTGTTTTAAGTCGCCAGCTATTGCCACGGGATAGAACCTATTTCGTACCAGCACTTTCCAAGTAGTAGTGGAGGGCCGATTTCGAGGCACTCGTTGAGTGAGGGGACACTTGCATTAGCTCTTGCAGAAGCATCATAAACAATGCGTGTCTTTGTAGATTCTGCATTCTCGCGCACGACCGCTTTGTGAGGAATTTTTCCAATGTCAACAACTCTTTGCGGTCGACTTTGTTTACTGCGGCTTCCAAGGTGAATTTACCATCAACGCTTCGAATTTGTAGGCCATAGACGTCTATCGCTTTGTTTGAAGTACCAAACATCATTTCAATGCGCTTGAATTGTTGACGGATAGGGCGCAAATGTAAACAGTTCAGAAGCGTTGATGAAGCGTAGGAACTTCCGGCTCCTGTATCCAACAATGCTCGGCAATTAACACCATTCACGCCAACTGTAACCATAGGATACACCACTTGTAAGATCCAAGTGTAACATTTTTTCTATTATTCGTTCTTGCGTAATTTGTTTTTCCTTTGCGTACGCAAATTAGTTTATACTTCTTTTCGTCCATTTGTTTAGTCTTTTTTTTTTTTTGGCGTTAATTTAAGTGTTTATTCCTTTCTGTCAGTTTTCGCGCCCTCGTTAGCGTTTCTGTGCTGTTTCATCTTCATTATCGCCTTTCTTAGTTTCTATAGTTTTATTTTCCGCATGTTCTAGCGTATTTTTCATATCGTAGTTTTGCAGTACAGTTTTGGGCAGTTCATTTTGGTCCGCGCTTAGCGCAGTTCTGTTTAGTTTCTTGCAAGTCTCTTCGCGTTATTCGCAGTCCGCTTTACAGCAGTTTTCTCTGGCCGAAACAATGTAAGTGTACTTCACAGTCCTCGTTTTGCAGTTTTGTTATTTCCTTACTCTAATTTACCTTAGTCGCAACTTGTAACTTTTTTGCTTTTTTACCGTTTTAGTTTCAACCCACGCTGTTTGTATGCACACTCTTAGTACCAAGCACGTCGGCTACAATAAATCTTCATTCTAACTTGGTTTGTGGTGTTGTTATTAAAGGCCAGGAGACTTACACGCTTATTGCAGTTTCACCACTCCTTTCCTTTCTACGCTCGTTGTGGTCATCAGCTGGTCTCGCGATGTATGTTTGTCACAAATCGATGTATGATGTCTTCGACTGCAGATCTGGCAGCCAGAACGGCATTTGCACTCAGAAGCAAGGTGTCGACTTCCTGTGCAGTTAAAACACAGCTGTTTCAGACCTAATTGCTTCCTGCGGTCTCCAACTGTCACAAACATGTTACAATTTACAGCTCTGTGGTCAGTTGCGTCACAGTAGACACACCCTCTTTGTGTTGGCGTAGTTTCGTTTGCTTGAAATGTTTTTTCGCGATCGCGGAATTTAGCACCTTGCTTCCCCGCATTATCCGCGCCGCTCCCAATGGGGTTGATTCCCTTCCAACTTTTCAAAGCTTTTATCAACTGTGGGAAGTCCCAGTCCTGCCAGTCAATTTGTCCTCTCACTAGATCTGCTTTTACACCCTTTAGTTTGTCGAGCACACTCCTTGCATTTCCAGTGACGTCTTTCAATTTGCCCAGTGTCTCCAAAGATTGCACATTGTACACGAACTTCTTGAAAAATTCGTGGATAGGCGCAGGTTGTCTTCCTGTAATGACAGGCAAATTCGCGATGTTCTGGACGTACGCATTCACGATCTCGCTTGTTTTCCCATATTCGCCGATGAGGATATTCTTTGCCCTTTCGTAGCCCTCTGTTGTGAAAGGCAGTCCGTCTATCTCCGCTCGAACCTTTGGATCTACCAGCTCTTTTAGGTATGCAAACTTGGTCACAGTTGCAAGGTTTGCTTTATCAATTTCAGCTTGAAATTTGTTCCAGAACGGCAGCCATGCTTCATACGTCCCATTAAACTTTGTGATCTGTAGTTTCGGTAGCTTTGTTGTCCTTTGTTCACTCTGATTAGCCTTCTCAACACGTTACTGTTTTGCCTTGGTCTCTTCCAGTTGGCGTTCGAATTCTAGCTTCATCTCCATTTGCTCTCTTTCGAATTTAAGCTCCTCTTCACGAGCACGGGCTTCCCTTTCTTCTTTGTCCTTTTGCTTTCGATGTTCGATCTCTCCATTCGTCTCCACGAGCCATTTTTCTAGTCGCGAAACTTCTTCGTCAGCTTCGGCGATCGGTTCTTCAATGCTACTGCTCCAACTTCCAACGTCTTCTGCACTTTTCCCGGCCTTGAACATGGTCTGTTCAACCCTTAGTTTAAGCACGTCTACTTCTTTTACTTTTACTTGCTTGTAGGTTGTGGCGATGTCGCGCGACCGCTCCTAGGTTTCCCTTTTCCACAATGCCACGTGTTTTTCCATTGGTGTAAAGCAACATCTGCAATTTAGCCTCTGCTTCTTTGGTTAGTTCCTCCATGCTTCGCGCGTTCCGTCGGAGGTGCCACTGTGTCGGAAATGTGACTAAAGAATCTGTTATGTTCCGAAACTTCACGTTTTATTTTATAAAATCAACCTAATCTCCCTCTCTCTCTCCGCTCCCTCTCTCTCATTTTAAATATATAATATGATCCTATTGTTCAATCATCTGTCACTTATCGCAAAAAATCAACCGGAAATCAATTAAAGCTGAATAATCTCTCACAAAAGAATTATTCCTAGACGTGTGCTGGGCAGGGGAGGAAACTAGTAAGGCAACCGCATCTAACGTGGCTTCCTAAATATCGAGTTTAAGAGACGACACCGGCCAGAAATGTTGTCCAAGACTGACTGGATGATAGAGCAACAAATCACTCGATACTTCAGCCGGTTATCTGCCGTAACAAAAATTGGTTTATTGACGAGGTCCCCCTTTGTAGGTATGAATGAGGACGAATAGGCCGATGCCGATGGTCTAGCCTCAGAAGTCGAAACTGACCGAAAAAGGCAGAAGATAAGGAGGAACCTTGCAAACTTTAGACGAAGACTGCAGGAGAGGGTACAGCTGCTATTAAGCTAAAAAAAAATATAGACCTTTGCATCTCACTTTTCTTTCATATTTATTGTCTTTGCTCGCGAAAACAACTATTTCTTGGGGTTTTTTCGTCTAGGGAAATTTGCAGGAGGCCTATTGGTAAAAATATTTCTGGTTCATTCATAATGAATTTTACTAGTCACGCAATCAAACGCCAGCAACACTCGATCGAGAGAGACGTAGATTTACATGTAGTAATAGAATGCTTAAAAAAAAATGCAGATACTTTACGATCGAAGCAAGCAAATAATCATAGGGATCTGCACAGTATTCTGAAATTGTTATCGAGAAGACAGCATGAACTACGCGCTTGAATAATTCCTACGAAAGTCTTCGGGTCACACAACAGATATTAGTTTGGCGGAGTTCTGCATGGAAATGTTCGATGGCGGTAAGTGACAACGACAACACTATTTTAATTTTATTTTCGGGATAGTAGCACAGTTTTTAGTTTCATAGAGCTATTGATATTTGGTCTCGAACGAGAGCGCAGAATTTCTCGTCTGTGAAAGCCGAAGTTGTAGCACACTGGAACTTGTAATAATGTCAACCAACACGCAGCGTGCGACTTTAAAACCTCCTAAAATGAGCAGTGATGATGATAAACAACCAAGGTATAGACTAATGAATGTTTTGTTCCATACAAAAGCCCTATTTGCTGATTTTAGCAAATCTCCAAAGTAATAAACGACTGAAGAAAGAAACGCTACGATTTTCCCATCGATTTTTCGCCTATATGCACATCTCTAAACGTGAAATTTTCCATTCCTACAAAAACTCTCGAAAGTTTTTCACATTTTTTAGCTTTCTTGATCGATCATCTTGTACAAAGAGCTAAAAATGTAAGTTTATTTAGTCAAATGACTGCCTAGAGCCCGAATTACGTGACAGGTGTAGTTGAGAGAAGCTTGTCAAAGTCGCAGACTTAAAAAGGCATCCAAGACAAAAATACGGCAGTGCCTCAAATATTTTTTTATGGCTTTCAGAGATGAAACTATGGATTATAAAGGGAAATCAAGATTAGTGTTGCAGCGTTCTGGCAAGGGGAGATATTTGACCTTAAAGTTGTCAAATATTTGGATGAATCGAAAAGTCTCAAAACACAGTCGTTTATTTGCCTCTGTTGATTGACAAGATGTCAATCAAATTGACTGATACTGGCGTCGAACATTAACTAAGGATGTAATAATATGTGTGCAAACCCTCAGAGTAATTGATTAAATACTATCGCAGTGAGAGCTTCATACATTTTACCTATTTTGAATCGATGTCCTTAGTGAAAACCAAGAAACCATCTCCCCCCGGAAAAAACCAAAACAGAAACCAGTTCGTCTTTTCGAGTTTTGGGTAGACCCTTTAAACTGGCAAAGTTTCATTGAAATGGGTGAGATGGCGTGTAGCACGACTGCCTGGTGCTCTCGTGGACACACTCTTAATAATAAATAGATACAGAGATTAAGCGCACCTCAATTTCCCTTTGCAGAGATGACGCAAGTTCAGCTATTGATGAGTCCTACAAGCAAATAAAATACGTTATAAAACTGCCAAATCACCAGTTCAATTCTTGTGCTCAATTTCAATTTCTATAATAACAATGACAATGACAGTTTTTGGAAACTTTGAAAATTGTGCTGAGATTTGACTATAGTATAGGTACCTGGTCCATCCTGACCAGATAATCAAGGAAAAATGATAATTGAATGCACTGTGAGTTGCCTGGCTTCAGGTAACCAAAAATAATTGAAATATTTTGAACATGGGTTCAAATCCCGTACTGGCCTGAATTTTTACTGAGGCCTTGTTTTCACTACTGCTTAAGTGTTCATTACTGCATTACTTAATATGCAATTCACATACCCTCATATATTCACAGTCAGTACTTTTATTGATAACGATCTCGGATGCATATGCGTTATTGACCAAGCAAAAGGTCAAGATGGTTGGACATTGACCAAGTTCTATTTTTGCATTTTTATGGACCAGGACGAAGTCGAGGTCCATAAAAACGCATAAGAAAAGAACAAAGCTAGTATCCAACCATCTTGACTGAACAATCTTGGTCAATAAAGGATCTTGGTCAATTTGCTTTATGAAGAATCATGAATTTCTTGTTTGTTTCAAGAGAGGGGAAAAAAAGCCAAATTTTTTTGTGAACTGATGAGAGTCGCTTGTTTTCTTTATTTTGACTGTCATCTGTCATCTACTGCTTTAATAGCGACTCCATCACCAACATTGTCCAAAAAAATAAGAATTGTTGGTAAGGTCGCTCTAGGCAATTTACTTTCTTGTGCAGGAACAAAGTGGGCAATCTTGAGTCTTGCTTGCTCAGGTAGCCAATCAGAACACGGGATTAATTTCAAATTGCCCACAGATACTGTCAGCAATATAATAAAAGCAGATATCGTCGGACAACTAACAATTATTATCTCCGTGCATAATCATACATATACCTGACTGTGCTTTTTTCTCAAACTTGTTACTTCTATATAGGCATCTGAAATTTGGCCTAGGCCTCTCAGGGCCTGAGCTAGACTGTACCTAGCTTTTTTGTTTTGTGGATCTAAACCAAGTACTGCAGAGGAAACAAAAAATTGCTCTGAATCAATCAATTAATAGTCAATTTTGTTGTGCAGTGTATGGCACGATTAAAACATAATATGCAGTATATAGGAAACAATATGTACAGCATGTATAATTAGGACATAAAGGCTAACTGAGTCTCAAAAATATATATACCTTTATCACAATCCGAATGGGCCTCATTAAACTTTCTCTGCAAGAGAGAAATATCATTCTTTCATCAGCTCCAACGTACAGCTAGTACAATTATCATAATTAGGTTTCACTATAAATTTGTGACTTTTGCATTTAATATGCAATTACCAGTAGCTCAAAAGGAAATAATCATTTCATAACGATTATTATATAATTTGTGGCTATTAAGATTAAGGTACAGCTGTATGGCAAAGGAAGCCCTGACTAAATCATTCAAATCATATATAGCTCAGAAAATCCAGTTTGTAAGTGTTACTCAAACAAACAACTTCAATACCAATCAAAATGTTTTGATTACACTTACAAAGGAAGAGTATGACAACTGGCTTCTTCTAAGAAATCAGTGTGTTGCATAAATGTAAATCTGCCCCCCCCCCCTCCAAGCTAGAAAATGCCTCTGCAAATTTCGGAACCTTTTAGCGGCAACATGTATGTACCAATTGAGGGAGACACTCTGTGAGTTTCCTCTTATACATCCCCTCTCCAAAGTCATACACTCTGAAAAGCTGACTCAGGTATTCCTCAAACCCCTACTATCAAAGAAAGTGAGGGGGGACGGGACACTTAGTTTTCCAGGGGGAATGCTTGTTTGATATATCCGCCTAGTGAGTGAGCACCCATTCAGGAAAGGGGGCTTATTGGAGTGTTGGCAATTATTGGAAGAAACAAATTACATTTTTATGTTGAAGTATTAATTTTTTAAGATATATTGGATTATAATTGTTGTAATGACAACTAAAATTACTTTTTGCAAGCAAATTGAAGAAGGCAATGTTAGTTTAAGTCACTCAGATGACATCAAGACTGATATTGGAAATCAACTTGTTTACATACCATATTAACATAACATGCTGCCCTGTTACAAAGATACTTAATGATCATTTCGTCATTCTCTGGACCCTCAGGAAGACATTCCAAGGCTAATGTATACTGCTGACAAGCTTTCTCGTATTTTTTATCTTGAAACTCTACCCTTCCTCTATTGTTGTGGCCTTCAGCTGTCTTAATGATGTCCTGACAATGAAACATATCAAAACATCATAAAAATGTTTCAAAGTTTTCTTGGAAGCCTTTTAAATCACCATTTAATATCATTACACAAATAAATATGTTTTGATGAAACCTCTCTCTTTCATTTGCATTGCCCTTGTTTTCTCTACCATCTACTCACTCGTAGATTGTTCTGTTTATGAAGAATCTTGTGGTAATTACAGCCCTTAATCATTCAGGTTCTTTTCACAACCATTTGTTAGGTTTTAGAAAAAAATAAAAATATTATTCACCAGCCAAGGTCAGTCCATACTGGGAAAAACTGTGCCCTCTGTCTTGTGTATCCAAGGCCTCAGGCACAGTTTTTCCCAATACGGACCTCCGATCCCGTCTGGTGAATAACATATATTTATGTTCAGTACAGTGCTGTACATGCTATAACAATAACAAGATGAAAAATTTTAAAAAAGTTACTATTATAGTAATAATAACAGTACTGATAATAGCTGATAGCAATTAGTATTATCATGAGCTTAGGCTGAGCTTAACTGTTGAATTATTCTTTAAGGTTCCTGAGAACAGACATTTAAGGCTGTGTAGTAGGAGAAAGTTGTAAAAGTGAAGGAATCAAATGTGCATGGCATGATGAAATTGTCTGCTTGAAAGTATTAAAAGAAACCCTTTGATTGGAAACTTACAAGAAGTACTGACAAAGTTAAGAAATGTAAGTCCACATCATGGCTTCAATGCTGAAGGTTATTAATTAAGAAGTGCTTAAAACATTATCCAAAAATGCAGAAAAGTCTGGTGAAAGAGTGGAGAGTATTAAATAGTCAATGACTGCAGTTGAAAGCACTCTGCTTGTTTGAATGAGGTACAGGTAGTTAAGAATGAATGTGGCTCAGGTAATTCACTGCCAGCCCAGTGAGAATTCTGAGTGTCAGACAACAGCAAACTTACATGATCACAAACCTGCCCCTGTTATGTATCCAAAGACTATAATTTCAACTTCACTGCATCTTGAAAGAGTTATCAGAACATTACAGGGCATATCAAAAGCACACAAGAACAACAAGCAGTTGCTATGCATAGAAAATTGCTCTCTTTCAGCTGAATTTGATATATTAAATTCAACCTGAAGGGATCATTTTCCTTGAAAAATGTCCGAGAAAAATTGTGGGGCAATCCACAAAGGGGACCAGTGATATATGTCACCACTTCAGCTACATATCACATGACCAATTAAACCTGAAACCATCAGAGCCATTACTTTGTTGATGGAGACTGCCAGATAAGGTAGAAAGTTTAATATTTTGCCAGAATTATTTAGCTGGCATCCAGGCAATCACTACAATTGCAGCACAAGTAGTGAATTGACTCCCACTAGCAAGCCTGAGCTGAGGGCAAACTGTGAAGGGCACAAGAAAAACACAAAACACAGCTTGCCTGGACATCTCTGGTATCTGACTTACACAGTACGTTAAACATTGCTTACAAAAAAAAAAAAGATTGGGGAAGATAAGAGGCCCACTATCATCACAAAATGAGCAAAATACAGGTAGCATCCTGTTCTCAAATTGGTGGATATGTCTCCAAAGCTATTTGATCAAAACAATCAAACTTAACAATCCACCACACAAAAACTGGAAAAAAAGCACATTAAATATAACTTTCAGAGTATTTACAGAAGGAGGAAATATTTTTTCAAGGATTGCATAAATGTCCAACAAGAAGTGATATGTAATAATGAAGTGCTAATCAACATTTTAAAAATATGGCTGGTGCACAATTTAAATATTTCTGAAGAATAAAATTGATAATTATGGAGAGTACAACTCAACTGATAACCACTTGTGAGTTCTTTGTCATAGCATAAGCTAAGATTACAGTGACATTATAAGGGCTTACCAAAGTAGCTGTAGATTCAGTAGAACCAGATGCCGATGTACCTTTCTTATCAACAGCGTCTGCTGTAAATTATCAAAATCAAAATGAAAGAGGTTCATTTTGTGAAATGTTATCACAACAAAGATCAGCTAAATTGCATCCTACAAAGTTCATATGTGGTCAGCTGTTTCAACAGCTAACCAATGAAAGTAATACACTCAGGCACAAAACTTTCAAATCATCACTGTTCAAAACTAAAAGTGACACAACTTGGCTAGGCCTTGTGGTTCACCCGCCACTTTGAGCATGCTGCTCAGCTAGAGCACCATTCAAACTTTGCAAACTTTCATATTACATTGAAAATTGACTTGTTCTAAAGCTGACTGGAAAAAGTAAGAACACAAAAAGAGTCAATCAAACTCCTGAGAGGAAAGCAAGCAATTTTTAATAATTAGTCAATGCCCATACTTTTATAAGCACTCTTAGCAAAAACCCTTCCTAGCTTTTCAAAAATCTGTTAACCTTTTTCAGTCAGATAAATGAAATTTCTGTGTGATCAAAACATGGGGAATTTCTTCCTCCCCTCCCACTGAGATATTACTGCACTGCAGAAACTTTGAATTCTCTCCATTCTCCTTGAAATTTCCAAACAGTTAACAAAGTTATAGCCCAGGGAGAAAATGTAGACCATTCAGTATCACAATTTATCATTTCACTATTATGCTATTTTACCACACAAGGGAAACAGAACTTGCAAAATGTCATAACATTGCAGGATGTGGCAAAAAAATTAATTAATTAAAAAATCAGATGGAAGATGGTTGTACAGAACAATCCATCAGATTTTTCCATTTTTATGGTCATAGGCAACACATTAAATAGTTTACTTTGTGTTTCTTGTGGTTGTCTATCATTTAGCATGTTGCTCATTGCTAGTAATATTCCTTGCATCTATGGGGCTTAGCAGGGCGTGAAATTGCGCCTAATACAGGCGCCAATGCGACTAAATTTTTCACTTTGGCGACCAAATCCTGAAAGTTAGTCGCCAAATTGGCGACTAGAACGTTTCATCATAACCTTACTAAGAGATATAGTGCATTAAAAAGATTTGCAAAGATAAATCCGTTGCAAACTTCCTCGTTAAGTTTGTTTCCAAAACGTAGCACATGCATCTCGATCGATAACTAGACGCCATCTTGGATTTAGATGAGCCTGAACGTTGTATATCATCCATCCTAGTGTCCACTTTGTAGCACGTTAAAGACCTTTTCCCTAACTTAATTTTGGAGGGTCTATCTAGAACGCTGACAGCGTAAAGAAAGATTTTGTTTGTCTTTGAAAATGGCGACCAACTTTTTTTGAATTGGCTACCACTTTGAAGAATTTAGGAGCCAAGTGGCTATCAGAAAAAAAAGTTAATTTCACGCCCTGCTTAGGAAAATATGCAACTCAAGAAATATATCATGTATCATATATCATAAAACTGTTAAACCATCCATATTCCTTCCCACCCCGGCCCCCGCTACAGCAACACTTTATCATATTTCTTCAACAAACAAAGAGTTGACTATTGTATTGGCGATACGATATTAGTTTCAAAAGCGGCTTACTTTTTTCTCCTTCACAGCTATATTGGCGCATGAAAATCTCTAGCTCAGCGGCAAGATCCTTTCTTCCAGCTTTGTCGAGGCAATTTACTAAGTAATCCAGACTATGTGGTGTGATCTTCAGCTCATACTCTAGTATTTGGAATAGTCCTTCGGGGTTTGATATCTTTTCCGCTTCTCCAGGTGGGATACCGATAATAAATTTCAACTTTTCTAAGTTTTCTGTACTTAACTTTGGGGCAATATCCGACAATTTGGATCGAAGTCGTTCTCCACATTTGCAATCCATGGCCACCAGCAATGGCCGACGGCGAAAGCGAAAGTAATTTTGGGAAAAATACCTGAGAATTAACAATCGGCGGGAGACACCCTCCGTAAAATGATTGGTCCATTCAGGAAAGCAATATATATCATCGTCCTAAAACCAGATGAGCCCATGACATATCAGCGGCATCTTGTATGAGTATCCACAGTTTACAACGTGACTTCCGCTTTTTCTTGTTGACGCGTACTCACAGTGTACTCGAGTGTTAGGAAGTTCGCGTAGTGGGTCTGAGCCAGTTTCTGCTAGATTTGAACAGAAAAACAAGTCCTTTGTTGGACTGTAATGATACTTTGATCGATGGCGCTGTTAACGAAATGTTTGGCCGGTTCGTAAGTTGTCAACCTGGTTTCGGTCGATCTGATTGATTGGCAACACCTCTGAAATCCTACACACCATCGACTTAAACCTCATAGCTGCCAAGTGAGCAGAAGAACAATGACATCAGAATACTGGAGAAAGATAAGTATTAATTTTAATTGCATTTGTGTTAAACTTATATATATAGAAATTTCTGAAGAGGTACTTAATCAGAAGTTTATCACATGATAAGCCTTCAAACTTGTATTAAATAAATTGATGTACATATTTCACAATTTTAAGATGATTGTGTGATGACAGTACACCGATGGTCAACATTCGAATATTCAGCTTGAGCTTCCTCCTAAATGTTAAGTATTTCAATTTGAACTTGTAGAATATAACCTATGGATTAAATGTGGGTCTATAAGTATCATCCATGGAATTCCTACAGGCAATTTTCATCCCAGAGTAAGCATGACACCTTTATACATCCTTCTCACTTGTAGAAAAAAACTTTTATATATCTACATTCTCTGAAAACACCTTAGGCCTAAAATCATAGTCATGTGATATCAATATATAACACACTGAGATCTAAGGTCAAGATGAGCTTTTGATTCCTTACCTTCTGTACTCATTTGGCAGAAATTGTGTCACTAAAACTGTGATGACACCACTTAAGGTCTTGTATCTAATGTCTGCAAGAAACTGGTGCCTATATGTCCTATTCTTTCTTTCCGCACCATTGGTAGTGTTCACTCTCACATTGAAGCGGTCCCTCCTGTATGCCCAAACCCAGCGCTGCCAATAGAAACAAAGTGTCCAAGTAAACTTCACGAATATAAGCTGCATGTAATCTGATTTTCACCTTTCGGATCTCCTTGTAAGAGCATCTTGGACTCATCTCAGACTCATGCTGAATGATTAATGGCCCAAAATGACATCATCCGAGGAGATGGCCTGTTTGATGTTTAAAGTCAGAGCGACAAGGATTTTAAGTGAACATATTAAGATGTGTGTAATTTTTAAGCCAAAAATCTTGAATTGCCGGATAATTTATAAGGGATAATTCCACAATTATTATAATGTATGCAAGGGATACACTTGCCTGTCTTTCGGGAAGCCATGTTGTGTTCATCCACTTTTGGAGTCTTGTATTGGTCGTCCACAGTTCACTGTCTTGAAGATCTCTAAGTGCTAAATTGAAGTCCCCTTCTGTGGAAGTTCTTGCAAGGTTTCGCAAACTGTTCAGGAGGTTGTCTTTCTTGTCTTTGTTAATGCCATTCTTTGAGTTGTTGATCCACCGTACCCATGCTTATTCTCGATGGAAATCACAAATATACACAAGACAGCCTGGAACAGTTATAAAACTGAGTTGTAAAATCTCTCTGATAAGAGAATACATGCTGCCAACCACTTCAGCTAACACAAGGCCTATTGTATGCTAAAAATTAAACTACCAACGAAGGGCGCCTAGCATGACCTGTGAGCCATGGAGTAAAATAATAATACTATTACTACTACTACTACTAAAAATAATACTAATAATGCTAATAATAATAATAATAATACTAGTAATTTATTATTATTATTATCATTATTGTTATAATAGTAACATTGATTTTTTCCAGGAATCTAAAATACACATTGACCCTTTTGCTTCCAAGATTTCAATGTCAATTATCCTTACCATCATCTACATATTTCTTATTTTTTAATTGATTCTAAAGGATTTCCAAAACTTTCTAGGACCAGAAGCCTTTTTCCAGGACTTTCCAGTTGTGGAAATGCCAAAATAAAATTTCGGGACTTTCCAGGTTTTTCCAGGACAAGTATGAACACTGTTGATATTTTCATGAAATTAAAGTAATGATTTTGGAATGTCTGGAGAATTACTGGTAATTGGCAATAATTTATTGTCATTATTTTCAGGTTAGTCCGATAAGAAAGAATTTTTTTTTTTTTTTGGGGGAAAGAAGTTATTCCTTATAAGTATTGCCTCTCTATATTTCTCACATGAAATAAAGAAATAAAGAAAATGGTTATAAAATGGTTATTATCGATATTTACCAGTATATGTTTACATGCTTACTTGGAAACAGCCTTTCAATGGCATTGATCTCTGCCTCACTGAAGTCCACCATAAAGAAATCAGGGTTCCATGTTGGGTTCCAGTCCTTAATGAGCTGTAAAGTTTCATTAATGGCATCTGCATTTTCTAGCTGAACCACAAAAGAAGCAACAACACAGTAATCTACATTAGTTTTCACACGCAGAAAGAATGTGAGGAGGGCAATTTACATGAAGTTTTGTATGTTGCATCCAGTAGGCAAATTTCACCACCATACTTTAAAAGCAGCTCTCTTTGCCACTTTGTCTGATGAACAAGGAGGAGGTTGTTGAATGGATCACCTATACTTATTTTAATTACATCAGTGCTGTCTTCTTCCTTCAGTGACTGTGGTTGTTGATAGGACTCACTATCACTTGTAAGGCAGTAAGGCCTGAAAAAGAAATTATCATCTGGGCTTTCTTCTTTCCACTTCTTGATTTTTAAGTCAAGGTTTTCTTGATCAATTTGTGAATGTCTGCATACCACTGTGGCACGATGCATGTGGTTCCTGACATCCATGGTTGTTGGGAAGAACCATCTGTTGGTTAGATCTGGAGGCTGTTGGCCTGTGAAAAGTTCCTTCTTTACATAATGATGCAGGTGCCGTTGCATTTTAGAAACACAATTAACACCACTTCCAACAAGCTCATGAATTTTTTTAACCATTGTCTCATCAATAGGCTGAAGTAGCCCAGCAGTCTGATTACACAACAAGAAAGAAAGAATAATTGCTTTATTATTTATTCATTTAAAAAATTACACAACCTCATCCCCAGGTTTTCTTGGTCAACAGTTCAATAACCTGGAGCCGGCTGCTTTTGATGTCATTGGTTCAATATGAGAAAATTTTTTCCAAATTTGGTCAACAGCAGCTGGTTATGATGAAATATGCGAGTGGTTTTAACCTATCAGAAACAGGGAAATATTTTTAATGAATAATAATGCAAATTATACCAACATTACTATAGGCAGTCCTCTGGTAGGGTTTTTCAGTAATAGTTATTTCAGTAATGTATTTTTTAAGAAAATCCATTTAAATAGTCCATGACAGCATTCCATTAAAACAGTGCCAGTGGAAATCCCTCTCTGATAAAATTGTGATATTATAGTCTCGACATTGAGTTTTAGGAATAAGTGCCAGTGTAGCTAAAAGAAGCTGTACATGTAGTACATTCAATTGGTCTTTTGTTATGATGTATAATCTTTATTCATTCTTTATATATATTCGACATGACAGTGGAAGCAGCACATTCTACAGTAGACTGATGATCTGTGTTAAGTTAAGTCACCTTAAATCCCCCACCAAACTTCAGTTTCCTGATTCCAAAAAAAATTTAATTGATGGCCAAGTACTTACCCTCCCCATGGGGTGAAATAAGTGACCTGTAGGTTTAGGAAGTAATATGTAAATACGCTCCTCTGCAGCTATTGTTTGCTTCTTTTCTGACTCTAGGGATGTTCTCAGAAATTTTGACATTGTCTCCCTTCTACTCTTTGTGTTCTCTGAAATCTAATGATACAATGTTTTAATTAAAATAATATTTGAAAAATTGGTTTCTAAAATATTCACTCTGTTTCCATTACAGGTAAATTTGTTTGAATTCTGCACAACAAAATGTCCAGGTTGTCTTATCATATGTCCACTTCACCGACATGTAACGCAAGGCCCATTGGGATTAAGCACCCTTTATTAGGCTAGTGATCATTCATGTTTATGGTAGTGCCCCCTGAACCCTTATTCAATAATTTAAATAAACTGACCTTATTTTCAGGATACTTGATTATTTTCCTTAGGTGGATCTTTACTGGACAGTCACATTTCTTCGTATCCTGTACTATAAAGCGCTGTTTGGTGTTGTTATAGCAGTGATCAGCATTCTCCTTCTGAAACCAAATAGATTTATTGGATTGTTAGATAGAGCAGTCGTATGGGAATAGTCAAGTTATCAATAAACTTAGAAGTAATGAAAAATATCCTTTAAAATAGTACTTGATTCCTACCTTGTAAACTGCAGTCACAGTGGTCCTTTTTTGCGACTTTGCTTATTTTAGCAAATAAAATGTGATATGTCCTTTTACTTGCAAGAGGTAAAAAAGAAAACATTATTGCATGCTATTAGCCCTGAGGGAGAGGTGAGTGCTCACCAACTTGCTTAGAAAAATCAGTTGGGATTTACCACCTTGTTAGCTTAAGAGCAAATAGTTGAAGGTAAATCAACAACTATGTAATGCCCTATATATGATATCCTCTTTGGGAGTCCTTAAGTAATAATATCATCTTGTTTACATTCTTATTTAGTTAACTATTATGCATGTTTACATCTTTTTGTAGTCTCCTTTGAGCCTCCTTCCTTTTGAGTGCCTTATTTCTGTCTGGCCCATTTTGGCATTCTAAAACTTTGACCCCCACAATTTGGAATGGGATGCCATCAAAACTTAGTCTGCATCCTGTCATCTCCTGTGAGTCAGCCCATTGTATACAGTGGTTCTTAGCATTTTTATCTACATTTTCTTTTACTCCTACGTTTTTATGTGAGAAGAGGAACCGGGCTAAGTTAGCAATACGATACATGTACACAAACACATACGTACATATATACACATGGGTGCTTAAAATGGAGGACCTGAAAATCAAGCCTGCCCCACCCGGATGTAGCCCAAGGACTGGTGTAATGGATGGGGATGCTGGCAGCTGTGTGTCAATAGCACTGAGTAGGGTTTTGACACTTTCAGCTTAATCTTAATTAATTAAGCATTTCTTGCCAACTCTTGCTGCAGGCTCACAGTAAATTGACACTTGAAGCTAAGTTGAATTTTAATTACATTTTAATTTTGAAAGTCTAACTGACCAGTGTAAACCGAAGAATAATGATGTGTACATGTATTCTTAAGATATCAATAATTATTGGAAAAAAGTTAAATCCCTTTTTTTATTTTGATTTATCTATATTTCATGTTAATAACACGATCTCACACGCCCCTGGCTTTAAATACCTATAGTGTCTAAATAAAGTTATACTTCACTTTACTTTACTGTCAGTATGGTTTGTTTTGTAAATCTTTACATATGAGCTTACTTACCCAGCCTACTGCAATTTGAAAATCCTCCTGTTTGTTTAAATACACTGAACCGTGTCGTCGTAGCTATCTCGTACTGTTTTATGAGTTCGTCAGTGCTGCTTTCATCGTTAACATACCCGGAATAAGGGTCAAACTGTACGGTCCATCTTGAAGCCCAAGGTGTACTGTTATCAGCCATGTTTGTTCTTCTACCAAACGTTTAGATTTCCCGCCAATATTTACCCGCGAGCCGCAAAACATAAATGCATGAGTGTTAAAAGTTAACTGGACTACCCCTTGGCAAATATATTTATTTGTAGCAAATAAGATGTTGAACAAAAACCAAGAGATCATGGTCAAATAAAACGTAAAGATAATTTATTACAAACAGAAAAGAACTGTATGTTTGTTCCAATCGAAAGATTTTACAGTGCAAAGTTATGCAAATGATCTTTGACCTGAATCTGCTTTTGGTCGATGATAGCGAGGTCAGAGGATAACATCGACCGAAACTATTAGGCCGGTCATATTTAAGTGTCGATCCTCCTTTTAACGCCTTTATAACAGGCTAGATTTTTTCTTAAATATGTGATCTAGACAGAAATTAGTTTGTACAAGTTATGGGAAGAATACTTTCGCAATAAAATATTGAAGATCACGACGCTTTATCGTCAGTCACACAGGTCACGGTCTCTTGATTCGCCGGAAACGAGCAGAAAAATAGAAGACTCCCGCTACGATTCCACTGACGTGTCATGGGCTCATCTGGTTTGGGACGATGATATGTATTGCCCTAGAGGTGTTGTCAATCAATCAGATCGACCGAAACCAGGTAGACAACTTACGAACCAGCCATACATTTCGTTAACAGCACCATCGATCAAAATGTCATTACATTCCAACAAAAGACCCACTTTTCTGTTCAAATCTGCCAGAAACTGGCTCAAACGCACTACGCGAACTTCCTATTCCATGAGTACACTGTAAATACGCTTCAACAAGAATAAGCGGAAGTCACGTTGTAACATGCGGATACTCATACAAGATGCCGCTGATATGTCGTGGGCTCATCTGGTTTAGGACGATGATATATATTGCTTTCCGTCCATTCAGTGAGTGTATGTGACGTCATCCCCCAAACCTAAATAAAGTATTTCGGGGGCTATTTTGAGATGCTAATATATAGATTTTGCCGAGCCTAAAAGCCAGGCATTTTGCAGCCCTTCATTATGCTGGATAGAAGCTGGATAGAAACTGCAATAAAACTCTTCAGCACTGACCGTAAGAGTTTGTTAAAGGAGATTTAGGGACCAGTTCGGGGGGTGGGGAAGATATGTCGAGGTTTGGAACCTGGGGACAATGGTCTCACAACGTGCAAGGCGATCAACTCGCATGCTAGTCAGCGGTATCTTCAATGAGTTTAGGACTTTCGTAGTTGTTCCTGATATTTTGAGCAAATCTTCAAAGATAGGGACTGTTTTCTTCTTCAGATAAAGAGTGTGATGTCAGCATCAGTTAAAATTATATTTTGATGAGCGTGACTTATAGTTTCGGTTTGGTAAAATGAGCCAAAATTGTAAGAAATGGCGGTCAACTACCTCACGTTTAGACATCCCTTGTCGATTGGAGAGTTTACACTTGAGAACAGTGTGCCAGTAAAACAATACGCCCGAATCGCATGGGCTTCTCTTGTATCTACTCTTAAAGTTGCCAGATATGACTGCTTGCCCCACTGCATATACACCATGTTTGAAATGCCATGTCCATAATAAGCTAACAGGATTATGTTGAGGAGGGTGTATGTTGAAATAAGCTCTCTTGTCTGTATCATTAATTTGCTAATCGCTCCCCTTGGTAATGTTTTGATAAGGTTGGGCTGTCAGGGCAAAGGAACTTATGATTTTAGTATAGGCAGTGACTTTTCTCAAACCTGGAAGGTATCATCGTGAAAGCCATACTTATGCCTGGTAACTCAGTCTTAGTCTGATACGCAAGTTTTAAGAAGGCTGCGATATTTTATTACATAAATCTGATGCATAGGCTGTGCACAAAACTTTAGTTTGACCATACTTTTACAGCCAATACCAATCCCTACACACAACAAAATGTTAGGAGGATCAGAGGAAAAAATAATGTGCCATACATCTGCAAGATTTCATGAGATTATTTAATTACATGAATATTAACTAATATTAGGATATCTAAGAATATTTACAAGAAAATAAAATTTGGCTGAAAAATTAGAATTCAGCACAGCCTGGATAAAAAAGATTCTTAGAAAAAGAAATATGTATTAATGAAAAAGCTGAGCAAACTTTTTTATAACACCTGCCTTACTTGTGCGGCACGTAGTAAAGTCATTCGAAGTAGTCATAATCCCAGTTTTATATGTTTAAAACACACGCACATGCCTGCAATGACTTCGAACAAATGAATTTCAAGTTTTTATTTATTCAGTTTAGATTAGTAAGGTAAAATTGAGATAAACATTCATACATTCATGAGACGACAGGTTCAAGAAATTTTCACAACTAATTTATAAGGTTAGCCTACCTAGAACAATTACCTTAATGTACAAATTACATCAGCTTTGTATTGATGATGCACAAAAGAACTATCTGTGGTAAGAGAGCAGGTTTTTC